AAAAAAAAATTGGATAAAAATAAAATAAAAAGGTTGACAACGATGGTCCGCCTCGTGGCCCATCGTTGTCACGCGTTTTTAATTTTAGAAAATTTGATGCTGAAAAAAAAATGAAAAAATAAAATGAAAAAGCGAAAATAAAAAAAAAGTAGTGAAAAAACATAAAAATAATTGAAAAAAAGAAATGAAAAAAAAATTAAAATTAAAAAAAAAAAAAAATTAAAAAAATTAAAAAAAAAAAAAAATTGGATAAAAAAAAAATAAAAAGGTTGACAACGATGGTCCGCCTCGTGGCCCATCGTTGTCACGCGTTTTTAATTTTAGAAAATTTGATGCTGCTTGGGACCAACGTTGTCGGGCTTAATCCTACACGCACAAATGTGTTTCCTGGGTTTCTAACTCACTACTGATTTTCATGAGCAATATTCAATAAATTCAACATGAAAATGTTCTATAACCTCTCCATGCTACAAGTTCAACCACAAGCAATATATTTATAATAATGATAAGAGAATATAGAATTGAATACGAAAATTTGTTTTTACGTGTAGAAGGTAATTTAATTGGAAAATGCTGCTTAACTGCTCAGTTGTCTGGACACTCGTGCGATGCCGGTACGGTACCGTCAGACCGTACCGGTAGCCATGCAATCACTTATGAAAGAATGGGAGATACGGATAGTCTCGTAGAATATAGACTACTGAAACACTCTCTGCGCCTGCCCCATACCGTACAGCCGTAACGTACCGATCCAGACAAATAATAAATCGCCCGTGCTCAACCATTTATTTCAATCCATACCTCGATCTACTATATTCTACTAGGATCGAGGTATGGATTGAAATAAATGGTTGAGCACGGGCGATTTGTCTGGATCGGTACGTTACGGCTGTACGGTATGGGGCAGGCGCAGAGAGTGTTTCAGTAGTCTATATTCTACGAAACTATCCGTATCTCCCATTCTTTCATGAGTGATTGCATGGCTACCGGTACGGTCAGACGCAAAGCGACTATAACCGACTACCGGTATTTGGTAAGACGGTACCGGCATCGCGAGTGTCCAGACAACTGAGTAGTTAAGCAGCATTCTCCAATTAAATTACCTTCTACACGTAAAAACAAATTTTCCGAATTTTCGTATTCAATTCTATATTCTCTTAACATTATAAAAAAATATTACTTCTTGTTGAACTTGAAGCATGGAGAATTTATAGAACATTTTCATATTGAATATTGCTCAAGAAAATCAGTAGTGAGTTGGAAACCCAGGGAACACATTTGTGCGCGTAGGATTATGCCTGACAACGTTGGTCCCAAGCAGAAGCAAATTTTCTAAAAATAAAAACGCGTGACAACGATGGGCCACGAGGCGGACCATCGTTGTCAACCTTTTTATTTTCTTTTTATTCATTTTTTTTTTTTATTTTTTTTTTTCGTTTTTATTTTCAATTTTAATTTTTTTTATCATTTTTTTTTTCAATTATTTTTATGTTTTTTCACAACTATTTTTTTATTTTCGGTTTTTTATTTTCAATTTTACGCGTGACAACGATGGGCCACCATAGACGGTTACCAAGTCACAATTATTGAATATTTCAAGTCGGAATTACCGTATGAATTTTAGGAATTGATTCGTTAACGTAGGCACGCAGCAATGAAAGTGGAATCTTATTTGACTGTCTATCATGTGGAATTTATCCAATCAAGGTAGTTTGAATTATACAGCTAATCCTTTCAATTGTAATTTAAACATAAATTATTTTCCAGTAAATTTTAATAGAAATCGTAATTACGGTTAGCAGTATATAATCTGCCTTATTCCAATCACACGGTCCCTCCCTACTCACCGCGATTCTTCAAAATATACCTTTAATTTTCCATATTTCTTATAATCCGTGTGGTAGACCAAAACTAGATGAGCATTCGGTTCGGTCCGCGGAAACGACACGGTTCCGGCCCAAGTGAATACTGAAGCAAATGAGACCTTGTATATATGAATCATCTATCAGTATAACCACGTAACCATACATTTTGCTATGTGATAATGATTTGTCTCTATTTCATTCGGAATGAGAGGATACCGATTTGTATGGTCTTAAGCATGCCATTTCGCTATTGTTTTTATCCTATCTTATCGGTGAATATTTTGTTTTGATAATTACATAACTGTATACGTAAAATATGTGATGACAGATGTATATCAGACGAGGTTAAATGTAATGGAAGAGTTTGCAAATGATCGATGCGAATTGAGTAAATTGACTTGTGCGATTTTAATGATTCGCGCATCGACAAAAAAATACCCAACATGTCTTCAACCTTCTTTTTTACGCTTACGGAAAAAAATAATCAACCGGATGTATCGGTTAAAAAGTATCTTTTCGCGAGCTTAATATTTTAAACATCGAAATATGATTTTACATGCAACTGCACTGCTATTTAGAGGCTTAAATATCTTTTAGGTGGTTAAGCTGTTCAAAGTTTTACTAAATGTGTCCGATATAGCTTCGTGTTGAATAACACATTTGACGCATTAATTTTGAATGTTTTGAACGGTAACATATAAATACAATTTCACTTAAAAAACGAGTTCATGATAATTTTCTAATTAGGCATTAAAATTTTCACATTACGGAGCTTATCATACATATATCGGGAAGTTTTATCGATGCTTTTTATATCTTCCATTAGACTGAGATGAGGATTCGCTTGAGGGTTTTTCAATAAAGTTTCTTTCCATGCTTGGGGTATACATGATAAAAAAATTTAAATACGATTGCATGTCATTCTAAATATCAGAAAAGCAATAATCATGAAAAATAATTGAAAACATTGCAATTTGCTGTTTTGAACCACATATATCTTCAACAAAACAAATACTTTTTCTATTCTACTCTCCATTATATAACATTTTCCCTTTACTTGATATCTTTTTATTGAACCACGGTGGTTCATACAAATGACTTACATCTGTAATAACTTTAGATTTAAAAACATGTCAATAGCATAAAGTATCTCTCAAACATCTCGACATAATGTTTTAATATATATATATATACCAAATGGATTTCATTTTCTGGAGTTTTGGCAAAATATTCACAGTGAAAAGGTCTGCATCATTCTCATATATAAAAATACCCAACAATTTAAAATCATTCGAGTTTCACTTAATTACTCGATCTCGCATAGGAAATCTCGCATTTTATGAAACCGGTATTTTCTAATCCCGAATTAGAAAATATCGGTTTCATAAAATATTGTTTCGATACTTTTTCTGAGCCATCAGAATACACTGTTGTATGGCCCGACCGATATATCGGCCATGTTTTTCGCAAATTTCGAACTATCGGTATCGGCTAATTTTACCGATATATATCGGCCTATGCCAATGCAGAAAAGCATTGGAGCCAATGCAGAAAAATTCATCTGAGACGAAACTACATCTGAGACTGCTAAGCTGTAGCTATTGAGATTCATAAGCTTCCTGCCCTTACAATAAGTGTTCTTTCTTGTCACGCACACAATTGCATGAGTTCAACATTTCATTTCTTTTGCAAGAAAAACACAATATTCTCAGAGTGTCGCTTGTTATTTGTAGCCATTTTTGTAGGAGAGGAAACATCGGTATCGGGTTATCGGCCTACTTTTACAAAACTATTAGTATCGGTTCAAAAAGGCAGTATCGGTCGGGCCCTAGACTGTTGCATCATCTACAAGCAAGGAGATTTTAATTTCCGTGTTTCCAAGACAAATTCCTTTTATGTTATAGGGCAACAAAGATTCGACCCTATCTGCGTGTCCACGCTCCCGTGTTATTGAACACACGGTAACAGAGTGTAACTCCGATCTTGACTCCTTCAGAGGTCAAAAAGCACACAATGTATTGAATGCCAATTGTTATATTGTAAAGTTGCACAATCGAATTGATCCAAATAACGAATTGCACTTGAAACCTTAAAGCAAGTATATGTGATGAAACCAAATTTCTAACTAACAAAGAACGGCAAAGACAAGCTACACTGAGAGAGAGAAATATATCATAAAGGAAATGAATTGGGACAACGACCTTGTTTCAGGCAAATAACATGCACTACTAACAATAAGTGGTGAAAATATTAAAATACACAGTAACTATCCTTATGTACTTGCTACAATGTCATAGTTTTGTCGAATTTTAAATGCTAATATTTCGATCATTAATAAAAACATATATGGGGAGAGACTACAAATCTTTTCCAACTTGAAACATTTTTTACATATAGTTCCAATTAATAAACAGATGATCAAAATTAAAAAATTTCAACACTTGAAAAAGATAATCCCACGAAACAGAATCAGAAGCTTTTTCCATATCTAAGTTTAGTGCACTTCCAGAAAGTTCCCATGATATTTGTGTAGATTACTACATTCTAATATGAATGTGCTTTGATTTTTTTCGGAATTCAATATTCATGAATTCGCAATTAATATTGCTTCTTATCTTCAAAAGACGAACATTCCTTCAAGGAGGGAAAAATTGTAATTCTTGAAAATATCTTTCCTCAGAACGCGAAAGCATCAAGGTGGTAAAAAACCTCTTTTTGGGGTTTGTGTGATAACATTCCGTAAAAATATATGCCCTCGAACATATACATCGGCCTGATCATTTCGACATAATTGTTCGAGTTGTTGTTTATGTGGGTTTCTATTTTCCTTCGCTTCTTTGTAATTCCCTATTTGGTCCTTCTATTGTCTATTGATGCTTGTCATGTGCATTTTATACATTCGGCTGTTCAGATATTAGATAGAAATTTAGTCGTATTCAGATGAATATCGATTTTGCCTTAGCTGAGCATCGGGTTTGATTTTTTGGAAAGATTGGCGAACAAAGAATTACACCAAATGTTGATTACTGGGCGGCTCATGGGCGCCATCTTAGGTGCATGAATGAATTTTGATGGATTTTTAATAATAAATACCAGAACCAAACAACGTTGGTGCCAAAGTGACACTTTGGTTGGCTGGTGCAAGGTTCATGCATTACGGCACTGTACTTGGCCTTGCCATGTATGCGCTATAAAACTGTTGAGCTTTCATATAACAGTATTTCTGCGAGGCGTTAATTCCATCAACAATACACAAAAAAACTTTCGTTGAAATGGGTGACATGAAAACTGTTCAGCATGTGTTTCTGAACAAAGAGGAAAGTAGAAGAGCAGAAAAGTTGGCAGATGCATTGGATCCTCATGCCAGGTAGAAATTATTGGTGTGAAATATTACCTTGGTGTGAATTATTACCTTGTTCCGTGAAATTTTATTTAAAAACTAGGCTAATAGTCCGTATGAAAGCTGTTTTCGAAAGCATCTCATTCAGCATTTTATGAAATTCACCTTAAAAACAAGCGGAGCTTGTACAGTGCATCCCTGTGAAAATGATGACAAAATGAGTTTATTTTACGGCATCATGCAGTCATGGTGGAAAATGAAATGGTTGTTTCTTTCAGCAACAAACCACATTTTGACATTGTCTGATCGTAGAATGTCATAAAATGCATGCTCGATATACACAGTTCTGGCTTTTCTCATATTTTATCCAGGGTATGCAGGTATGTGTGGTTTAGGCTATATACCGATCAAATTGTATAATTTGATATCATCAAAATATTGAATTAATAAACCAACTTTTTATTTTAGGTTGACTCTTCCAGAGCTTTATGCAGTAAGTACTTAAGTAATTTTAGTTTATGTAGCGGTATTATTTGAAATGTGATATTTTGTTAAAAAGTATTTAATTTTAGAATCCACGAGCTGAGACGTTACCCAAGAACCAGCACATCTCCCAATACAATGTACCTCCTGCTCCACCAAACACTCGTACAAAGGTTCAAGGAAAACCTATTGATTTGGAAACTGCTAAAGTATGTTGTTATAGAGCATTGAGATGATATTCTTTGAAATAATCTTAACATATTCTTTTTTTTCTGCTTTTGTTCAAATTGAGTTACGACTCAATATTTTTCATATTTTCGTAAATATTTTTCAGGCTGTACGAAGAATTTTATTTGGTGATGCAACACATTTCTTCACAAAAGATTGGCAGAGATATCGATTTCATTTTCGTGATCCTGCATCTGCAATTCCTTATGGCCTAAATTGTAATTCTGTATGTTCCTATTCTTATTGCTTCATAATTATTTTTATAAAATTGTATTCATTTTCACTTGTATGTTCGAATGTATGACTCCCCAAAAAATATAAACTGACCTAACTATGCCAGGTTTATACCTTAAAATTAGGACTGGGGGAACCAGATCCATATTTGTTGGCGCTGGAGCAATAGCCAAATTAAGTATAGCGGCTTCAGCTTCTCTAACCATCCATTTTTTTCACATATATGTAAATTTCTAGTAACTAATAAAATATATGCTTTCCAACCAACAGTTTTTAGTATTATTTAATTTATAATATTAATTTGAAAGTTTCAAGTTTAATTTAACAATTTAAACCCTAACAGCATGGTTCTAAGTCCTACTGCCACAAAATTATATTTGAGGTGACGCATCATGTGCTCAAGCTAAAAAACTTTAATGGCTATGGAGCCCGAGCTGGAGATAAAAAAATGAAGGGACTGAAGCCACAGTTTATCTAGCTTTCTAGCCCTGTAACGATTTTACAAAATATTTTCAGGCTGGAGCAAGAGCATTTTGTCTTTGCATGCAGTGTTATATTTTAAAACATCTTCTATTTGTTGATGCTGAAGATGAAGACAAACCATTTGGTCGAGCGTAAGTTACTTTTTTGCAACTATGAGCTTTCATCATTTAAAAAATAAAGGGCTTAACTAATAGTCAATGAATTATAATCAAAATATTTCTTCAATTCTTGAGGTCATTTGAGTCATGAATGGGATAGGAAATGGATCACCACATTGTTAAACAATTTTTTGGCAATTACAATCGCAAAGAAACCAAATATGATCAATCAAATATGAGAAAAATGATCAATAATAGTAAATGTAAAGTAATAAAAAAATGTTGTGGTAATTCTATGAAAATTGATGAAATTTATTTAACAAATGAACACTTGGATTTCTGTTTGTGTATGATTTCACCCAAATGTTTCAGTAATCTAGGACACCTTGCACAAAAGTTGTGTTCTCTCTCTCAAATATGCTGTTTTTTTGAAGGGGTTACCCTATAGTTTAATGAATAAAATAACTGATAAACTTTTTATCATTTCCCTTGAACTGTTTTTTATTATTCATCAAGGCCGCCGGAGCCAACCTCTGCTGAACAAACAACAGCATTGATTAATGCGATTTGTGATATTTTGTGGAAGCTATCCCACACTATTCATTCCGAAGATGACAATATTGAAAAAAAACAAGTTATTGTATCGTTGCCTGGAGATTCACCTTGTTTTGAGACATTGGGTAATTTTCTTGCTGATGGATTGATTGAAAAGGTATTTATCTCAAATAGGATGGATTTTTACTAATTACTAACAGGAACTAATAAAATAATACCAATGATACCATGTCCATATGATCCAATGTCGATTCGGACACTAAAATTTAATCACAGTAATAAAAGTGGTTACATTGTTAATGAAGGTGATACAATAAAGTTAATATTGATGAATGCTTTTTGGTAGCGGCTTCTCCTTGAAAAACTTTTCTCCCAGATCAAAACCCCAGTTTTATTCAGTTGTTGCTGAAGCCAAAAAATTAGTGAAACTTTCATTTACATTTATGCTTTTTGATGTTTTTAGTATTGAAAATATATTTATGTTTGTTTTTTGACCTTTACTATTATTTCTGATAAAATAAGACATTTCAGTTTTTCTCGGATTATTTTAAAATGTTTCAATTGCTTTCAGCTATGGTTGTTCACCATTGTAACACAGGATGAATTACGCAAGTTCATCAAAAGAAATTTGCATTTTGTAAGTATTAATTAAATTGAAAAGATTCCATTATTTTGATTGATGGTATCCTAAAGACTGTTTTTCTATTCCTTCTGTAATTTCAACTTGTTTTTTTTATTAATTATCATTTTCCCAAATTGATAGAAAAATTTTAGGCTTGAATTCAATCAATTAGTCAAACACGATTAGTTCAAATATTATCTGTACAGTATAATGAAAAACAACATGTTTATTTCATATGAGTTGGTGAATATATAACTTTTCAGCTTCCATATATCTTATTAAAGTATCTTATTATTGTTTTCTAGTTCTGTGATGAGGGCGAACAAGGTGGAATATTGCTGATGTATAGTATTGTTTTATCTCACACTCCTGAAACTATTCATTCTGAATTAGCTCAGTGTCAAAGATCCATACTGACTGAGAACTCTAGACCAACTCAGGTAAACCCAATTTAAAGGATATACATAGACTTTTCTTTCCTCTTATTTCTTTGGGAACATTCGTGCAAAGATCTAATCTCATTTAAATTAGAAGCGATGCTGTCAAAAATACTATAATCATCGAATTTTCATGAGTCGAGAGTTTCAGTTCATTATACTGGCATTATTCTTACTCTCCACTGGACCTCTGATTACCCTGTGTGGGGTCGCTGGACTCCTCGTCCCCATAGAGTGGTTTACATAGCCGCTGGTCAGCTACCATCACCATTATGTCCATGCATCTGAAACAACTGGTTAACTCATCCCATATGCGACATGGACCAGCAATTGGACAAGAGGTTGTGGTTCACCATATGATTAATCCATCTTATCAGCTTTCCTCTCACCTGGGGTAAATCCTGCATTCTCCGGTTCCATCTGTAAAATTTGCACCCAATGCTCAGAATGATGATTGTTGAATAGTTTCATATGCCAATGTATTAAAAGATTTAATATCTGTGTTTACTTAGTTACCTATTTTTCAAGGCTTTTATCAACTTGTTGTTGTCTGGTGCTGCCTCTTGCTTTGTACACAATGGCGTTATCAAGTATGATAAACACGGAAGAGAACTAGAAATTCCTTTACCAGGTCCTCGTAAACGAAGTGAAATTGGATTTCTATTTTTTGATAAAACTGAGGGTGATGACAACAGGACTACGGTATGTTGAGTTGCGAGTCATTATTGAAAATAGTTATGATCGCTAGAGATATTCAGAATTCATATAGTAGCTTTAAATTGAAACAATCTTTCAAATTGTAATAATCCCAAATGCAGTATACTATTTTCCGAGTGTACGTATATTACATTTTGTATCACGTTTGAACTATGGTATCGAAGCATTGAAAAATCTCATTTCACACAACGTTTTTGCATACTATATATTGGAAGGACTAACTGGAATATCCTGGTTCAGCACTAGTTGTCCAAGAACAAGTATTACACTCTGGCCAAATCAGAGAAAATAGGCTTCAATCAATGCACATTTATATTTTGAATATTTGAATCATTAGGCCAGCCTCAATTAACATGTTGGTAATTGGCTCTAGTCACTTTTGACAAGATTCCAATTGTGGCTGCGTTAGAAGTGCATTATCCTTTCAAAGTATTTTAAATAAATTGTATTAACAAGGTTTAAGAAACATCTCAACATGATTATATTTAGGTCGGATGCATGTTGCGAACACCACTCTTACCTATATGGATTACTCAAGTAAATGGTTCATATGGATTAATATTTTGCACAAGTAGAGACTTGGTGGCTGATTGGAAGATTGAACGATTCTTTACTATAAATTATTACACTGGGCACTATACACAGGTTAAGGCAACAAGCATAAGTGTAGGTGGGTTTTTGTTTCTCAGTTTTTGTAGATGAAGAAAATATTAAATGCAGCTCTTTGAGCCAGGGCATATTCTTGTTTTCTGAAATATGATAAGTTGAATTTAGGTCTGTATTGCCACTTCCTCTGCATGTGTGATATCACAATGCTCACAAGCTTAAAACCAAAGTACCTCATTTGTTTTCGTTCATGTATATCCTAAGTCAGTTTTTTTCAACCTATGGGTCGCAACCAAAACTGGGTCGCCTAAAAATTTTCTTGGGTTGTTTGTGTTTTCAACAAAAACCTTAAAGTTACTAATTTTTTTTTAATCAATTTTATTGTTTATTTTATATTTGGTATTGAAGTGTTTATCCAATAGTAGTTGTATACATGGGAAGTATCACAGCGTAAAAACTTATGAACATTTATTTTGCGACCAGAAAATTATCACGGCCAGAAAAGTATCACATGCCATGTAGTATTGGAGCATATCCTTGGGTTGTGACTTGTGAGATGTTGCAAAATTTATTTGTATTTTTTTTTTCGAAAGATATGCTAACATGAATTGACACTACTTTGTCTAAATTAGATACCAGAAGACGAGCTTTCCTGGATCCGAGTCGTGAAATATCATACTGGGATGATGAGGAAGAAAAGGAGAGAAAGCAACCTTCCCTGGAACGTACCATTGGAACGAAATGGCCAGAAGCTCTCTTGAACTGGAATGGGGAGACTCCATATTACTAGCATATGTGATCAAATATCGTTCAAATTTCAGAATTCATCCGACTGTTTCTTTATGGAAATTAAATATTGAATTTACAATGTTTTTAGTGCATTTTTTGTATAATGTGGAAGTTTTCCCAAAATGCTGTTGGTTAATACGGCACTTGGTCCTTTTTTATTTATTTATACCTTGCTTTACCTATACTGTGGTATATCAACTTGGTAGTATATGATCTTTCTAGTCTAGAACATTAGATTAGCTTATCAGCTGTATATAAATCACGTTTTAAACGATTCTCAAATTTATTTCTGATAGCTTACCAACTTAATCCTGCCAATGCACTTTATATAATTTGAAATTAATCTTTTTTTCACTGTGATATTGTATTTTCATTTTTATAAGCTAGAAAGCAATCACTGTATTTATGTAATAGAGAGTTGGCACTTGTGATACTATAGTACTGTACTGGTAACTGGTCTATTTTCAATATAAATCATGGTTTTGCAAAATATAATTCATCAATTTATAAGAATATTTATACTGTTTGTAACTAACTAGTTTTTCATTTTGTTGTCTTTAAATGTGGTACTGCCCGCGAAGACGAAACAACTTTTACGGCGCTTACTTGTCTTGGTTAGTCTTCTACTACAATGTGTAGAGCATGGGTCGGCAACCTTTTGTCGCGCGCCGGCCAAAATTAAAGGTTGCAAGTCATTGGCGGGCCGCAAGTTTAATTTTAAGCAGCGCGCTAAAACTGACTATTTGAATGTTTTTTGCGCTATGAAACAAACCATTTGCACTCTGCATCAACCTTTCTGCGCTTTGTTGTCATTTGTCTAAATTATAATTAAATTATAGGCCCATTAAACAAGTAATTGTGAATTATATACTTGTTACGTTATAATATAATTTAGTCTACACGTAAATTATAATCGACAAAAAAGCTATAATTTGTTACTATAATTCAGTGAAGCGTCGCGGGCCGGATTATATTGCTCCGCGGGCCGTAGGTTGCCGACCCATGATGTAGAGTCTACCCACATATCTCTTTATAACGCATAAAGTATGAGAAGCCTATTCCGAGAGATGTCTCGCTCACATCCTGTGCAATACATTTGCGCAGACTAAAACAAACTTTCCCCAACGTCACAATCTTCTCTCTGCAAATCGTTCAAATTACGAGGTTTAGTAGAAATAAGAATGTAGGGCAACTACAGAAAAATACAAATACGAAACCCTCAGATCTTGAGCGAGGGCGGGAAACATGTTAATCTCCTACATGCATTATATAAAACGCCTGTCGTCGTAACTCGCATAGGAAATGGATCGGGTTACGATCTTTTATCACGCAAACAGCACGCATTATTAGCGTAGAGCTGTTGACAGTTTTGACATACACAGTAACCAACCGTCATTCTGTATTCACTGCAGTGGCCAAGGTGGAAAAAGGATTATACGCTGCATCGTGCACAACAGATTAGAAAATAATAAAATATACCATTCGCCGGAAGGCCCATGATAAACGCCAGTATCGTGCTATATACTTTCTATATGCCGTATCGACATAATATAAGCGAGCGTGGTCTTTCTGATCCCGATTAATGTGTGTGCAGTCGCCTTTGGGAGGCGCTTCATCAACGAACGTGTAGAACAGGGGTGGCCAACCTATGGCGCATGCGCCAAACGTGGCGCATTGCATGATTAGAGGTGGCGCATTGCATCTTTAACCCTTTTCATGCCAAAATTGTTAATTGCACTCGGCTTCTCCACGCCAAGCCGTTTTTTTGCGATTTACATGGTGACTTTTGATTGTACCCAAAATCTATTCTCCTCACTCCACGTCGCCCATTTACGGCTTGTTGGAATTAGAAACAACAGGCAATTATCGACGTTAGCTTTTGGACGGACTTTATGACATTCATTCTAGACTTTTAGCAAAAATTAGTAAAATTTACTATATTTTCCCTATTGAAGTAAAATGTTCAGAACTTCTGGAAAAATAGAAAATCGTCATTTATCAGCTTGAAACATGGATTTTCCATTGCCCAGACTTCCCAAATATCTCCCAATAACCATTGAACAACCAGTTGAATTGCCCAAGCCTAAAAAATTTATTATAAATCAACCCACAACATGCTGAAAATGACCCCTAAATATCACTTTTTTCATCCAAACTTCAAATGACCGTTGTCAACAAAAGCGAAGCGTAAAATCGCTTGCTGTGACGCAAGTACTAACTAATCTCGAAGAAGCCTGGAGTAAAATCACGCGACGCTAGGTCAAACAGCTGATTAGCAAAAGCCAATTAGAATCGAGGGTAGAGTAGAGTAGATATTAATACTAAAGTCCTGTTGTCACAATATTACGCCTAACTTTACTTATTAATCGTACCTTTTTATTTCCAAGCTTAGTAAATGGCATTATCGCATTCAAGATGATGTTGAAACTTTTCGTTTCCCAGTTTTCCTCACATAAAAGAACACCGTGAATGTGCTGCTGGTAATGGCAATTTGGCAATATACACAGAAAAAAATCAAGTTATTGCAAGAGTCATTTGAAAGTCGTTTTCATGATATTTCAAAAGAAGAAGACTCTATACTCGCTTTTATAAACCCATTTTCACTTAGTGAACTAACCATAATGAAGACGCCAAGCATTATACAATTTGAACTAATTGACTTGAAAACTCATCCATCATTGATAATTAAATTTGATGAGCTTTCTTCAATCCCAAGTGCATCTGACATGATCAAGTTCTAGCAATCGTTACCCCGTGAAAATTTTCCAGAACTGAGAAAATTTGCCCAGGGTTTTATATGTCGTTTCGGAACGACATATAGATGTGAACAAACATTTTCTGCCATGAAACTAATTAAAAGCAAAGCGAGGTCAAGACTTACAGATTTAAATTTGAAGAATGCACTGCTCCTCTCAGTAACAAACTTAACTCCAAGAATAAAAAAACTGGCGAAAGTAAAACAGCAGCAAAAGTCTCATAAAGGCGGTACCTAAATAAAATTGATCAGTTTTATGTATTATACTTCCTTGCTTAATTTCTATTCATGTGAAGTTGTAAATTGTAAAAACTACATATACGTGTGTATATATGTGTGTGTATTATAAATTTATATAATTTCAACAAGAAGCGGACATTAGGCGTGGGAATACAAGAGATTCAAGGCGCATCCGAAACATTATGTTTAAAACGTGGCGCATGGTATGTGAAAGGTTGGCCACCCCTGGTGTAGAAGCTTGCATTGCGCAGTTGTTCTCTGAACGGCGGTTAGTAAACAAACGTGTTAATGCTTGCATATATATGATAAATCAGTCAGGCATTGCTATGGATACTAAATTCGTTACATTAAATACCGGGGCGAAAATGCCTATCGTAGGTTTGGGTACCTACGCGGAACCTGGAGAAATCAAACAGGCCGTGGAAACCGCAATAGACGTAGGATATCGACATCTTGATTGCGCTTTTGTGAATGGTAATGAAGCTGAAATTGGCGAAGCAATTCAGAACAAAATTGAGGATAGAACAGTAAAGAGAAAGGACTTGTTCATTACAACGAAAGCTTGGCCAACGTATTATCGAAAAGTGAGGGAGTGTTTTGATGAAAGCTTGAGAAGACTAAAGCTTGAATATGTTGACCTATATTTGATGTCCTGGCCGTTCGCGTTCCAACCTAGTTTTTCTGCAGGCGGTATTTATTGTCCAATGGACGAAAATGGAAAAATCTTGTTTGACGACGACATACACTATCTAGATGTTTGGAGAGAGCTTGAAAAACTTAAAACAACTGGACTTGCCAAAGCTATTGGTGTATCTAATTTCAACGAATATCAGATTAATCGAATATTGAGCGAAACTACTATTTCTCCATCCGTTAATCAATATGAAATTCATCCTTATTTGGCCCAAGAAAACTTGCTACAATACTGTAAATCGAAAAACATTGCAGTGACTGGATTCAGTCCTTTAGGCGCACCAAATCGTTCATGGCAATCACCAGGGGAGCCGAAATTAGTCGAAGATCCAAAGTTGCAAGAAATCGCAAAGAAGCACGAAACAAGTGTTGCTCAGGTTATACTGCGATATCAAATTCAGCGCGGTGTCATAGTTATTCCGAAGAGTACTAACTCTGTACGAATAAAATCCAACTTTGCAATTTTCGACTTCAACTTGGACAATGATGACATGGGCCAAATACGAACGTTAGATAGAAATCTCAGATATTCTCTTCCAGCCTACGCCACCAGCAAATATTCAGCATTTAGTGAAAATTATTCAGAATAAAAAGAAATATTCAATAAACATTTTGTGATTAGAAGAATTGAGTAAACTTTCTGACCTTCCTGTTGGACTGTATCCGTCTTACATGAGTCTGTGCCTCTGTCGATAATTTTGATGCCTATTTTGACATTGTTAATTCGCATTGGAGTTGGACAACAGGGTGTTACTGTTCATATATTTGTTTTTTGCTTTTATTGAAATATTGTATTACTAAGGAGGTTTTCCGCTGATTGACCGGTCAGCTAACAGGGTAGGCCTACTCCCGCAGTATGTGAACTAAGATAACGGACACCCAGGCGTAGTAGGTGTATCAAGTTGGGATTAGGCCATAATTTCAGGGACAAATACTACGAACCTCACCTGGCTCGTAATAGAACTAAAATGAGGAAAATTGAAATAAAATTATGGTCTAACAAGGCACACATACTATAGTTTACAAACTTCGGAAGTACCGCTAACAGTGTATAACTATTGTGATGCCAGTCTTTATGATCTATCCATACATTTGAGAATTACATTCTCTATTCGTTTCTTATTTCACGCATTGCTGCATCTTTTTGTCATCTCAGTTGCCCCATAATCAATTGATGCAATTTCGTCTGTGGAATTATTGGTTAAAATAATTGTTGTGTTCGGACAGATTAGTCGCAAATACCAATTAATACAGATCGTGATAGATTCATTTTTGAAATGTTGTTTTCCTGTGGATATTAGTGTCAAATAGTGATTGTGTTTATCGTAAAAACCCACGAAGATGGAAAGCTTTCTGCTTTGGTGATTTATTTGAAACTTCCGAAAAGTAAACTCTAAAAAAATGTTTCTACTCGTGTTTTTTCTCAAAATCTTTCATGCATGATTAGATATATACTTCACATCATTACAAACGCGATAGGAAGATATTTGAATAATATAGAAAACCACCAGCTACCATAGTAGTTTGTCTAACTGCCATTAATTTGGACAAATACGATTTACCACGTATATTAAATGATTCCTCCATTTCACTGGTGTTTATTAGATCTACAACCTTGCCTCGATGACCTGGAAACTTGCTAGTACACAGATTCGGTTTGACTTGGGAATCGAATTTTAATAGTCGTCGTGACTAACTAGCCAGAAGTCAAACAAACACCACTCAATCAGAAATACTGTTAAAATTCATTTTACGGCATATTCTCAGACCAGGAAACAATGCATGTTGAATAAAGCCGGTTTCTGTGATATTTTTGAGCAGCTGAAATTAAACATACTATAGGGTATTGACTCTATCTGCGCGTCCACACTTCCGTGTTATTGAACACACATTAACAGAGTGTAACTGCGATCTTGATTTCTTCATAGGTTAAAAGCACACATGTATTGAATGCCAAATGTTCGTATATATATTGTAAGTTTCGCAATCCAATACATATACAGATATATTGAAATACACCTAAACCTTAATGCAGTATGGTGGCCCATCGTTGTCACGCGTAAAATTGAAAATAAAAATAAAAAATAAAATAAAAAACCGAAAATAAAAAAATTGTTGTAAAAAAACATAAAAATAATTAAAAAAAAAAAATTAAAACTAAAAAAAAATAAATAAATAAAAATGAAATGAAAAATAAAAAAAAAAAATTAAAAAAAAAAAAAATTAAAAAAAAAAAAAATTGAATAAAAAGAAAATAAAAAGGTTGACAACGATGGTCCGCCTCGTGGCCCATCGTTGTCACGCGTTTTTATTTTTAGAAAATTTGCTTCTGCTTGGGACCAACGTTGTCAGGCATAATCCTACGCGCACAAATGTGTTCCCTGGGTTTCAAACTCACTACTGATTTTCTTGAGCAATATTCAATATGAAAATGTTCTATAAATTCTCCATGCTACAAGTTCAACAAGAAGTAATATATTTATAATAATGATAAGAGAATATAGAATTGAATACGAAAATTCGGAAAATGCTCAACCATTTATTTCAATCCATACCTCGATCCTAGTAGAATATAGTGAGTCGAGGTATGGATTGGAATAAATGGTTGAGCACGGGCGATTTATCATTTGTCTGGATCGGTACGTTACGGCTGTACGGTATGGGGCAGGCGCAGAGAGTGTTTCAGTAGACTATATTCTACGAGACTATCCGTATCTCCCATTCTTTCACGAGTGATTGCATGGGTACCGGTACGGTCAGACGGTACCGTACCGGCATCGCACGAGTGTCTGAGCAGTTAAGCAGCATTTTCCAATTAAATTATCTTCTACACGTAAAAACAAATTTTCGTATCCAATTCTATATTCTCTTATCATTATTATAAATATATTGCTTGTGGTTGAACTTGTAGCATGGAGAATTTATAGAACATTTTCATGTTGAATTTATTGGATATTGCTCATGAAAATCAGTAGCGAGTTAGAAACCCAGGAAACACATTTGTGCGTGTAGGATTAAGCCTGACAACGTTGGTCCCAAGCAGCATCAAATTTTCCAAAAATAAAAACGCGTGACAACGATGGGCCACGAGGCGGACCATCGTTGTCAACCTTTTCATTTTATTTTTTTTTAATTTTTTTTTTTTTTTTTTTTAATTTTTTTTTTTTCAATTTCAATTTTTTTATTAAATTTTTTTGTTTGTTTTATTTTTCAATTTTTTTTTTAATTTCAATTTTTTTTTATTTCTTTTTTTTCAATTATTTTTATGTTTTTTCACAACAATTTTTTTATTTTCGCTTTTTCATTTTTTTTTTTCATTTTTTTTTTTAATTTTACACGTGACAACGATGGGCCACCATAATGCAGTATTATGTGATGAAACCAAATTTCCAACTAACGAAGAACGAAAACTTGAGCGAGGGAAAAATATCATAAAGAAATTAATTAGTGCAACGACCTTGTTTCAGGCAAATAATATGCAATATTGACAATAAGTGGTGAAAAATAGTTAAATACACAGTATTATCCTCATGTACTCGTTACAATACAAAAGTAAATTTAAAAAATGCTGTTTTATGAGTTGGTAAATCTCATGTAATCCTAGGACCTAGGGGATATAACAACCGATAAATGACTTGGCTAAATTGTTCGGATAACAGTACACATAACAGTCTGCATTTCCGACACGTGCTCTTTACATGCCACCTGAACATTGTTAAACATTAACGAGCATTGTAGAAAACCGGTATAAACTAAACAAAGTCGGCAGAAATGCGAAGTCATTCTGTTAGGCGTTAACAAAAGTCTGTTAGGTTTGAAGATTTCTCCATTTACACTTGAAAAGCAATCGGTAGCTATGGAATTGGTAACACTGAATACTGGAGCAAAATTGCCTATACTTGGCTTTGGTACATACGCCGGGGAAGCTGAAGAAGGAGAAATTCGGCGGGCAGTTGAAACTGCAATTGACGTGGGATACCGACACTTTGACTGCGCTTACGTATATGGCAACGAAGCAGAGGTTGGGGACGCATTTCAGAACAAAATTAAGGATGGAACCGTTAGGAGAGAGGATTTGTTCATTACAACAAAAGTTTGGCCAACGTATTATCGAAACGTAAAGGAGTGTTTCGATGAAAGCTTGCGGAGACTAAAGCTAGAATACGTGGATCTCTATTTGGTTCACTGGCCATTTGCTTTCAAATCTACTTTTCCAGCAGGCAGTATCTATTGTCCATTAGACGAGAACGGAAAAGTTTTGTTTGACGACGACGTGCACTATTTGGATGTTTGGAAACAGCTTGAAAAACTGAAAACAGCTGGACTCGCCAAAGCAATTGGTGTATCTAATTTCAACGAATATCAGATAAATCGTCTGCTTAATGAGGCTACCATCCCTCCAGCCGTGAATCAATATGAAATCCATCCCTATTTGGCGCAAGAAAAGCTCTTACAATACTGTAAATCGAAAAACATTGCAGTCACAGGTTTTAGTCCGTTTGGAGCACCGAACCGCTCGTGGCAAATCGCTGGGGAACCTAAATTGTTCGAAGACCCAAAGTTGATGAAAATTGCGAAGAAGCATGGCAAAAGTGTTGCTCAAGTTATACTACGATTTCAAATTCAACGTGGTGTTATAGTTATTCCGAAGAGTTCTAATCCTGTTCGATTGAAGTCTAATTTAGACGTTTTCGATTTCAAATTGGACGACGATGATATGGGTGAAATACGCTCCTTGGATAAAAATCTCAGATATAGTCTGCCAGCCTACAGTACAGGCAAATATTCAGCTTTCAGAGAAAATTATTCAGAATAAACTTGATAAAACATAAAATGTTAAGACATTTGTACATGAGCGATCTTATTGTAGCCTTGCTTGACTTTGCACTGTAATATTTCTTAAATAAAATGTATGCAGAAAAATAAAGTGTTATTGAGAAATGCAAGGGCAACACTGTTAATTATATTTGTCGTTTGATAATTTTATCGAAAACGCAGTCAAAACGCAGTCAGTTATCACTTGCTCAAAAGCTGATTAGCTTGAATATTAATTATGCTAATAAGAATAGTTTTCTCTCGTATTTTGTCACCTTGAATATGATAGTATTCACTGTTGGGTGAATCATAAGCGTATCATTGTTGTCTACCTAATCGTCTTTTGAAATAGTCAAAAGTAGAGCCCAAATCGTTATTTGATTGGCCTCCGCCGCAGGGTGTTTATTGGGCTGCCATTTAGACATTGGGTTTATTTTATGGGTTACTGCCACTTTTCACTACCAATCAAGTGCAATGATTTTTATAATAAATTGTTCGTTTTCTATCCTGAATTAAAACTTAAATTATGATAATTTTGCCAGGATTTGTGTACATTTTGTTATACCAATTTTGGAAACCGAAAAGTAAGCCGTGACGACAATGTTAAGAGCACAAGAACGCAAAAACAACCAAATATTTGAAAAGAAATAAACATAAAAAGAGATATAGGGAGGGAACAGAGCAGAGTTAAATGTACGTGTGTTGAGGGTTGAGATGAGATTGGAACCGAACCTTGATCACCCTCATTGGGCAATTACTACAATTACAAACTGTTTCTACTCTCTGTTTAAGATTGTAAAGGATACCTGATATGTCGTTTTTAAATAAATGATTGCCTAATTTTACTTTATAGACCAGTGGAAATAATGTGCAGTTATTCAATATGGCTCCATTCGATTTACAATTACTGAAGAACGAGCATAGCTTCAATGATATCATTTGAATGAAATAAAAATTTTGCGTTTTCTCACTGAAATGATACAGTGGTTCCATTACATTTGAACCCACGTACACTTGAACTCACGAAAATTGCACCTATGGAACGGATATTGGAACCCATACTAACCCTAACCCATGGGTTTTAGCACTCGCATATAGATTGAACTCGTGGATATAGCCTACACATGGGTTCAAATGTACGGTCACCTATACAGTCAATAGACATTGCTTGCATAGCTTTCATTTCGATTAGGTAAGGCCAGACATGGTTAATTTGTAAATTGTATTTTCTAGGACAGGGGAGGGCAACCCCTGGCACGCGAGCCCATTTATTCGGCACGCGAGCGAGGCCTCGGAAACGAGATCATTCTCCTTCAGATAAAAAGTTTCAAGACTCTGAATTATCTGATGAAACTCGGTGTTCGTTTATTCATTATCGTTTGTTAACAATTCCTTATTTATTTAAACTCTTTTTGTCCTTTCGTGACATATGGCTACAAATAAATATATTATGACGTAACAAATGATTAAGCACGAGAATAGCGCAGCATTCATTCGGCTACATTCTTACGTAATAAAGTTCGTCTGTGCCACCATTTTTCGTCATTTTTGCTTGATTTATGAAGTTGTACAGCTCATGTTGGTTATAGCTACTTGCTAACTCACTGTTATAAATTGATTTCGAAAAAATATAAGCGATTAGGGAAGGGAATTCAAGAGAGAAGTGCAGAAAACGAACAATTGCGTAATTGGTATTCCATTTCCGAAAATGTTTCTTGTCTCAAAAACTTTGCAAATGCACTAATCTCCATGTTTTCATCTACACATGATTGTGAATCTCTGTTCTCAGTTATGAACTTTATTAAGTCTCGTAACAGGAGTATCCTGAAAGATGAAACCAGTAGTTTGTGTATTTCTTTGAAAGTTACAAAATATAAACCTAATGTAAAATCCCAATCAGCTGTAATGCAGCAGCAGAAGCCCCACTGATATAGAATAAGAAAAGTAATCAAGACTATTTGTCGGACTGATATTTTCCCGAACAGTGAATCTGTCTGTACATGTTTAAAAGGTTTATTATTGTGTATTTTTGCTTTGAAAGTAGCAAAGCATTGTTTTTAATTTTGGTCGACAAGAAAAAGTATTTTGTCCTTAAATTTAGCCAATTTTGGCACGCGAGCCGAAAAAAGTTGCCCACCCCTGTTTTAAGTCTAGGCGAAGTGGTCCGGAGTTGTGATTTCCGGAATTGTCTCGTTTTATAACCGTGCCATTCACAGTGTGTTACATGAAACGTATGTTTCTATTTTGTAATCTACCTAAAGCTTATTCGCGTAATTTTCTCCAGCTACTGAATCAACAAAAATTCTATTTATCTATACTCGGGATTCGTGGTATTTATTCCATAAAACCATAGCTAAAGTAATAAAACAGGTACATGACATAAATTTATGAATTAGGTCACTGCGTTCCAAATTTCTCACTATAGTACGGGCCAAAATTTCACTCAAACCTCGACGGTTTCAAAAATTGAAGTATTGAGTTATTGCTCACTACCATATTTTTTAAATTTTCGAGAAAAAATGATCTCTTGTAAGCAATAAATATGCTTGACTGTGTCTAATGTTAACATATTCAAGACTTCAAGATAACAATTGGGGGTGAACTATAGATCATTCGACTAAATAGACGGTTATTGCTTATATATTTTCAAAGACCTCTTCCTATTCCCCATTTAAGAAAATATTTCTGCCCAAAATTTGCTGGTTCAGAAATAAATTGCTAACACGTGACTATTTCGACGAGTTAGTGCAGCAGAAACGACGCGTCTACGTGGGTGGGCATTAGATGTATGCTCACGTATTTAAACATTGCGTTATTGTTTTCGAAAACTATTGACCAAGTTTGATTTAGTGCGTTTGAAATACCAGAATCTCACTCAGGTAGATTGAATTACACACATTGGTTGCACCCTAACATTCATAGATGATGGTAGACGCTCTACTGAATAACAGTCTTTAATTAATGGTTTGATGTATTGTTCCGTGCAATCGTTACAAGAGCGACATTGTGTATATATATATATATATATATATAATTATACGGAGTGGGCCAAAATAGGTTAACAGTTATTGAATTAATACCTAAGGATAACTGTTAACCTACTTCAGCCAAAATAATACACTCATAATGTAATAATAATAGAAATCAAACTACTATTCACTAATGGTGAATACTGACTACAGCGCAACGAATATATACCCAATGAAAACAACTGAAAGTTTATTCTGTATACTTTTCTTTGAAAGGGTAATATTTGTGGGGAGTAAAGGCAGGTACGGATACTGCACGCCAGTTACGGTTGAATTTTTTTATTCTGGTCATATCTTCCTTCTCCAGATTGAAATCAAACACAGCTGCGTTGCTTTTGATTCGACTGGCTGTTACACTTTTAGGTATGACGACAATATCGCGTTGTAACTGGTATCTTAGTAGAACCTGCGCAACAGTTTTGCCGTATTTATCTGCTATATTTTGAAGCTCTGGGTTGTCCAGCAACGTAGGATCTCCTGGCTGTGCCCATGGTCGATCTGGAGAACCGAATGTACTATAGCCTGTAACAACCATTCCTTTAGATTGGCTGTGTTTTACAAGGCTTTCCTGGTCAAGATAAGGATGTATTTCAAACTGATGAACGGCCGGCTTGATATCGACTTCTTTGAAAATTCGATCGATCTGATATTCATTGAAACTGCTCAAACCAATAGCCTTCGTTAGTCCTTTTTTTTGCAATTTTTCGATTTCTCTGTATACCTCGATGTAGTCAATGTCTTCATCTAACTTAGCATTACCCTGATCATCAACAGGAAAAAAATCTTTTTCTGTCGTGAACTGCAGAGCGAACGGCCAGTGTAACATGTACAAATCAACATACTCTAGTTTCAAACGACGTAGACTTTTATCAAAACCTTCACGTACTTTTCTGTAATAAGTTGACCAGAGTTTGGTAGTGATGAAAAGGTCTTCCCTTTTAACCTTTCCTTCTTTGATTTTGATTTCAATTGCCTCCCCCACTTCGTTTTCGTTATCATACAGTAATGCGCAGTCAATATGCCTATATCCCTCATCAATAGCAGTCTCAACGGCGGCTTTAACTTCACCTGGTTGGGATTTCCACGTCCCTAGTCCAAGCATTGGTATATTAGACCCAGTAGACAAACGCTTCATATTAGATGTAGACATTTTATTCAATAGCTGTATAACTAGGCGGTTGTACTGTGCACAGTCCAATGTAACGTCGATCTTGAAGTGGTAACGCCTTTTTGCGTGTTGGTCTTTAAACTGCGGCCGAAACAGTTGACTAAGCGTGACTAAGCAAAAGATCTACTATGCAACGTCGCACGATTAAAATAAAAGAAACTCGACTCGCAACGCTGCGAAAATATTGAAGGGCAAAAATTGCGAAATGTGATCTCTCGAAGAACTGAGTGAATTGAAAACAGTATCGCAGCCCAATATCGACACGGCTGGGTCTTCTTCAGAATTTAGCTTCAGATAAATGTTGTTTTCTTTGGAATTTCACAACATCAACACGCTTAAAGTGATGGTTAAATTTGAATACAACGTAGTCTGACTGATATTCAATTTGACAGAAAAATCTCAATGGCAAAGAAGCAATGATTACCTTTCCCGTCCGTTTTAGTTTCCGCTGTCGTGACTTTAATAACAATTTATTATGTAAAATATTCCTATTTTAGAGAAACTCGTTAGTGCGATAGAACTCCATCCCTGAGGAGAAACTGCACTGTAGTAAAAAGTTTTAATTTATAATTTATTTAGTCAAGGTCAGCAAAGTTTCGGCGACCGCTGAGATGACAAGAGCTACGGAAATCATATAGAATTATGATGTATAGTATAGTAAACTTCAATTGCCCTGAAATTGAAAGCAATGTGATTAGGATAAAAGCTTTCCAAATAACTGAAGTTCCTGATAAAAAAAGGTAAAATTTGTTTGGATCAAATGGTTTTCTAAGTGGGTACTAAAGACTCTTCCAAGAGGGACATGCTCCAAAAAATAGAATTTCTTATAACTGTACCATTTTGTCGTGATACAACACAGCATATGATCTTTTCGCTGTGCTCTTACTGGCTACCTGATGGAACGACCGTGGTCTCGTGCGCTATTTGATATTAAATTCAAATCTTGATCTTGCATCCCAATTTTGGCCATCCACACCAAACTCTTTAAGAGTTGTGAGACACATTTTCCGAAAGTGTTACACGAGACAGTGTTTTATTGGTTGGAAAATAGGCAGTAAAATTAGTCCATTTCCATGGAAAATAGTGAAAAATAGTAAAAATTTCATGTTCTTGGTGGCATACATTACGGCAGTTTGAGCATCAATTCAAATAACGAGTTCGACGTGAAGCAAACAATGATGAATTTGGTAGAAGTTTCGTCTGCTAGGTGTCGAAAATTATAGTTAAATTATAGTGTTTTACAGGTACCACAGCCCATATTATATTTTGAAAGGACATGGCCTATTCAGGTATTCAAGTTTTTTCGAAACATTATCAGGCCTCTTCGAAATAACCAGTTGCGAAATAAGTATTACAGCAAAGCCAAATCTGACTTAAATATTCGGCACAATATTTAACAGCATCCAGGCGTTGAAATGGCAAATAGTTGTCAACAAACTATACTCTGTTTTTATTTATTTTTTCATAAAATTACGGTCGATATACTCCGGAATCTAGATTTGTGATTACATTTAAATTGAACATATTAAATTGAAATTGTTTTATTATTTTGAGTACAATAAATTCACTCATAAAGATTTAAGATTAATGCCATCTAATGCGGGACCGATATGGAACCTGAAAGGTTATTGGGCAATGTTCTAGGCCCTACTTACGCTTTATCGCGTCATGGTAATAAGAAATCTCTTTGTTGTATTTACGCTCACCCACCAGGACGTTACAAAGCAAAAGTGAGTTCCTATTTGACTCGCGCAATGTTTAATTTATATTTTCAAAATTGGATTTATTCAGCAAGTCATGATGATATAATTTTTATTTAATAACGTTTGTTCGATTTCATCTGCTTCTCAACTCAGCAAACAAGGTGTCGCTGACACGATGACTTACTTTATAATCTTTCGCGGCCCCGCGTCAATTGCAGAAATATTGTATGTTTGTTTATTTTATATATTTAATATTATATTTGTTTAATTTTGTGTGTACAATATTTCAAGCACGACGGAATAAATATCCGAATCTAGGGCTTCGGGCGATAGTGTCGCACCTACTGGCATCTTAGGTGGTCCCATTATATTTGTACCCACTTACATTTGCACCCAGGACACTGCAAACCCGAGCGTTATTAATTTGGATATTCTTCCTCTAACCCAGATTGACGAAAACGACTCGCATCGGTATAGACACTATGATGACGCAATAATGTAAAGAGTAGGGAAGCGCTGTAGAGTGTAAACAAATTGTTTCATACAAATCCTGCTTTTGCCAAGTCGAGGTCGTTTCTTACATTCAAATTGAACAAAGTGGAATGAAATGGTTATAATATCTTTGAGTACAATACACACAGAGTGGTCGAAGGTTGCGAGGTTGAAGGGCGGCAAAAACTTTTGAGTAGGTCTCGCGGGCTGAAATCGAAGTTCGCGTTTAGAGATACAACAATAAAATTCCGTGATTTTAACAAACATCAATCTAGACATCGGGATTAGAAAAAGGACTATTTCAAGTTCAAATGGTTTAAAAATAAATCCAGATTGTTTTGCTAATAAATACAATATCTGCCAATGGTTTAGTAGCATACGCTACAATTGTTCTGCGGCCCGCATGGAATGTGTCGGCGGGCCGCAGTTAATGATTAACATGACGCTTCTGGTCGGGGGAAATCGGACCCACTAATAGGTTATTTTGAATAACTCTTCAAATAATGTCGCAGCTGCATTCGTTCTACGTTTGATTTATGCACCCACCCTCAACGAATCGGAATTTACGCCCGATTTTCAGCTAAAAAATATCGGGGTAAGTTAGACACTTTGTGGGCAAGACGGACACACACCAAAATAAACTTGATGGTGTCTAAGATTTCGGTCATAAGACTTCGGTCAACGCCTAGATGGCCCAGAATTATGTCTCTTAATGTTTTTTTAAACAGATCACTTTTCTTGCATATTAAAATGTATGTCTGTCGTAACCCATAAAGGACATAACAAGGCAATTTTCAAAAAAGTTTGAACAGTTTTAGGAAAACTAGAAATTTAAAATTTAGTTTGCACTTTTTCAACTGCAATTTTTATATCTTCTTTACACGGACTACGTCTAGAAGTATTTATTTTGTAATTTCTTGGCATAACCTTGGGCGTATTTCATACGCATAAAAATTGGAAAATTGGACGGGGTAAGATGAAATTTTACGCCGCGCCTAACTTCTAAGAGACCCAATATAAATATGGCGATGAGTGTGCTTTTGATCTTTGTTGTAAAAGGTACTTAATACCAATTTATTAGATCTAATGCAACTACTTTCAACAAATAAACAAAATAGAACCGAGTTCGCAGACTTTTCCGGCTAAAATTATTCTTTGCCATCATGGAATTTGACGTTTTTCTGTCCCACAGAAACACCCTTTCCCCAAAAAGCACCGCCTTATAAGTTGTCGAGCCTGAAATGTAAAATCTTAATCCTGTCGTTGTTCACGTGATGTCGCTCTTTCACGCGATGCGTTTTAAACGACGAAAAAGCGCGAGGTGTCGCTATTAGGAGGATTTTATTTTGACTGACCATCTTACCCCTGGTGTCCGATTTACCCCGACCTACTATATTATAATGATTTACGTTTTGCGCCTTATTAATGCCATACAAATCCGACACTTTGACTATTGCGTCACAAGGTCAGTCAGTCAATCGTATAGACCTACTTTGGTATGAAGTTGTGAACAGCGGTCTTTTCCAGTTCAGTAACCTTTGCGTGCGGGGAAACAGCATGAAACCTCGTATTCTTCTTGTTTATAGACTTATTAAATCCATACTCAAAATATATCATAAACATATATCAGAAACCTAATTTTTGCATGAACAGTCGATGTACGAAAATTAAAAATGTTTAATATAAACTGAGAGAACGTAAAAGTTGGTTAGATATGCAGATAAGGAAGGAACACGTTATTCCAATACTTTTTTTATCACATGAAGAGGATTTTTGGAATATTAATGGTTGTTACAAAAAAGTCGATCTCATCTTCGAAATTTTGTAGGCATGTTATGTCCACTTGATTAACTAACCGTAAGAAATATATATTTAAATATCAGCCAACATAATATTCACATAATGTGAAAAGCAATACAAATTAAAATAACAGTCATTAACGCAAAAAATCATAATTACTGAAAAGCCTAGGCCACTGACTCCGTATATTCTTTTTTGAACGGGTAATATTTGTGGTTGGAAAACAGGGGAAAGTGAAACGCACGCCAATTACGGTTGAGGTTCTTAATTTTAGTCATTTTTCCCTTCTCCAGATTGAAATCAAATATAGCAGCGTTGCTTGTCTTGGGCATGACAACAATATCGCGTTGTAACTGGTATCTGAGTAAAACCTGAGCAACAGCTTTGCCGTATTTAAATGCAATGATTTGAAGCATTGGGTGGTCCAGTAACGTAGGATCGCCTGACTGTGCCCATGGTCGATCTAGAGAACCGAATATACTATAATAGCCTTCGACAACCATTTCTTTAGATTTGCTGAGTTCTACAAGACGCTCCTGGTCAATATAAGAATGTTTTTCAAACTGATGAACGAGCGGTTTAATATCTACTTGGAAAATTCGATTGATCTGATATTCATTGAAACTGCTCAAACCAATGGCCCCCGCGAGTCGTTCTCTTTGCAATTTTTCTATTTCTTAGTATACCACATGTGATAGAACATTCTAGCTAGATTCTAGAACAATTCTATGTGAACGACGGACGTATGTTGTATTTTTATTTACTTTCATGCAATATGATATATTCTGTGAGCAATTGAAGCCTGTGTTACTTGAATTCAAGCCCTTGAATACGTACAAATCAACATAGGCCTACTCTAATTTTAAGCGACGCATACTTTTCGTCAAAACATTCCTTACTTTTCTGTAATAGTTGACCAGAGTTTAGTAGTGATGAAGAGGTCTTTCCTTTTTTTGTTCTTTGATTTTGCCTTGAATTGCGTCTCTCACTTCGTTTTTGTTATCATACAAAAATGCGCATTGGAAATGTCTATATCCCGCATCAATTGCAATTTCAACGCCGGCTTTCACTTCACCTGGATTGGATGTCCACTTTCTTAGTCCAAGCATTGGTATATTATACCCAGTAGACAGCCGCTTCATATTTAATGTTGCCATCCTGTTCAATAACTGTAAAACGAGAATATCGGTCGGAGACCGAAGACTTATCGATCGAAGATTAGGGGATTCCCCAAAACAGCGCTCTTACTCCATAGTGACACCGTGTGTCCTATCACTAATTATTTAATAACTCTCTAATTATACGACATAATTCATCGAAAATCAAATAAGCTTCTGATCCGAGCTATGATGAATGCACATGACAAATTTGGAGCAGATTCAACCTCGCTTCCGAAAGATATCGCGTGCATCTAACAGACAGACAGACAAACAAACAAATACCTATCAACATACTTACCCATCTTAAGATCGATAAGTAACTAGAGAGATGTACTGTTGCATATAGTCAACTCTAACGCCGATCGCAAGAAAAGATAACATCCATCGTGTTTTGATCGTTAGTCCGTTGCCTAACTAATTGAAAAGCTAAGGGAGAGGTCCATTAGTGAATATTATGTCCTCGGGGCTTGTTCGTCTTCAAATTTTAACTTGAAATAGTATTTTTGTGGAATTTTACAACACCAACACGCTAAGACGGGTTGGTACTATTTTAATATAACATATGACTAAAAATTTGATAACGCGGGTCGACTCGGGTCACTTTCCATTCGCTGTTAAAATCCATAGTCTAAAATCAATAGTATTTTATTAACAATATTGCATACAAATTTGATTGATTTCCAATTAAACGTTGGAATGTGACTTGACTTATTTATCTGCATAATTTGTGAAGAAACAGGAGTAATTTTCATTAAGGGACAAGCAGTGGCCAATAAGATGTTTTGCTTAATCGTTGTTCTTCTTTTTATAAAATTACGGTTAAGTGTATCAAGATCACTGATATCCTGTTTCGCGTTTGTATACTACGGCTTCCAGATTTGTAATAACATTTCATTCAATTCTTATTTGATTATCACGTGCCAAATGACTTACATAAAGCAATTTTAAATCACTTTTGTGTCCATATTCGCGCTACTAGTATTTTGCAATAAATATATATATATATATATATGTTTATTTGTGAATGTAAATCAAAAGTTGCGTCGAGAAGCATTGAATAAGTTGTAATATATGAAAATAATTGTTAGCAGATTATCGATGTGTTTATATTATACGCCTATCCACATTTACTAAAGTATTTGAGAAGACAACCGTAACAAGCCCAACTTGTATGAATATCATCACATCTATTACTCAGTGGCCTAAGCATGCAGCCATTACCGCACTACCAGATGATGGAGGGGGGACAAAGTTGCCTGTTGGCAGTTTTTCGTTATTCAATTTTGCCAAGATCCGAATCGAACTCATATCGGCTATAACTGATTGGCTATTTAAAACATAAACTAGTTCCCCTCAAACTTTACTGCGAATTGCTAGTCTCATAAATGTCAAATAACATAAAGTAAATGCATTCAGATTTACACGAAAATTTGAATTATTTCTGAAATTTTTATTTGATAAAGATTGTCAAATTATGAATCTGAATAAATTGCCTACATTCAGAGTTGTAGGAAAACAATTGTTAAGTTTGTTTTAACGGGTTCAGCCGTATATGATTCAAGTTTTGCTATAGAAACTATCACAGGTATAATTCGAATTGAATTACGATGAAGGTGTGTAAAATGGTCCATTAAACTTCATTTCTTTGGATTACTATACAATTGTTGTATTCGGGTTCATATGATTACATCTCAACTTTCTGAATAATCATCTTTGAACGCAAAATATTTATGAGAAGAAAATGGATCCATTCCACAGCTCCTGAAATCCTTATTCAGACCACGTATCAAATGTTTGTCGTTTTCGTCCAGACTAAAATCAAAAACTCGAAAATTGCTTCTGATTCTGGAAGGAGTGACACTTTTCGGAATAACTACGAGTCCACGATCAATATGATATCGCACAATTACTTGTGCCACAGTTTTGCCATGCTTATCAGCGATTTCTTGAAGTTGAGGGATTTCGAGCAAACTTGGTTCGTCTGGTTGGCGCCAAGGACGACCTGGCGATCCAAATGGACTAGAAGCTGTAACAACGATGCCGTTCGCTTGACAAAATTTTATCATATCTTCCTGATCAAGATACGGGTTGTTTTCAAACTGATGAACGGCCGGAGATATTCTGGCATCCTTTAATAGCCGCTTAAGCTGGTATTTGTTAAAATTGCAAACGCCAATAGCCTTTACCAGGCCACTCTGTTGCAGTTTTTCCATCTCTTTCCAAACATCGGAGTAATGGGTTATTTCATCAAATAGCGTTTTCCCGTCTTTATCAGCTGGAAAATGATCCGTTTCAGAAACGAACTGAAACGAGAATGGCCAGTGAATAAGGTACAGGTCAACATAATCGAGTTGCAAACGTTTCAAGCTTCTGACACAGCAATCATGAATTCGACCGGCGTGATAAGTTATCCACGGTTTAGTTGTAATAAACAACTCTTCTCTTTTGACTTTACCCTCTTTAATCTTTTTCTGAATCGCACTACCAACTTCTGTTTCATTTTCATAAACAAGGGCGCAATCTATATGTCGATATCCTTCATCGATTGCTACCTCTACTGCAGCTCCAACTTCCCCCGGCTTTGCTTCAAACGTTCCCAGTCCGATTACTGGAATTTTCGTCCCAGAATTAAGTAAAACAGTTTTATCGGCCATTATATATGAAAACCGAGAAAACAATCTTCCTCAAATAACCGAGAAATACTATAGAGTAGATTTAGAGTATTACGCGCTATCATGGCGGTGTTTGTTTGAGAAAAGCAAACAAGTGGTTCTAGAACGGAACAAGCGAGATCGTGCGATTACGTAATAAATATTGCCCAATCGATCGCTCTGCTGTTCGAACAGACTTTCTCGAAATCTACAACCACATCAAAACAACTTTTGATTGACACATAGTATTCGGCAAATTTTATTTAATTTTCGAATACATCATGCAATCATTTTTCACACAAATCTACACTAGATCAAGGAAATATTCTGATTCCGGTACTGTAATTTAATACAGAGCTAATGACTACCTTCCGCGTGGACCTATACGGTTAGAGATGTATCGGTGTCCGCCAATTTTTCGGTATCAGTATCGGCTACATTTAGACCGATATATCTAGCTTCTCAGTATGATCCAGAATGGTTTGAAAAATAGGTTAGAATACTAATCTTAAAATTATTTTTGCTTGGATAGATCGTGAACTATAGGCCATGCACGTCTCCACCCCCGCTAGTAGAAACGGATTCTGACCTGTTTTTAGCCATTTATCAGCCAAACTGGCTCAATCGTTTTGAGTATTTTCGCTGCCAAATTTTTATGTTAGAATTTTTAATATTACATGGTAATTATGAAGAAATATATCAATCGAATATTAGTGGATGTTCCGATGTGTAAAATATAAAATACGACGTTATATTGGCACAAAATCCTGCGCGTAACTCAATTTATCAGGTTCATACGATACGTAGGCTGAACATTTATTTATTTCACCACCATCAGTAGCCAAATCCTATTAGTTTTCTAATTGAACACCGAGATTACTAGCGCGAGTGTTATATATATATGTGTGTGTGATATTTCTCTTTTTTGATCCGAAATAATGTGCACTATTTATAATGCTCAAAGACTATTGATTTAAACCAGGGTCGTCCAACCCATGGCCCGCGGAAGCATTTAGAGTGGCCCGCGCTGTATTTTTCAGAATTGAATAAAAAATCGAGTAAAGATGTGATACGAACGATTTGTTTATTTCCTGGAATGCGCTCTGCCAGCCCTTCTAAACGAGCCATGAGTGCCATTTTGATTCGAAACGAACTGGGAGGAGATATCGTACATAAAGGTGCCATAGTCGCTTACACTCTTGGTCTTTCACTAGTCTATGTGATTGCAAAACAATCGAAGAAATGTATATTATGTATTGTTCGGGTTGCCAATATATCTAAGAATGAGAGTTTATCGTTCTAATTAGTTTCCCAATGAAACTGTTTGAGCCTTTAGTTATTTTATAATTGCTTCCCGAGAAATATTCTGGTTTTTTCGACATCTTTTGTCGTGTTTGGTTTTGCAATGCCGCTTAAAAATATATTCTTTCGTGACAGATATTACTTAAAACCATACCAGACACTGTGGTTTAACGTTGTTGTGGATTAGAAAATACGTTTGCTTCAAGTTTACTTCGGTCACCTTCTTTCAACACTTATTGTATGATGAATTTATTGGACACGTAGTGGACATAGCGATCGTTTTGTTGTTATTGGACACTTTAGTGAACATAACGATCGTTTCAATATTATGTTGTAGTTATTTTTCTTCGTCACCATCATTATAAAATCGCTTTTCTCTTCGAATACTGGACCAATTGCTTCGAAATTTTCATTGGGTAAAGTTTGATTTTTTTTTTCAGAAGGCTATTACTTTTATTTATTCCTAAATTTACTATGAGATCTGATATTTCATTCAAAATTTCGCTGTTCTAAAATTTACTCATGGGAGCACTGTTTTGAAACTTATTTCAAGCGGATGCGTGATAGAGCCTGCAGGTACGGTACTGCTCAGTTACCGTACCACAGTGAAAGTGATCCTTTCGCAATCTTACTATTGCAGTAATGCCAAATGTAGGTTTTTTAGCAAATCTAGCCTACCGTATATGTTAATTTTGATAAGAGCAAATTGAATTGAGTTTTTAAATGCCAGACAAGAACCGTTCCACGATCGAATAGCAGGCCTCCAGTACAGCAACAGGTACTGGTAAGGTACCGTACCTCTGTGAATTACGCTCTCATCTTTTCGTTACAGTACTGATGTGAACAACATAAATTTTGTAGCCTATTTTTTTTTTATTTGATAAGAGGAAATGAATTGAGTTCTTATAAGACAAGGAAGAACCGTTCCGCGAACGAATATCAGGTAGCCTACTGGTAAGTTACCGTGCCGCATATGGATTATCGGGGAATCGATATTTTCTTCTTTTTTTGGCCTGGTACCGTAATTGAGAAGTGACTCGAATCACTCGGTATTTCAATTCACGTTGAAATTGGATGGTGAAGAATAGATCATTACCACAGGGCATGGAAGAGCTATGACAGTCCCTGTACCGTAGTAAGTCAGTTACCATAGCCATGAAGCTGTTTCACTGTTCAGATTTGTGCAGGATATCGTACCGAAGGCGTAGGGTACCTTATGGTTTTCGGTGAAGTGATGATAATACATTTCGTTTTATTCTAAGTGTCCATATATTTGAACATAGCTCTCTTGTGTTGTACTTGTTGTCCTTTGACACGTTTTGAAGAAATTGCTTTTCTCTTTGATTACTGGACCAATTGCTTTGAAATTTTCAGTGGTTAAAGATAAAATTTTTCTCCAGAAGGCTATTACTGTACTTTTTTTTTGCTATAACGTCATCAAAATTATTGCCATCAGGTGGCGCTACGTGTCTATATATTTGGACATAGCTCTCTTGTTACTTGTAGCGTTAGCAGGCCGTTAAAAACAACCAAGTCCGTCTAAGTTAGGACCTCGGGCCCAGATAGAAAAAAAAACTGGATCGCGCGGCGCTAAGTCAGCTCTGCGGTTCGTCACTGCTGTCATAATTATGGCCAACACTTAAAAATAGAGGAGTGTTTTGCCTAAAATAAAGGCATAAAACGTCTCTTCAAATGAGGAGTTACTTGACGCGAGCTCATCTCATCAGCTAGGTCTTGCCCGTACAAGACAATTCATTCTCTTTTTACCGATCACAGGACGTTATTCCCATATACATGTAGAGTTGTAGACACAAACGTCAATCCTGACATCGGGATTAGGAAACAGACTACAGTATTCCCAGTCGGAATAGTTTAAAAATAAATCAAAATTGTTCCGCTAATAAATATCGGCCAATGGTTTATTAGCGTACGTTAAAGTAGTTCTGCGGGCCGCACGGAATGTGTCGGCGGGCCGCATGCGGCCCGCGGTTTGGACCACTCTGATATGAGGGGTAAAATCACAAGTAGCCTAAGGCAAAGGGTTAACCAATGCGGATATACCAATGAACTGGAATACTCGTGGGGTTAACTATGCAAACGGTAATATAGGGTAGACTCAAACTAGGATACTGTCGTAGTATGTGAACCAGGATGGCGGACACCGGAGCGTAGTATGTGTACCGGGTCAGACCATAATTTCAGGTACTAATACTACGGGAGTCACTTGGCTAGTCCCCGAACTCGTAATTGAACTAAAATAAGGAAGATTGGAATCAAACTATGGCCTGACCCTAACCTGGTACACAGACTATGTTCAAGTGTCCGCCATTTTGGATCGCATACTACGGGAGCGCCCAAACCGTATATATTTACGCGCAAACTAGTACGTAGTTTCACATGTGAAAAACACATAAAACTTAAATTCGTTTGCGCAAATAATTGTCATGAATGAGTCATGGAAACTCTTTGCTCTAATCTAATCGATCTGTGACACCCTTATGCTACTCCTAAACCGTTACAAGGTGTCCATAAAGTCTTTTTACAGTTTCAATTTTGTTGTTGAATTAAGTTCTCAATACGTTTGTTGTTTTTTAATCAGTAATTGTTTAAATTTTTTTATTTCATTTAATACAGCTGTGAGGGCCAAAACAATATATGGTATCGATAAATCCTGTTTGCAATTTAAAATTGTCTCAAGTTTATACACTCGAAACAATTAAGTGGCCAACTAATCTCATGCCCGATATGGACTTGTGACCGGACGAAAGGCCTAGAAAATGAGTTTCATAGCGCACATAAGGAAACTACCGTATTTATTCGATTATAACGCGCAAAATTTTGAACTGAATTTTAGGCAAAAATCAATGCTGCGCGTTATACACGAGGTCTGAGAAATGCGGTATTGAAAATGTGGTTTTAAACATCTGAAACGTGCGTGCGCTCGCGCATGCACATTCCAATGCAGGACGATTTCGTGCAAGCACACGCACATGCGACAGCTCAGCATGCGTTTGACATTCCCGCTGCGTTGAGAATATTTATTTGCCATTATCGTACTGTACTGTAGATACCCATTATATATTACCCATTATCTATTATGGCAAGACAAAAACGTTCTGCATATAGGGCTGCATTCAAACTGGAGGTTGTTGATTATGCGGAAACTCATGAAAATAGAAAAGCTTCTAGAGAATTCAATGTACCAGAGACAAATGTCAGAGATTGGAGAAAGCAGAAAGTTGTTCTAAAAGATATGAACAAAACAAAGAAAGCGCGGCGAGGGAGACAAGCCCGGTACCCAGAGTTGGAGAAGGAGCTTTATGATTGGATAGTTGATCAATGATCTAGTGGGTACATCGTCACTTCGCTCCATATTAGACTCCGTGCACAAAAGATTTGCAAAGATTCAACCTTTAAAGCATCTAATGGTTGGGCACAAAAGTTTATGAGAAGGCATGGACTTGCACTACGCCAGAAAACAAAAATTGCACAAAGGTTGTTGTGGGATTCAAAATCAGGGTCAGGAGAAGAGGTTGAAAGTGATGTTCCCGCCGATTGGGACACTGATTTAAACATAACCCAAACAGAAATCGAACAGTTGTTTGGTGAATCAGAGACTGAATCCGATTTTGAAGAGTTTTGAATTACTGTGTGCTTTTAATAAATTTTTGTTCATGCTGTGAGTTGTTACCTTATGTGCTTACCAGTAGTTAGTAGAGAAAAAATAAAAAAAAGAATTTTATACCAATTTTCATTCAAAATTTAAAGGTGCGCGTTATACACGAGTGCGCGTTATAATTGAATAAATACGGTACCTGGAAATAATTCTAAAATGTTCCATAGAAATTAAGTAACAAAGAATACCTTGTTCCCATTTCCAAAAATTTCACGTTTTACGAAAAAGCCGCTTTTACTACAAGAAATATGTGCTACGATCTGCCCTATATTCTCTACTTTCCGGCAACATTGGACAATGAACACAGACTTCTGCATGACGTAACAATTAAAATTTTATCAGCTTTTGGCGGGCTGATGAATCTCAGTTTGTACTGATTGATCTTGCGTTGGGTAGCCTTTCTATCGTCTTTTTTTGTTTTATTAGTCAAGTTATGCTAATCGGTGTTAAAAAGTCATGGAAACGGGCAACTTCCATCCAGCCCGAACAAACCCAAATTCAAATAGCAGAAATAAGGAAAAAATTTTCATTCCATTTGTTGCTAAAAGTATCTCACAAGAATCCATTGCAGTATGTGGACCAAAAGCTTGGAATTCCCTACCTAATGGCTTAAAAAAATCAAAATCAAACTCAGAATTTCTTTCCAAACTTATGCAACATTTGTTATCATCATATTAACCAAAATCTTTGTTTTGAACATATTACTTGTTGCGCTCGATTCTATGAGCCTGGTTACTTCTCACGCACATTAAGGAGATTGGAGACTTCAAAAACGCGTCCCAATAACCCAGTCCCGACCCCAAACTTATATCAGTTAATTGTTACAACTAGTCCGTGCTTTCAAGCAATTAAAGTCTGTAAACAGCGGTTAAAGTGCCCCCAGATTCTTCTGTGCCTTCCAAGTGCTGCCCCAATATAATTCAATTTGAAATCGGCGAATATCTTTAATAACAATCAACAGACACTTCAAATCAAATCTCGAACATGAATCAGGAAAATAAACTTGTTGGGTACGAGAAACGTGATGTAAAGGAACGTTTGGAACGTAACGTAAATCTTGATACCGGGTATAACGAACGTAAAGGAACGGTTTTCTGCCAAAATAATAGATAAAACTAAATAGCTTATATGGCACAATTAATCGAATATAACAGTATTACCATTTTCACAAGCAATAACAATTTACAGCAATTAGCAGTTAACCAAATATCACAATTATGTACAGATTAAATCACATAGGATAAAATAGCATTCACAATACTAAAATACAGAATAAATCATACAAGATAAAACAATATTTACATACCGAATGTGACTAAATAAAAGAACAGCAGTTAATATTCTATTTGGACTATAATACAGTGTAAACCCTTAATTTTAAACCCAAATAACAACTTCAATCCGAATCGGTATTTAGAATTTAGAATTCCCGGGAATAATCGAGAAACAGGACTATGTCGCAATAATGCTGCATCGATACGTTTGCAACGTCTGCGTAACAACGTAAAACGTCATCAAATTATGAACACGCTATGATTCTCGCTAACATTACTGTTTCGGAGTTTTTTTCTTCTAGGGAATTCGGTTACTAAGATGGGCTACTAGAGACTATTTGGATTGAAAGTACCAACAGGAAACTCCGAGAATATCAGATCACCACTCAGTAGATGGCGACTTCAAACTCCGCAGGCTACCTCAGCAGGATGCAATATGAAACAATGAACTGAATTAATATTTTAACTCACCCTTCTAATCTTATTATCATGCTTAATTAGACAAAGACAATAAAAACAGCAAACTAGGTTAAAGATAATAAATTACAATTACATCAAATTTGAATCCAGCCATCAATAGAAACAGTTTTCTTTGTCAAAGTAGCATGCTGGGCCCTTTCTTTCCTCAAATAGTCATAGCACAAAATCAAATATATTCTTCCCTTCCTTCCCCCATGAAACTAATTACTCTATTTGTGATCCTAATACAATTAGGGCAATCCATGACATGGAAACATGCTTTTTTTTATAAAATATTAGCCTCAATTATATAGTCACTTTTTATACATTTATTATCTTCTGAAAAAATGCAATCATGACGGGCCTTTGTTGAAATGCTTTTTCTTAAGTTATTTTTCCCTTTAATTTTTACCACATTCGCTTCAATTTTATAAATATAACAAGAATACCTAAGAATTTGACACTCGAACTGAAGTATTTCAACAAAATCTGTATGGTCACATTTTTGCTGAAATATATATATTCTATCAAAGACTTTACTAGCACCCTTGAGTGACGCATACCATATAGGCATAAGAACCGCAAGTTTATCTCTTATACTTCGCCCATTCATACTATATGGTCTCACCACTCAAAGGCGCTGTATTTACGCCTAAATTTTGATTTCATTGTAATGTATATGTTTATTTGGTGTTGTGTTGTCTCTATTTATATATATTGTCTTGTCTTATAAACTCCCATGTATAAACAGTTTTGTATACTCCACCCTTACCACTTTCACCGCACCAAATGACCCATTGCCCCACTGTCTATATAAGAGACCATATTTAATCTAATGTTTTTTGTTTTATATTAGTCAAAAAGGGTGCATGCCGCACATTTGTGTTTTAGGCCAGTACGGTCTTGTGCATGCATCCCGTCTTAAATAATAATAATCGTTCATTTATTTTTTTTATCACTATTACATACATACATACATACATACATACAAGTATAAGTAAGTTATTAAACACTTGTAGATCCTTACCATGGATATAAGCCGTAAGACGAGGCCTTGAAAAACGCCCAAAAAATGAGTTTCGTAGCGCACATCTGGTAACTAAATAAATTCTTTAGTTTTGTATGAAAATGAACATACTGAACGCATCACAACATGTTCCACAATCCTGATTCGAAATTGAATATAAAGGGGTTTCCAGAAAATCAATAACCATGAGTTTACAACAACACAGTATAAGAACTATGCAACTCAAGGGCCCTGCTGCACACTAACTTCAGACACTAACTGCGACAAACTGACTCCAGTAAAATTGGTTATTTTTCCTCTTTCTTACAATCGTGCATTACACAAACGGTCATTATTTTCTAAATCAAATTTGTTGTAGCCTATATAGCGGTTCCTTTAATTACCGGAACGGACCCTAAATTACCGGAACGGACTCTAAATTACCAATGCCCCCCCCCCAAGTTTGCCGATTCAATATAAAAATTGCATCGAAGTATATGAAATGACATTTGCAAGGCATCTAAAGGTCCGTTCCGGTAGGTTTATGTATGTTTTCCACCCCGTTCCGGTAATTTAGGGTCAGTTCCGGTAATTAAAGGAACCCGCCTATATAGTAGCATAAGTCTGCTGAATACCCAAGAATCGTAAATAAATTAATCATAAACTTTTCATACAAGCATGAAAATACCGTAACGTTGTTAGGGGCATATCTTGCTTGAAGTAATGTTCAACATGCAACAGTGTCTTGTTGCATAATAATGTGAAATGAATAAAAAAACTAAATCCTCACTGATTGTTTACCTGGTAGCGGTAGACTATCACTCTCTTGGTGATACTCCTTTCGTACTAGTATCCAGACGCTCAAAATGCATCTTAAACCAAAGTTGGTTTACAAAACAGTGCAACTTGATAGCATCATACATTAACTAAATGTTACATTAATCGAAGTGGTATATTTTTACGATTAAACCAATGACATTAAACAACATGATAGGCAACTCTGACGTCACTCCATAAGACTACAGGCAAAACATTGTATTTCATGATACGCTCCAATGCACATATTTCTCGTCGCCTTTCGCGTCCGTTTTCCGCTCGCTTTTGCTACTCGGCGTCTTTTTTACGTGTAGTACCTGCCTTTTTGCGCCTGTAACGAAACAAAATAATCTCTATATCTAAGAAGTTTTGCTTACTTGGAAAGCTGGAATAACAGGCAAGCTGTAAAGAGCAATTCTGGACATCATAGACGTTTTTTTTTATCAGAGAAGATTACAAACGCGATAGCGGAAAGATTTGTGTGGAACATTTTGCAGATAATGACAAAGTTCAAAGTTAGTAATTTTAATGTTTGCGCTTAATCATTGAAATTTCATTTAAAGAGGGTGTCATACAAAACTGTGCTGCGATACAATTCCATAACACAAAGTTTGCACCTATCGAACTTGCTTTTGTAGGTGAATTTATTAGACATATTACATATTCAGTTAATCGTAGGTAACATTGCTGGTACATAATGCATCGTAGATAGGTTTGTTTAAATTTAGGAATTTAGCTCATAGCCCACTAATTAATATTATCTTCTATGCAGGAGGTTGCAGGGCTGAATTCAACTTGCAGCCTTACCGATCACCTGACGATGCTCATTTAGTTTGGCTCGAGCAAGTCTTCTTGAAATGCTTGTGTGGATGGAAACTACAAATTTATTCTGAGGGATTTCGCATATAATTCTCACTGATTGTTGGCTGTTTATAATTCCTATTGATTGTGAATTCTGATTATAACAATGAGTTGAAAATTTTTTTACCTAATTTACTGGCACCTTTTTCTTGTCAATACTCCAAGCTGAGGTAATAAACATGACAATACATTTATGTCATCTGGAAGCAAAATATGCACACTAATTAATAGTTTGGCACATTGAGATAATACATCATGACAGAAAATACAAGTTAAAGATATGTATGACCATCACATGGTAATTAAAATTAAAAAAAATTAATAGGGGCTGTGGAGTATGGAAAGTTCAAGACAAAGAAAAGAACAAATGTTCATAGCTCATGAACTCTCAATTTTGCCTCCATTGCTTTGTGAAGGCCAATATATTTCGAGTGGCTGAATTGGTTTACCTTTATGATAGCAACGATTTTGTATTTAATATAGCGAGATTATTTCAATTTAATTGAAGTGATATAATTTCCCAAAGCAATGCTTGAATCGTCTAGAATAGATCAGTGGTGTCAAACTCATGGGTTTTCGAGAGCCGCATTGCATTTTGAAAATTGTAAAAAGAGCCGCAAACAGTTTTTGATAATGTATACTTAAAAGATATTTTTAAGATAGTTTTAGTTTGTGACATATATTGTGATGCAACTAAACAGTTGGATTAAGTTTTATTATTTTCTTCAATTTCAAATGCAATTACATATTAATATTTGCATTCCACTATTATTGCAACATTTGCAAGTTACAGTATTTATTATAAAAAATCGTAAAATTCTATGTACAACCATCAAAATCATTTTTGAACAAGCTTTGAATAAGGAAAGAATAATACATACACTAAAAATAACTTAATCTAAATATATGAACCTAAAATTAACAAAAATACTACAGTATAAACTCAATGTTTTAATAATTACATTTGTCCTGGCGTTTGGCATCTTTTTTGTGTCACCAGCATACTAAGGCCAGTCTGAAATGATTTTATAGTACCAACTCTAACTAACGAGGCCACATGATCATGGGTTTATCTGGATCTTTACGAATGTTTAATTAATTCCAGTAATGCAAAAAAGTTACTTTTATCATTTCATGTATAGATCAGTAAAAAAACAAATGACAGATTTTTTCGACAAGACATTTCGCACTACATTGCGTGGCATAGGATTGCTTGAATTATTATTGATATTGATTTTTAGTAACTAAGTCGTTGTATAATTATATTAATATACAAACACATGGAAATTTTCTGTTCGAAGTTGGTCTTCGAATTTGTCATATTGACTGCTGAGCTTATTGTGTTTTTTGATTGTATTGATGGAAATATGACAAATTAAACAATGTGCTTCAGAATTTTGTGAAGAGCAGAAATGTTACAACTCCCATTTTCTTCGAAAATGCCACCTTCTTCATGTACTTTGCGTTTAATTTAATTACTCAAGTGTTTTATTCAAGTATTCTTTTGCTAGCTTGATGTGTATTCTTAATTGGGTCAAAATGTGGACAAAAAAAATTAATATTCCAAAACTACTTTCAGTAAATTGTTTTCTGTGTGAATAATCAATTTCACTTTAGAAGGTTTGAAAAATCTATTACATTTAGATAAAAAAAAAACTTCCAAAATACTATTACAATTATTGTTAAGCGTTCGAGGGCCGCACTGGAAGTTCTCTGGGGCCGCGAGTTTGAGATCCCTGGTCTAGATTGAAGTTGTTCAAAAAATATATGATAGTATTTTATCATGAATGATGATTATACCCCTTCCGGAATTTCTTCTATAGTACTACCAAAAGTTGATGAACCAAATATAACACAGGTGCAGTGAGGTACCCGTAATCCTCATTTCCAAAGCTGTTTTAAGTATGTCTGGCGTGTTTTGTGCCTTTTTACAAATAAGACCGCTTATGCAATCTTACGCTTTGGAATTTTTAGTTATTTTCCTCAAGCCCTGCAGGATGTGGGGGCCATACACAACTCTACCGGAGGGTCAAATGTCTTTGCATGCCTCCATAGGTTGTTTTTCTATTGCAATTTCTATTTTCAATTGCATTATATTTCTTGGAATCACACTGTCACTGATATGTCGCCAGACTTCTGATATCTCCCCGTCTGCTATAGTTGTCCTGTGAATAAATAATAGGAAATTGAGATTAGACGAATAGTTGAAAGTTTTGCTTTATGTCGGCTTAATTTCTTGATTGATATACTTACTATTTCTGCTATTGCCTCTTGTGCTGCAAGAGTCTCACAATGCTTAGACAGGTTTGTCCACAACTTTCACATCTGAAGAAAGAGAGGAGATTTATTAATTTTCGTTAAGAATAAATAAAGCAGTCTATATGATTCAGAATGGAAAAGCTAATAAATCCAATATCTCATGTTTTATTTAAAAAATATTTTACTGAATTTGGTATATAAACCAACTAATAAAAGGGTTTAGTCAGAAAATTACAAGCATTCGTGGCTCCAAATACTTGAGAAATCAGACTATACAATATAGACCGGTATGAGTGAAATGTTAGGTGAACTTGTTAACACTTTGATTCAATACGCAAATAAAAGTGAATGCGTAATAGTATGTTACAATGAGCAGCAATCAACAATGAGTATATATCCTCACTGATTAAAAAAATCTAACTGGAGGTGCATGAACTATTTGAAACCATAAGGGGTAAGTAAATATGTAATTTCGGCAAATGGGCAACTACGTACCGTACTGAATTAATAACTTCGTAGTATTTGACAAAGGCTGGCTTTCCCACATGTACTTAACAGTGTGATATACAACAATAGTATTCACCTTACCTTTTACCGATTTCTTTTTACCCCAACTTTCAAAAATATCATTAAAATCGACAACAACTGTCAAAGCAGGCACGAACACCATTCGTGCTACGCCTTGAAAGCAGCACACATCCGCTCGTTTTCGTCTCGTCAAGTATGTGCATTGGAGCGTGCTATCGAATACGATCTTCGGACAAAAATGCCGGAGTTGCGCATCATGTTGTTTAATGTCATTGATTAAACAGTCGAAAACGAAGTCAAGTGGTTGAAACTCACTATAGAATCAGTTTTCCAAGGCTAATTGATGGGCGGTCAGTACCGGTACGTTCCTCACATAAAATGTCATTGCTTGATCACCGTACAGTCTGAACTTCCTATACATTTGCATTTTTTTACATTATATTATTGTTTTAATCTTCACGAAACTTCGCGATGAGGAACTAGAATCAAACACCAAAAACGAGGTTAAGCACCCTACTCGAGAATATGCGATGAATGTAAAATCTGGAACGAGTTCTCACTACCACGTCATCCAAGGCTGTTTCCGATTTTAGGATCGATTTTCGTGGAAGCGGTTTTTGGAAATTCATAATTAAAAAGGTAAGTCGACTTTATGTGAATAGTAGGCGTTGAAAATTATGAAAAAAAAACATATAGAATCGAATTTATCAAATAAATTTTTCGTGATAACCAACCTTTAACGATTTTCAACACCCAGTGGCTGAATATAAATATTCCTATAATTTTTTTTCTCTCAAAACTTCAATTAGTGGTTCATGGTAGCCTAAAAGTTTCTTTGCGAGCGGCGTATTCCATTAACAATGGACCTTTCCCCGACCTTTGACCGCTGAAAAATTCTTTCCATACTTTACCCGCTGAACTGGCTTTACCATTGCAAAATTTTCGGGGTATTTTAAGCGTGCTTTTGGCGCCTGTAAAATGGGGTATGTGTTTCAAATCATCATTATGATTCATCGTATACAACAATCTGTTGTTTAAAAGAACCAGTAAAGAATTTTAGCCTAGTCCATCACAGCTATTTCTATACTTATTTTTTATTACTGCAATTAAAATAAAAACTCCTAGGAAGACAGAATGATCATTGAATTATCTGATTTAGTCTTATCTGATTTAATTTTCCTAAACACAACTGAAAACAAACGAATATAGTTCAAAAACGCGAAAACGAGGTAATGTTCACCATCACGCTTGAAAGTCTGTCTGAGTGAGGAAGGTGTCTGAGCGGATGCGAAAATGGAGCATTGTTATGTCACTTTTTGCAACTTGCTGATTGGCTAATGTCACGAAGTAAACAAGGAAGTCGATGCTCGGGGAAAGGTTCATATTAAAATAGGTGAATGAATGCGCTGTTCCGTAATAATTACAAATCGGCAATAAGTTAACAATGACGTAACAATTAAAATTTATGCCGCCACACAGACACTTCTTTCGCGAAGACAGATATTCAGGCGTGGTTGTAAACAATGCCTCGCTTTTGTGGTTTTGTGTGTTAGGTTTTAGTTGTGTTTTTAAAAAATAGTTATAAATCAAAAAGGTTAATTGTCATTGTGTCTCCCGGCGACTTTTAGTTTAGTTACAATATTCAAAAATTGATACCGCAAACGCTGCGACAGACTAGCCTAAAATTAGCTATCAGCACTTATAATATAAGCGGCATGTGGTTTATTGTTTTGAATAAAAATAATAGTTTTTGAACATCAGAACCATTCTGTAAGCGCCAACTTTCCAAAACACTTAAAATCAGCGTTGAAAACTTTGCAATGATTAAAGTTTAAATAGAGGAAGAATTTTTTCAGAGGCCAAGGGTCGGGGAAACGTCCATTCAAAGTGCGCTGTTTATATGTGGTTTCATTGTTGATAATACCACATTCCCAATGCGGCCTCGCTGTTCTTGACTCCTGTAACTCGCTGCTCGCAACAAGACTGTTAAGTGACAAACCCCTCTTAAAACTTCTGAAACCTGAGTTAAATTTAAAGGAACCGTAAGCTCGATAGCCGATATATTTCTTTAATGTGTTGCTAACCTCAGAAAATATTAAAAAAATTATATTTGCTAAATCTTAATCGGACACTTAATATATTTTCGGCAGCAAGATATGGAAAATTTGTTAGCGAATAATAGTACTTATATGAGGCTTAAGGGTTGCATTTGCAAGAAATTTTCGAGTTCAACAATGTTATGAAGGATTATTTTAAACAAAAAATGCCTCCAAAATTGAAATCTGCCGTTGTGAAGACCTCTAAGTTACCTACTAAAAGAAGGAGAACAAAGAAATTACACAGAGAATTGCTGGAACAGCTCGAGTTTTATCTGAGTGAAGCAAATCTCAGACATGATTCCTGGATGAGAGAAATTGCTGGAGAAAAGGGAATGGAACCAATTCCCATTCTTATATTCATGTCGTTTCCTTTGATTCAAGAGTTAAATGTCAATGAAAAAAATATAGTCAATGCAGTTGAGAATTCAACTATACTAAAGCTTAGCGAAGACAAGAAACATCTACAGAGACAGTATCCGTTACCAAGACCACCACATAATCTAGAACAATCAACGCTTTATATTGAAAACCTTCCTCCAGACTCCACCGTTGAATGGCTTAGAGAATTCTGTAGAAAGTTGGGTACAGTCGAACATATTTCTCTGCCAAGGTACAAACGCTCGGGAGCTTTGAAAGGTTTTGCATTTGTTGAATTTTCAAATCCTCAAGATGTCACCAGAGCATGCAGAATATTAAAAGATCCCCCAATAAACTTTTTTCCAAATAGGACTGAAAAGTATTTGAAGTTACTGAAAAGACAGAAAACATTGCAGGAAGTGAAAAAAGTGGATATGGAAACTGAACCGCAGGATGACCAAGTGGGAGTTCGTAACACGGTGTCTAATTCTGAAACAAATATTTTGAACAAATCTCTAGATTCTGCAATTGATTTTGAATTACTTCGGAATGAGAATGCTGCTTCAGTTACTATGAGTGAAGGAAAACGGAAACGAAGACGAAATCGGGCTGTAAGTGATGTAACATCAACCATTCATAATGACACATCACAATACAACGAAGACGCTCCAACTCACCAACCTGCAAAGAAAATGAAAAGTCTTCCGAATGTCACATATAGCAATTCTAATGGAGAAAAAGAAACGGAAGGTTATGAGAAACATACAATAAAAAGTAGTGACCACTCTATCACACAAAAAAAGAAGAAAATCCCAGGCCGCAAAGTTTTGTTTATGGATGATCATAAAGAACAAACAAGTTCAGAAAATCAAAAACAATCCTGCCACATCACAGATAATTCAAATTGTCAAAAATGCAACAAAAATGACCAAAATTATCAAGTAAAAAATGAAACAGATGGTGAGAGTGAAAGTGTTTTAGATCCAGGGTCAGAAATAAATGTTTCTCCAATAAATTATCGACACATATCACAACAAACACAAAATACTGCAACGATATCATCAGACATGAACAATCAACAACATGTATCTCAAACAGAAGTTTTGTGTGGAACTAATTCAATGAAAAGACGACGCAGTGCTAGTGAACCATCCAATATTTTTAATTTTTCCCCAGAGAGTGCCAAAAAAATAAAATTTGAGGACTTTGCATCGTGCAACAATGACAAGCAAATAAAATCGTTACGAATTGACAACAATTGCTCTTTATTAGAACAACCAACGAGCAAATTGACCGAAGTTGATAATCATACTGAGCAACAATCCATAGCAATCCAACATGCCACAGTAAATCAATACAATCAACCATTAGGAAGAGACAATGTTTATCAAGATCCACCAATCAAACCTTTAATGCAAGAGGATGTTTACTTTAAGCAACCAATCATGCCTTTGATGATGGGTGATGCCCCTATAAATCGGCAAATCAATTTTCAGATGCCGTCTTTTGACATAGATGCAATGATATCACAAGGAAGAAGATTGGCTCAGGTGTCAATACCGAAAAACTCTGAATCTTGTCCGGATTTCTCATCTAGTAGATTCCTTCAGTCAGTTATTGCAAGACCAGAACATGCAATTAATAAAAAAACGCAGCGAAAACAACGTCTTAAGAAATCAGAAAGGAAAAAACTTAGGACAAGACAAATTCCCCCTCGCCTTGTTGCAATGCCAAAAGTACAATGGTCCAATTTGAAAAAGGAATATAAACGAATACAAATGGAAAATATGAGAAAATTGAAACGAACTCTGAAAGAGAGTAAAACTGCCGGCTCAGTCTTCATCAAAAAACATTTGGATGTTTTAAAAGATGGCAATATCAAATCTGAATCATCATTTATTCCTGACAAATATGGTAGTGAGAGATCATCGAAGATAATCAATCATGAAAAGCCACAAAAAAGATGTCCTCCTACATTCAAACCTGGAGTAATTGTTCAAATAACTGCAATACAGTCTGATGTATCCAAACCATCTAAACTGCCGAGTATTCCCGAGATAAAATCACTGTTAAATAAATATGGACAAGGAGTGGCGTATGTTGATACTAATCCATCAGAAAGTAGTGGTTTTGTACGATTTAATGATGGGGAATCAGCACAACGTGCAATAATGGAAGAGAAATCATTGGGTCTTTGTTTGCTGACGGGTGGAGAAGAAGAGCAATACTGGGATAAACTTCTTGCATCAAGAGCACAAAAGTTCACACGTGAGAGGTCAAAGATTAGGGGACGAACAAAGATTCTTACAAAAGCTGAAAATTTTGTTGAAACATCTAAACGAAGACATATAAGATTTGATAATGATTTATCTGTGTGAAATAGAGTGTTTTTGGTGGATTCAGACAATGTCTCTTATACCAAATTAATGCCTATTCGAGAACTGCAAAATTAACCATGGCAAAATTTAAAATTCGGATATAAATTCGATGGAAGTTAACATAGAATATCAGAAATGACTTTTAAAACGGTGAGAGGGGGTGACTTGGTCAAAACATTATTTTTACTCTTTTCATAACTCTGGTTTCTTATGCTATAGGTATATCTTGGAGAAAATTTAATAATTTTTGCACATTCTTGTCTCGTAAATCAGAGATTTTCTTCCGATAATTGCCGTAGCAAGAATAGCTGCATCCATAGAGGCTTTCTTATTGAATATAGAATAATGAATCGCCAAGTTTAAAAACTGTTAGAGTCAAATGAATTATTGTCAACAACATTATATTCCTTTATTAATATCTTTTATATTTCTCTGTTGAAAGTTCACTCTCTCTCTCTCTCCACTGGGTATTGTATGAAAAGTTAATTTTCTGCCTAAGTATACATTTGCAGATTCCGAATCTATTTTATATTGATTGAAACTGCATTTATAAATGCTAAGTGATTTTTTTGGGAAGGTGCTTATTATCTTATTTCGAGCAAAACTTTATACAACATTTGCATAATCTTTTCTTATACATCAAGTTCTGATTCAATTTGGCGAAAAAATTTATTTCATGTAATATGTTTCATTGCTTTTTGCACGTTTCCTGATTATATATTTGTGGGCAACAATTTCCTGTACTGAACATGATCCATTATCCAACACATTTTGATCTTCTTCATTTTTGATCTTTTTCACAAAATGTTCAATATTCTGTTTTTTTCTCTTAATTGGATGAGTTTGTCAAATATATTTTCAAAAGTGTCCAATATACTGACTTCTAAAAATTACATCAGTGTGATGTTATTGAGAGCAACACCGGCCTGAAAAATATGTTCTAGACTTTCTCAGTTCTAAACTTTATTATTGTTCTAGTTTTTCACAATATTTTGTTACTTTGCATGAATTAGGAATATTGCGTTATATATCATTATGTGAAATGTTTGGGTGGAGAAATGTCTTCAATCACAGAAGAATCGTGCAGTATCTGTATACTTCAAGTCCTACAGAATTGAATGTGATTACTGCAAAGATTAATATATGCATTTCTGCATGTTTTAACAAGTTTCATGATGAGATTCAAAAAGTGAGGAAGCTTGACAAAAAACTCATTGAATTGAAGGAAGAAGACCTCGCAGAATATCAAGTTAAAGGATCTGGTGGGGGTGGACAAAAGACTAACAAAACATCAAATTGTATTGTTTTAAGTCATGTTCCAACTGGATTATCTGTTCGTGTTCATGACAGTCGTTCCATTTTAGAGAATCAGAAGATCGCAAGAGCAAAGTTACGATTGAAAGTTGATGTGCATATTCGAGGTGACGATAGTGTACTTGTACAAGAACAAAAACGTAATAGGCTTTGGAAGAAGCATGGAAAAAAGCAAGCTGAAGAAAGATTAGAAGGAAAATCAAAGCTGAAGGCAATTCTTGAACAGAATGATGATATCAAATATTAGGTGTTCATGGAATTAAATCATAAGCTCATTGCACTGGCAGAGCTCCGCTCCATTTCTGGATGCTATGCTAGCTCTACACATACTTTGTTGGAATCGAATGAGTAGAAGAGATAGACTTGTACTAAACTAAGAACGGAACTCAAAAACGTAAAACCAACCATCTTTTCCAGTGACAGTAGAAGTTTATTGATAGATTGCTTAATTTCTGGCACGGATGAATGAGCAGAATTATTATATCTATCTTAATATAGTCCGTTTTTTTCCTAAATATGTGTTCTATTTGAAATATTTTCGATCATTCAATAAATGTTCATGCTTCTTATTCTTCTGTGATATAAATTTTTTTGAAACCATGTCCTAAAAACCATGCTTAATAAAACAGTGGAAGATATTAATGGTAATTTATCAAACAAAAATCTTCTAGTGCTTCTGTTCGTGAAAATATCCTATTTAAAGGTTAATATATTATTTATAATATTTTTGCAGGTTTATTTATATAATAGGATGATTACAATGTGAAATATCATACTTTACAAAAAATTTAAATAATCAATTCGTTTGTGTAATATAGCAATAGAAATGTCATTTTCTGGTCTTGATTCTGATGACGAAGCACCAGAAGATGTTTCCTTCTCAACAGGACGAGAGTCTGCATTACATGATTTAGAGATTGCAAAAATAGAAAGGAGAAAGTAAGTGCCCGTATATCAGACTCGGTTGCGGTATATAGTATTCACCCAAGAGGCTATGTTTTTACCACTTATTTATTTCTAATAATCGGGTCTTGCAGATATTCAGATTACTCTTGAAAATGAAGTTCAAGAAATTTCTTTTGTTGAAGTTCCGTTCTGGCTGTTTTTCAATTATATTGGAATATCTATGCTTTTGACTATAATGGCAATTTAAGGTCTTCAATTAATTACACTTGTGTATGCGGTTATTGTAAAATAAATTTATTCTTGTGTTATTCAGAGGAAACAAAGAGGTCAAAGAATGGAGGAGAAAGCGTGATGAACTATACAAGAAGCAAAAGGTTACTATATTTCAGTTTCGTACTTGTTTGTACATGCGAAAATGCATGAGCTTCAGTTTTCCAATTTGTAGAACAAATAATAGCAGCTATATCAGAAGGTAATCGAATTATCTTTAGAATCCACTGAAATTTTTTGCGATGTATTTATCTACTGACCTTCAAGCATATGAACTGCAGATTTTAATTAACGTATATACTCGCTTATAAGCCGACCCAATGAAACGGTGAATTTATAAAAATTCACATATCAGCCGACCCTACAAATCGGAACACGCCGTACGCACCTATCACAACAAATTCGAATTGCAGCTGTTGGAATTAAGTTAGTATAACGTCATTTCGTTTGAGTATGATCAGAGTTATGAGCGTATAAGCAGGATTTTTAATGCGATCAGAGTTATGCGCCCATAACCCGAACCCCTCAGTTTGGATTTTTTTTAGTTTTAAAATTGGCTTATTTGCAAGGACATACAGTAGGCATTTTAGCTTTCTCAATTTCAGTATAAATTTGGAAAAATACCAATCATTTTATTTTGGTTTGGTACCACACAACCCTAAGTCCTTGATATGCTGCTGTCGGAAGTCCTCCAGTTTATGATTTTTTATATGCTTAAGGAGTCAAAGCTTCTATCTCTTGATATATTGATGAAAGCTGATGAAGAATTAAAGAGAAAAAGATCGTTCGAAGAAAAGCAAGAAATATCTGATGAAGATAATGCCAGTTCTGGAGATAATGACTCGGAGGATGAGAAACTAAATGACATGTTAGTATTAGTATGTTAGATTAGAGAGGCACACACAATAATTTTTTCTAGCCCCGCTATTAAAGATATTTTATTTATAACATATGTCTGTATTTTCAGCATGTGAATATACACTTTACTTTTATCTAATTGAATTCCCTAAATTAAACTAAGGTCTGCAGAACAGCAGGACGCCTATCAAAAGGTCATGGTGGCAGTTATTGATGTTAAAGAGCCGAGGCCCTTAATGCAATCTGCCTTGGATTTCAAGAAAACAAATTTATATGGGAAGAGAATCAAGAGGATGGATGTGTCAGATTGGCGAGCCATACGATTAAAAAGTGAGCGAAATTGCACTCTAGGCTCCTTTTTTTTCTCAGTTTACAATTATAAACATTTTGAATTACCTATTAATCACCATGTAAACAGTCTACTCAGTCTTCTACAAGACCAAACGTTATCTGATCACATGAAATTTTTTCTGTTCTAGGCAGGAATCGAAAGTGATGAAATCAGGTTGTAGATAACAAAGCATCTCAATTTCTGAAGGAAGACAAGGCTTCTGGTGCGGTTGTTTTCAACAATCAGCAAGTCGCTTGCTGTCCATAATGTTTACTATGCATTCATTAATGTTGTCATTAAAACTGGGTGGAAGTTAAACAGTCTGCATGTGTATATTGGGAGGTTTAGCCAGTCGAATACTAGTCATTCAGAAGCTGGCTACACTCTACATCTGCCTTCGGTTTTAAAAACCAATTGCTGATGTTCAGGAGCGGTGTGGTAACTAGTCTGTTCTAAATAGTTGTTCAGTTCATTTTTATAAGAAAGGTCAGAAGCACTAATAATAACCTTGCAAACAAAGTTGTTTGATCGTCAATGGGCTACTCATTGAGGCTCATATAATTACTTTCGGGTCGCTTCTAAGTATATAACATTAAAATATGTCCGACGACAGTGTCTGCCACAGGGTGTAGAGTCTTTTAAAATTTACATCGCTCTAGATCACGATTTCCCAATTATTTTGAGTCGCGGACCCCTATTTGTGAATCTTAGTTTTGACGGACCTCCATTCTGTGCTGTATCAATTTCTGTGCCTGACCATCGTTGAAGGATAATGTTTCATTTACAACACAAACAATCATATTGGTAGGAACTGAAAATGCTGCCTCACATATGTAGATCGTCACAAAAAGCGATATACTTTTTAATTGCATTTTGTTCGAAATCAATTATTAAAATATCGATCAGACTTTTTTTTATATCGTCGCGGACTCCCTGTGCAGTCATCACGGACCCCCAGGGGTCTGCTCTGGATTAAAATTATTATCCAGTCTCTATCTGAAATTTCAAGAGGTAATTGAAATTTCCACTTCATGTACTGAATTTCCTGACTCCGTGTGATCACCCTTTGTCCCAGAGATAGTTTTGAGTCCTTTGGCTAATTCTGTTCTATTTGATATGTCTTCATCTACTCGATCAAATTGTTTTACTGCCATTCCCGGATTATGTAGAAATGCTATGCCCAAAATCTCATTTCAATTCTTTATTGTTAAAGGTAAAACATATCTACAATAATAATAACATTTTGCATCCGTTCTAGGATAATGTTGCTATACATTGCTACACTAGTTATTGAATAGATAGCCTGTTACAAATAATGTAACAAAACACCTCATGTCCATATACACTAGGTTGTTCCACACTGGCAGTGTTTGATGATTTTAATGCATCCAAAGGCAAGGTGTCTATTTTGTTTATGAATGCTGCCACTAACCCCAATGAAACGAGAAGATATTATTTGGCTTGAATAGACAGCAGATTTGTGATAATAAAGGATATGGGTTACAGCAAATTCACCCCACATCCCATGTGAATACGAATCCCTTAGTACTTGTATACAAATCGTATTGGTATATTGTCCTATAAGCTTGGTTGCATGATTAGCTTACAGATGAAGGATTTTGAGGTCCCTAAAAAGAATATTCATTGGAGGTATGGGGTTTGAAGTAGCAAAGCACAAGGCAAAACTAGTAAAAGATCTACCTTGGAAAAGCAGATCTTGTCATATAGTATTGTACCGAAATATCGCACAATTTTTAATTCACAGAATCACACCCTGAAGTTCCTGAATACCGTTACGGCAACTGGATTTTTAGTTGACAATAGTGGCTTGCTATACCATTTTCAATTGAGGCAACAAATTAGGATGTTCTATAACTATTAGTAAAAAAGTTTATATCCTTTGAGAACCAAGTATGTAACATCAAATAAATAAGTGAATTGAGGGTGAATTAGACCTGAAGATTGCAGAAATATCACTGAAGCAAAATCGCATCAGAAAATTTGGGACCGTAATTACAAAAACTGAGTAAATTACATTGATGACGAGAACAACCAAAATCCATCGCATTTTTCATGAAGACACAGTTTTAGTCACCACAACAATCCAATGATGTAGAAAATTAATTTGTCGAAAATCGTTAGTATATCACATTTCAGATTATTAGATAACACCAAAAGAACAACTTTAGTTAACACAAGAAAGCAATAAGAACCTCCAAAAAAACAAGTAACGATTCTAATCTGCAATTACAGAGTATACTAAGTTGTCATACGCACTGATTTCTGAGTGCATAGACATAGAAGACACAACATGAAATTGCTCTCAGAACAATAGGAAATTGAGGTTTTTATTTATTATTTAACATATCCAACCCATCCAAAAATTTCAAAATATTTTCAAAATTATCATTTTTTTTGCTTATGCAAGAGACCCCTATAAAATTAAAGACTTGATCATCAATTTACAAGTCCTTTTTTACTGCTAAAACTGATATTGGAAAAGTGAAAACTCAAGAAAAAATATTCGCAATAATACAACATACAGAAATGCTGCAACAAAATAAAAAAAATTAGATGTAAAATATTGTATTGCAATTATGAAAAAAAATTACTAATCACAATGACTAGTTTTATGAGAGATGAAAAAAAAAATACAACACAATAAGGAACACTTCGCTTCGATATGTACCACTTGATCCATACTAACATAGTTAGCATAGAAATAATGCCTATGAGAGTTAAGTTTATTATAAAGACATCATTACATTTGTAATGGTGGATTTTGTTTGTACATTAAATAACTTAATTTGGATAGAAATAGGATGAAGATTACCCCATGATATAACACAAAGTTTCCCAAATTCTTTGGGGCCACGAACCCCTGTTTGTGAATCTTTGGCGGACCCCCATCCTATGTCGTACCAATTTCTGTGCCTAACCAATGATGAAGGATAATGTTTCATTTGCAACACAAACAACGAGCTGAAACTGTTGCCTCACACATGTAGGTCGTTGCAAAATGCATAAAATTTTAATTGCCTTTTCTGAATGGATATTCGTTAGCAACCATCAACCAAAAAGATGCAATGGCTTTTTGATTAAAATTAGTCATTGGAGATTGATCAGACTCTTTGTATATCGTAACGCCCTCTGTGCAGTCATCACGTCCGCCGCCCGCCGACCCCAGTTTGGGATACTCTGATATAATTATTTAAAGGGCCTGCAACTTGTGAGTTCGGAGCAAAGACAGGGGCAGGACAAACTGTTCTATTCTTAGTCTGCTCTTTGTGAGCAAACCTATTTTTTTAAGTAAAAATTTTACGTTTAATGGTGGCTACAACATACATGTACCAATCTCCAAAATGAGTGCATCAAAAATTTAAAAAATATTTATAGAACTAAATTCTGACAAACAGTGAATAAATTATTACTCTTCAATTTAAAAGTGTTGTCCAATCAGACAATTATCATAGATGACTTTAACCAAATGAGTGTTACAGAATATGATAAATTTGGTTGGTCACATAAAACAATAATAAACATGAGTTAACGAATTTTAACTATTTTCACTTTATTGTTTATATCTGAAGACCCCATACAACGAGATTCATCAGTATTTATCCTGCATACTATGAAGTGTGGGACGAAGTTTTTTGTTAAGTGCAGGTTGCATCAACAAATAAATCATCATCATCATTATCATGATCTCCTGAATCTGATGGTGTTTTAGGATGAGAAGAATCAAAAGAACTTAACGAAGCAACTGGAAGAAATAAATGAAAAAGATAAAAATCGATAGAACTTTTAGGAAATGTTTCAACTACACGAAACAGAGGCACGATTGCCATCAGGTATATTCACGTTGAGGATAAATGGAGCACAATCGGTTTCCAACGAAACAGTATTTATTCTTTACAGAAAGCATTGGTGAATTTTGGTAATACAAAAGGAAATTTATTAGTTCAAACAAATTATAAAAAGCCGTACTAAGTATTAGAAACAAGTTTGCTTTAGCACATCGCAAGTCCGTTGGTTAGTATACTGCGGGGGATATTTATGAGTGAACAGAGAAGTGCTGGACTCCTCACATTCCTCGGTGCTTTTTGCAGTGGCTGCAGCTTCCTTCACTATCTAAGAACAAATAACTGGTTAACTATTCCACCTGACAAGAGGCCGCGGTCCATATGATTAAGTCGTCTCATTGGCTTTCCTTTCCCCTAATATGATATTTATTAAGGAAATTCTAAATTAGACCATCAATCAATGATAATTCAAAAGGGGAAAAATACTTCTAGCTTAAGAAATGCAGTTGCACTCTTTTCTTTAAAATTGTTAGTCTTGTGTAAATTAGTAATATTTAATGATAACTTACAGCTGCTTTTTTTACTACTAGAACGAGATGACCTCTTCCTTCCCAATACTTTAGAGTTTGTTTGCGCTTGTAATTCTAACTCATATTGTTTAATATTCTCAGGAGTCATATCTGGAAAATGAAATAATCCATCAAAAATTAATTCAGAACTCGATCGCGATTCACCATGTTTCCACAAATAATACAGGCTGGAAAATACTGATCAACAAACGGTACTCCCATAGTATGTGAACCAAGGTGGCAGATACCGGGACGTAGTATGTGTACCAGGATAGAGGGTTAGGCCATAATTTTGTTCCAATTTTCCTTATTTTAGTTCTATTATGAGTTTCTGTAGTATTTGTACCTTAAAAATATGACAGAACCCTAACCTAGTACACATAATATGTTCCGGTGTCCGCCATCTTGGTTCACATACTAAGGGAGTACCCAACAAACTCATGTCATAGTTTGCTGAAAAGGAGGTCAAGTGTCATTTGGTTTAATTAAGTAAACATCTCGAAGGTAATAACAATGTACAAATTAAAATAGGAAATCAATATTCATGAGAGAAGGACAATAATTACAAAAGTATAAACAAAGAGTCATATTGATCAGATACATAGGCAGAGAAGATTAGAAATATCAAATGTAAGTAAATTAGTTAATCATCGGCAGTCCATTGTAAATTGAATTCTGAGTGAGCTGCTTTAATATCTTTATATTCTTTTAGTTTTGGTCTTCCACCTCATGTACTACATCATATATGAAACAGCTACTTATTCCAAAATTCTTTTTAAAAAATCGTTCAATCTAAAATTATTTCAATTGAATGCTAAATGTACAATATTGGAATGTACCAACTAATATAATTTTTTTCTCAAGAACTTTATTGTTTCCTGTCCGCTTGAAAAAAACAATGTCTGATAACTTACCATACCAAAGGTCGACCCATGCAAAGGCTTGTCTGTGTCCAACAAGTAATATATCCCTGTATAAAAATAAGGAGATATTACCAGTCTCATTACAATTAAAAATTTGTTATTACTTTGTCATAATTTTTTGAATAATTCAATGAGATATTATGAATAGTCTGTGGATTCAGCTATTTAGGAATGATAAATATTCTATACAGCCAAGTATTCTATGAAAATCCCACTAAAATACCTTATATAGATTTACATATTCTTATTTGTTAAAAACAAAAATTCTGGCTAGATAGCAGTAGATACGAGTACTTGAACAAAGCGCTGTTCAGTGTAAAAAGCATATAAGGGTTGTATGAAAATATATCATGATTTGCCCCAAAAATAAAAGAATCAAAATCGTAAAGACACCGTATTAAAGTCTGAAAAAAGAAACAGAACACACAAGAATGAAAGATTTTTTCTGGGTAGAATACTTTGCTGTATGACAATTTAGTCTGATGCAGAATATTCTATATACCAGTCCGGTAGTAGTAAAAATAAATTGAAAAACTCAACTATCCAAATAAGAACAACCTAATTTGGATACGGTGATAACATGTTGGTCATGGAGTATTAATGCATTCTATAATAAAATTCCAGGAACATAATCAATCGGTTGTTACGTTGTAAAATTTTATTTCCCTGAATTACGTCATTTTTAACAATCGAATACATGTAATGATTGAACACAACATATGGAAACTGTCTAGTCTATTTTATCTAATCTTATTCATGAGCTAAATCATTTAAAGTGAATAACTTTACAAAGATAGAAAAGTTGTATTTTTTTGATTCAAAGTATGTGTTTGGAGCCAAAGTTAAATGGTTATCAGTGTAAGCATAGTTAAATAAATTGACCATGTTGTCAATTTACCAAAACTATATAATTTGTAATTTACTGTATATAGAGAATATTCATTTGAAATAATGTAGTGTAGTGTTGTATTATTAAATGATAACCATTTATGGACCAGACACAACGATTGGACTATTGTTTACTAATACTGGACATATATAGTTACTTGTCCATACAATGTACAAAAAAAACAAATTGGGATACGTCAAAAAATATTACTGAACGACATTGGTTTTAAAATAACAACATCTTACTATACATTGAACATTATATCAACCTTTTATATTTGTTTGTGAATAAATAACTAAAATTGAATTCATAACCAGATTACCAGTCAATAGCAGCTGGTAAATGACTAGTAAGATAAGAGATGTTTGCCATAATTATCGCTTTGCAAACACTATATATGAACAATGGTGGTTTTTAAAAAGTGCCATATTGCCAGTACAACAAGGCCATTATTTATCGTAAATACTTGATCCATGTAAAATTTTTGGTATGTATTATTTGGTGGAAAAATTACCAATATCCATATCAAAACAAATCACATAGAAAAATGATACAATTTAGATTTCTCAGAATAACATACCATAGTTATTCCAACCTACAGCATGTAGGTAATAGAAAATTTTGTTTTGAATGTTTTACCTTTCATTATATAGAAAAGAGTAATTCATACAATTTAATGTGCCAATGATAATATAACAAACATACCTGATTGATTTTTGAATAAAAGATTCTACTCTTGACTGTAATCCCCAGACTTCAAATTTTACCAAAACAAGTTTGAAAGAACACATTATTGGTTTGTGATTATCCTGCGTAAAAGTAAACCAAAAATTAGAAATTTAGATTCCCTACAAAAACATAACAGAGATACTGGCGCAATAGTTTGGCTTAGGTGTGCTAAACATAAGAAACATGATTGTGTCAACGCAATGATGCTGTTTGATGAGGTAGATGATTTTATTTATTTTTTATTAGATGATTATTATGTAAGAGAATATTGCAGGGCTTTATGATGTCACAAAGTGTTTCATTATAATTGTTATTACTTCCTCTTCCAACTGTTTCAATGTTCAACTCAGCAGTTATTCCCATCCCATGTAGGCTACTATAAGGTATGCCAATGAGAGACAATGAATGATTCACCATGCTCCCTTATTTTTCTCTACAGAATGCATATGAAAAGCATATCCTTCATTATACAGTTTGAAAATAAGATTGTGTTGGTTTTATAGACATATCTATATCTTGAAATGAATTAGAATAAGAATCACCAGAACTGATAATCTACCAACCGAATAAATTCTGAAATAATATATTAGAAGATGGAATGTTGGATATGTTATAAATTGAGCCATGTTCAATAAAGAAATTGGAACAAATTATTCTGAATTCAAAGAAATTGAATTTGTCGATACAAAAAAAGTTGGATAAATCGATTTTCTATTGTCCGAAGTTAAAAGAAGTATATTTTTACTGTGATCATCATGAGATATCAAATGCCCGAAATAAATGTATATAAATAAAATTATTCCTAAAAGTGAGAATTTACAGTACAAAATACAACTAACTCTGTATGTATTTGATTAGTTTTGGGCACCCCTGAATAGACCATTCTAATAATTATTTGAATTATTCAGGTGAACACAAGACAAGATTATTACGGTAATATAATTATGAAATTCAGGAATAAACCATGCATAGGATAGGATACAAATTTGAGCAAACATTGTCGATCCTTTAGGAAATTTCTAACTCGTACCAGGACTGGTGTTAAATATTTCAGACAGACATTTATTATAATATTGATGCTCACAATAGAGAATGCGGTGAATCCAGGACAAAATTTCAACCAAAAATGGTATTTTATATTTCTTCATTTCAAGAATGATGGACAGTCAGATAAAATCTAATACAGTTTTATGGTATGCAATGCTACACGACCGGGATAGAAACATTATTGGATGACATTTTTCAAATTTTTTTAATACAATAGATAAAATCTCCGTATATATACTTACCCTCCAGCCAAGTCGTAATGGTCCCCTGTTGGTTTTTTTCGAGTGAAACTTCGTACAGTCCTAAAGATAAGACCAGAATATAAGTCTGATAAGAAAGAAAAAGGGAGAAATTTCAGGAATTTTATAGAAACTTATGATTATACGCCATTATGATAATACAAGATAGTTTATATTGTAAGATAATCATGACAAACCAAAAATTAATCGTCAGATATGGAGTACGATAATAAAAAATTCAAGTACAACTGATAACTGAATACAACAATGAACAATAATTATATTATACATAAAGTTTGGAAAATTAATTCTTTAGCGCACAATACACAAAACATTAAGCTGATATAGCATTTTCTTAAATTTCCAGGAAATAGTTTATTTTTCTAGGCATTGGTGAATACCTATTGAAATAACAAAGTAACATTTATCGATTTCAAAACCAAATATTAACCAACAAGAGGAACCAAGAACACCTTAATCTAAGATTATCTGCATACCACATACCACGGGAAATGTTGATCAATAACACTGAAATTTACTGTTGCAGCTAAAAACAGATGCTATGGACATTTTATACTTTCCCTTTTTATTTTGTTAAAAATTTTAATTGGGAATGAACCATGAATTTGGTTTGAATAAAATTGAAAACTACCATAATACTGATAAGTGGATTAAAATTAGAGCGCATTTTTTATAAAAACTATTAATGTTTCAGTAAATTATTTCTTTACTAAAAATTTTGTTCTGATAATTTTTTTGAAAAATATAGACTAATTTAGGTACCGACATTCACAATATGGTCTAATTGTCATTGTCTGAAAATTGTTTTTCAAACTCTCATGTAATCACAACTTATGGAACCATGAATAAGCAGTCAAAATATGTTACATGACATAATATATTTACAACAAAAGCGAAAGCGATGATTAATATTGTCACAAAATTTATTATGTAACTCGGTAGTAAACAAAATAGAGCAGAAAAACACATATCATCTTAGGTAATAAGCAGAAATTTAAAAAATAATCATAACTTCAATTTCATGTATTTGCCTTGAATTATTGAATATTTGCATATATATGAACAGTGAAAATGAAAACTCAGCAATTTGCATGTAAATGTACCTAATGTAACTGATGTAATCCGACGTCAAAAAGGTTGATAAAATCAGCATTTAAACAGTTTTGAGTTTGACCTTTACGTGTTAAATATTTTTGAACTGATCACGAAATAAAAATGATTTGCATGGGTGTATGTAAATAAGAACATTAGTCTAAGCATCGAACATCTTGACGTCAGAAAGAATGATAAGATCATTTAAACAGTTTTGAAATACCCTTGACCTTTATATGTTCAATTTTTGAATTTGAAAATAATACATTTCAGTGACAAACTATGATAAATTCAACTTAAAATGTTTCTAGTTGTTGCAATGCATGCCATATCAAATTTATTTTATACATCATATCACATCATTTATTTTATGTACATAAAACTAAAAAATATTAGGCTATGTCAAATAAAAGTTTTTGGGAGCTCAAGCAAAATACTTTTTTAGATAACATCATGAAGCGTTTTTAATTTTGAATGTTTCTACCTTCTGGGGGAGGTGATGGACGTTAGCATAAGGAGCCAGAGATATAGAATATGTGGAACCAGATTGGTTAGGCCTAACATACTTTCGACTTAGCCAAACTTGTGTTCAAAGCTCAGTACTGTTGAGACTAAGTAATTATTAGAAGCAGGTCTATGAAATAACAGAAAATAAGTATAAATAATAAGAATTCAAGCACACCACTTCCTTTTTTGGTGTGTTTTTTGTACGACGAATATGTATGGTTTTCGCTTCAAATTGGCTTTTGAACAAGCAGTCTTTGATTTTGGAAGGACAGGAAGCTCTCCAGGTTGGTGGTGGTCATGGGATTTGAACCTGATACTTAACCTACGATGCCATCATAGTTGAGTCCAAGCTTTAACCACTTGGCCACCATGCCCAGAAAATATTGGCATTTGTTATGTATTCTATTTACTACACAAATAATTTGCTAGTCAAATTTCACATCTTTTTTAAAGTAGGCTATTACAGATTATGCAATGAATATTAAATTTTTCAGGCATAGCCTATGATGAGGAAAAAGTTCAGCAAGTTTCTGAATAATTTATATTTTTTTCTTTCATGACAGAGCGAGGGCCATTATTTACTTATCCCGAAACTTTTATCCCAAGAATCACTCTATAATTCATATCGTCAAATACGCATTGGTATGAAAAAATCATTCAAATCCAAATAAAAAATATTTAAAAGATAGCTTCATGAAATAAGGACAATTTCTTTCTTTCGAATTATTAGAAAAGGCCATAATTTTATTTCAATTTTCCCCATTCTAGTTCTATTACGCGTTCGGGGACTAGCCAAGTGACTTCCGTAGTATTTGTACCTAAAATTATGGCCTAACCCTAACCTGGTACACATACGACATTTCGGTGTGCGCCATTTTGGTGCACATACTTCTAAAGTATCTTTTTTATATATTACGAAGCATGGTATAGAATTAAAGAGGGAGTGTCCTTGCATGTTTCACCATTATACCCATATCAATTTTCTGTTTTCTTTTTTTCCTGCATAAGGTTAACAAGGCTGATAAAAATAGGAGAAATGTAAATAGGAATCTACCATAGTCATCTTTTTACAATTACACCACAGTACTGAGTATTGCCTCATTGCGGTATATAAATTCCAATTCTAATTCATGTCTGGTGGTGACGTCAGATAAATGAATTCATATATATTTTAAAATGAGATTCCTTGGTATGTAAACAGAAAAAGCCTTTTCTACAAAACTAATAACTATTGATTTTGCTGTATAATAATCATTAGACAAGAAAGATTTAACGAATTTGGCCCCCTCTAAGAAACAAATTACTACGATATATTTATTCTTGCAAGGCAGATGTATAAATATATTATATTAGGTATAAAGAATATTTGATATGGTTCTGAGAGTTAAAAAAAGCTCCTTTATCAATTAAAAACATGTTTGCGATATCATCTTGTGAACTTTCTCGAAACAAAAATAAAATAACCAGAATGAATTATTTTCTAGTGAACGATTTTGTTGGTCATGTCCATCTTTCTTTTAACATCAGATATTTACCGGTGTTATTATGCCTTATATCACCAATAGGCATTTTGGAAAAAAGAAATCTTTCTGGTCAACCAAGATTTGATTTGATCAGTTCATATCACATCAAGAATGAAAACCTGTCACATGTATTATTTGAGTGCTTGTGTGTGCACATGACAGGCTGTCACAAACGTAAGATGCATACAGCCCCAGACAAATGTATGTGACATGACCATAGAATAATCGATGATTTTTGTCTGTCGCCTTTATAACATAAAATAATAATAAAAAAACAGCAGGAAAGGTGCTGGATTTACATTAAAAAAAAGGTTAAACAAAATTTTCAGCCTATCAATAAAGTGATCAACAAAGCATTTTTAGAGATAAAATAAGAAATCTGCATTTCACAATGGTTGAAAAAGATGTTTTACAACTCACAGATCAACCTTTCTACATTTAACTGAGCCAAACAATCATTATTCACTTAGTAGCCTACTTTGAAAAAATTTATCACAATTTCCCCACAATTTTTATATTGGAAACCTTTGTAAACTTTTAAATAACTATTGGCTGCAGTATGGAAAGAAACGTTTAAATGTTATTATCTTATGACATCACCATCTAACAAACAGATGCTTGTGTATTCTACATACTGGTTGAAAAGAGCTATTCAATACCGGGTTGTTTTCCACCAAGATGCTTTTCAGAAAAGTACCCAAGATTATAAATATTGCTTCTTGAAATTTTCATTTGACAATAAATAATATAAACAAAGACATATGCTCCCTATTGGTATGACAACAGAAAAAAAAACTGATAATAAATAAATCCATATGCTATTTTAGACGAATAAAAATAAAGAAAAACTAGATAGGCTATAAGTGGGAAGTTCCCATAAATTAATCTGAAACTGGACAGCATATAGTTTCGTCAATATATAACAGTGACGTCAGTGTGTACATTGCAATTAAAAATTAATTAGGTAATAACATTTCTATATTGGAGTTACTTATTGAGACATTATTAAGTGAAACTAGATGCAAGAAAGCTTCATTATTGACATTTGTATTTTATGTCGGCAAGCTATTAGGAACTCAAAATCAATATTTTCCAAAGTACTCCCAAGCAAAATGTAAAAACATCTCAGCTTTTATATCTTACACAAAAGTCTTGTGGCTTGTACTGTAATTAGCAATGAAATCACTCATACTGAAACAGCAAATATTCAATAATATAATACCAAAAAGAGTAGCCAAATATCACACACTCATAGCTGTAATCGTTGTCAAGTATAAGTGATTCAGTATTTAAAAGAATCATTGCAATGGATATTATTTAAGTTGCATTTTATATTTACTATCAAGAGTCAGATCAATTACAGATGCTTATTCATAGTTTATAATCACTTTTGAGTTATTCCTATTTTCAAATTATTAATTTGGACACAAATAGCCTACAAATATATAGGAATTGAACTGACAATGGTCCAAACCTCAAGATGGCCCAAACCTCTCCTCTTTTCCCTACAGATGTATAATAAAGATCAGAGAAAGTCGAACTAAATTGAATATTTGAATACGTTGGAAGTTGGATATATCGATGCAGGTATATTGGATTTAGAATATTCTAAACATTTAATTGAAAATCTCTTATTGGATTGATTTGGAATCTTATGATGAAAAAAAGTGGTTTTTATTTTATTTCTGATGTAAAAAATAACAAATCAATCGAACTAATGTTCAATTAACTATTCTGCTTTACCAAATTATCAATTTCTATAAAGTTAAAATGACTTCTGAAAAATCTCTGTAGAACATGACCAACCTTAGAGAGGGAGAGAGAGAATTTATTTTTTTCATCAAACCAAAAACATAATGATACATATAATAATAAAACACATAATACAGTTTCCGGTATATGACTGGGTGATAACTATATGACCATATACGATCATCTGAGTCAGTTAGAATATACTTAGTATTTTGTAGCCTATTGACTATTAATAAAAATATTCGAAAGAGATCATTCAAATACCTCGCTTTCTTTGTATGATTTGTCCGGTGCTTTATCATATGCGATATCAAGATGATCAATATCTCGAGCTGCTAAATCAGCATCCGTTATACCTTGATCTTTAATCTAAAATAAATTGATTATAATTGAGAAAATAACATCCGATTTTAAAAATGCATGTATTATCATCACTCACAAGATTAAACCCATAAGAAATTTAGTTATATAATGCATTGGCGATAATACAGATGAATTATGGTTCGAGCTTGCAAACAAAATTATTCAACTCTAGAAAATCTGCTCCGAATTTCCGACATAGCCATTAGATTTTACATATAATACAGGGTGTCCATAAAGTCCCTTTACGATTTCAATTTTGTTATGAAGTCATTATTCGATACATCTTAACCAGGTTTGTTATTTTTTTAATCAGTAATAGGTATTTTTACTTCATTTAATACATCTGTGAAGGCCAAAACAATATATGGCATCGATGAATTCCCTTTGCAATTTTAAAAATTTTAAGATTTTATGGGCAAAAATATAACAAAAACATTCCAGAAGAAGACATAGAAAGAAACATAAATGGAATTTGTAAATACATGAAAAACTTTCTTACAAGCTAGAATAAATCTGATTGAGCGGAAATAAAATGTAACTGGATCGACAAGGCGGAAGAATTAAGACTTCTCCATGACTACTTGTTTAGCTCGCCTAAGCAATAAAGATAGCAAAATAAAAAGTAACAGAACAAATCTGTATTAGAAATCAATTAAGATACAGATTGCGTGCTAATATGCAGGATTTGCTGAAATGCTCATCAAACAATTTATGATTAAATATTTATTCATGACTATGTTTTTTATTGAAATAATGCTTACACATAGCAGCAAGATGCTGATATATATTTGTAACAGAATTGACAATCTCAGCAATTTTGTCCCTTTTCATATCGCATGCCTTGTCTAAAGTAGATAATTGATCCCCTTTTTTTGCATATTTGATTAATGGTTAATTAAAGAAAAACTGGCAATTTGGCCTATAATGATTTTACATTGAACTAAAGTATTCCAAGCATTCGTTAAAAATAAATTTCAACCTCATGTAACAAATATAAACTGAAATAAAATTCATCTCTCTATTCATTTTACTTTACTGTGTCTAGATTGCTTTGTTCCTGACTTTAAGCTTTATTGATGCACAAAATAATGGGAAAATTACGTTTATTTATGGCTATGAATAGTAAGACATATCACTTAGATTTTTAATTATCTTCAGTGTTCAGTGTTGAATGTAAATAATAGATTCAAAAACTTATATGTATATGTTATAAATTTTTGAATTTAACCCCATTTTTAAAAAACAAAATTTTTTTATTATCAATTCTTATAAAGCAATTACGATCATAGAATTTTTTTAATTTGGCTTTACGACAACCACTATGATAATTGAAAAATCTATATTAGTAAGTCAAAATAAAATATGTGGAAAGTTTAGGAATAGTCTAGGATGGATTACATTTCTTTCCACTCATGTCGGATTAACTAAGCTTTAATTTATCGTAAACAAAACATAGATATGCTGACATTTTCGGATTAATGGAAAAATAGCGCAACAAAACAACAACAAATTCATTAAAAGTATCATGATCTGAGTTTAAAATTGACGTAAAAACAAGAAAAGTCAAAATAACCAAAAAATTCCACGTAACAAATAATACGTACGTCAAAGGTAGTCGCAGTTTGGAAACTGAAGTTTCTGTGACGTTAATAAATGTCAGGACAGTATAAGACATTCGTCGTATAGGCTTACTGACAGGGACTAAACAGATTAATGGGGAAAATAATTTGAATGTTTAAATCAAGAATGAAAATGCAATGACCAGTTACCATTAAAAGGGTTCAGGAGTATTGCTTCACACAGATACAAATATATTTCTGTAACATTTTTCATCTGACAAAGGTCGGACTTGTTCTGGCATACATAATTCAAAGTTGAAACATAACAGAAATGTATTTGTTTTAGCATGCAGTGCTACGACTTCCTTGCATTACATGCATAAGGATCAACCAAAAGCATAGAGGTATAAAACGTTCACCCCATAGAAACCCAATTGATAGGGAAATTTCCATTACCTTATAAAATTTTGCTGAATTACTTGAGGCAGATTTTCCATTGTTATCTTCGTATCGTGTCTCAATAAATACAGTTAGTCTTGGGAGAAAATGGCACTAAAATAGCAAAAGTGGATAGCGATCAGTTTACGTAACCATTATTACATACCTAAATATAATTTTTACTCTATACTCTAAAATATAAACATACTTGACGACTTAACTGTCGTCAAGTATGTAAGATTGTTTTTTATACATGTAATTAGACCACAATGAGATAATTGAAATTTACCCAGGTATGACACATTGAATTAAAGTTGAAGCAACTGAATTTATATACCCTATAAAAATTTATAAATATGATAGATGATTATTAATTTCGACCCTAATTAGATATTTTGACCCTAATTAGACTTTTTCACCCTATTGACCTATTTGATTATAGAAAGTGGATAATAACATAATATAGAATAAAATTACATGTTTTTGAAAAAGCTTGATAATTTATGCTTGAAATTGTTTTCATAATACAAATTTGTAAGTTGTGAATTTTTTTTAGTTGATGGTGATAAATAACATTTTCATGTTGAATGTCAATGCTTATGTAACATGAAACACAGATCATTAAATAATATATTTCTGCCAAAGAATTGGATTTAAGCCAATCACACTCTACTAAATTTAAATTCAGCAGACCGAAAAATGTGTAACTAATCATAAATGATCCGTGAAAACATTCAAACGAATGTCTTGATATTTCAAAATCAAAATCTTTTATTATTTCTAATTTCATCTAATAACATATATCAAATATCAGTATTAGCAGAACTACATATAATAAATCTAAGTTTTACCTTTACGCTTTATCTGCAGTCATATAAAAACTGAAAATGTATTTTCAAGGCAATAAATTTTTTTTAAATATATAAAATGTTACTTACTGAATATTCTGTTTTCATCAGCATGATCATGAAAAGGAAAAACAAAATTTCAATAACATTTAATATTAATAAATTTATTAACAAGGAGAAATGTTGAAAAAATATCAACAGCTTTAAATTTCAAAATGATTGAGGAAACTAAAAAACATAAAACATGCAAGCAGACAAATTTTTTATAGACTATTTATGATTAATGGCTATTTTATATATAGCCTACTATGAAGTAAAATTGGCATATTTCATAAAAGCATTTATCTGTACAAATGAACCTCATTTAATTCTCAAAGGAATTATTGGTGGTGGTAATCTCATTACTTCAATGTCTATCAGCTCTATTATTATTGGCTTTTAACAGGTATGGTGCGAATATATAATTCCCATCGGAATTGTTAACATCAGTCATCCAATCACTTCCAGCACTAATGCTTGCTAATTTTAGAAAAAAAATTTGTCCGTTGGAATGCTGAGTAGTTCATGGAAATGAGTTTCAGGCATTGTCATTTTATTCTGAGATTTCAAATTATTTTTCAAGCATGAGAAACAGATGTTACATTTCCTGGAACAGCATCTCCTACTGTGATTTAGGTAGCCTAATTGCAAGCTAGTTTATTACATTTCACACCGATTTTATTCAATTTGTTATCAAACACATGCCAATGTATATATAACTCCTAACTATTGAGTTTACTGAAAGGGCTATGCTGGTGAAAACAACAAACACAAATGCTAGGATTATTTAAGTTGGTACGCGCAAACATTTTTCCTTAACAGTAAATAAGTACAAAGTTTAAATTTAATAGACAAACAAACAGTATATACTTTCACTTTAGTTATTTTTGACATCAGATTAATTATTAAATGGTTGATGCTGTTGCAGCACTTGAATATATGCTAGTTCACAAGATTTTTTCAATCGAGGTCATATAATTCCGCAATTTCAAGTTCGTTTGGGTGACAAGATGAGGTTCTCTTATAAAATAGATAATATAAATTTATAAACCTAATTCAAGTATTATATTAGTTTGATTGAAATAAATTGACGATCGAAATACATGATACTTGAAAGAATTTGCATACCTGTGACAGTGTAGGGATAATAATTCCATGCTTTTTCTGTGACATATATTGAGGGCGTGACAGCTCGCGCCCAGGAAGGAAGACGTCTAAAATTATAATAATATTTTTAGAATTGATCGCGGCTGTGCTTATAAAAAATTAAGTGCACATCATTCTTGGAATAAGTATTGTAATGTCTAGTTCAAAATGCCAGGATTTTGTCATTAGTGATTATTGATGTTAATATGCAAATAAGGAGGTCTTCTGATACTTTATTAAAGGTATTCCCGAAGTATGTAAACCGATGGAGGACACCGGAACGTAGTATGTTAGGATTAGGCCATAATTTTAATCAAATTTTCCTTATTTTAGTTCTATTACGACTTACGAGTTCGGGGACTAGCCAAGCGACTCCCAAAGGAATTTGTACCTGAAATTATACCCTAACCCTAACCTGGTACAAACTTCAAAAGATAAAAGATAAGATAATTTAATTCATATTTTGCGATCATACAAAAATTACAACACACAGGACAGAAATTCAACTGAGGTTTATAACATGAGACATAAAAACAAAGAGTTTCATAAAAAACAATAATTCGAGTATCAGGATACATGTAATAGATTGCAATAATCTTGAATTTGAACCAAAAATCTTGTGACATTTGATTTCAACGCAATAACTACAGACTAATCCAAATTGTTTTTGACCTTTTAGGGGATTTAAGGATTGAGTGAGGATTTTACATTTGAGCAGAAAATTTACAACAAGTGATAGATAGCATTCGATAGATTATGCATTTTCTTGATCGTTGGAAATTAAATTAGAGAGCTGAGAGCTCTGAAGTATTTTTGTTCCACAAAAGAAAACTTTCGAAAAGTCATGCCAAAAATAGTTCTGCACAGTCATTGTCATTCGAGCACATACATAGAAGAGACATAGCTAAAATGGATCGATCCAGAAGATTGATTCAAGAAAAATACGATAAAAACGAGTTTTTTATTGCTTTATTTTTAATTTCAAATAAAAAAATTTGGAAGAATAAAACAGGAAATAGTAATGAAATATCTATTGCATAAGCAAAGTTACGAAAATAGCAAACGTTTCAATATCGTTGCTTTCCACAAATGGATTGGTCAGGCATACATTGAAACATTCTATGCATTAAAATATCATTAATTATTTAGTAATTTTCGATACAGACTGCCAAAGCTAATATACCTAATACAGAATTAATGGAAACTATTGATGTGGATTACTTAGTCAACAACATTTGGCAACTCACAAGGCCTAGATTTACCGCAATGATAGGCCGAAATTACTACATATTTTGACATTTTGAAACTTTAGACAAAAATTTACTTATAAACTAGTTTTTATTTAAAATGCTTATTTATGATGATTTTTGAAATTTGGCACAAGTATATCATAGTTTTGTTTCAAAACAAATCTGGTTTATTCCATTTAAAAAAAATTAATGCAGATTAAGAATTTCCCTAATTAAAACTCAGCAAAAAAGAAAGAAAACAATAGCAAAATGCTATAAATTCAACTGAAAACTAAGCCTTAATTAGGCATAATTGCATTATAGAATACAAATCTGCCTTGCAGCAATTAAAGAAACAAAAACTAAAAACCAAAGAACAGGCTTTTGTGCTTTTAATGATGCCACTTATTCAGCTAAATCCCTTTTATCAGACAGACAAAGAAGTGATCTCAATCTGTTCAATTTCCCTATGGCTAAATTACGGTAAGCCTGAATACAAATTTAAATAATTGATCCAACTATTCTATACCTTAGCACATAGGTTCTCAAAGTGCTCCGTATGGAGCCCCAGGGCTCCATGAGAGAAACCCAGGGGCTCCGCGAGCTATTCGATTACTTTTTAAAATACTGAATTGGCTAATTTTACTATTCAGTATTAGGATTGTTAAAATGGAAGAATACTATTCTGAAATAACATAAAATACACGATAAACTGTCAACAATACATAAATTGCAGTGGTATTTCTGCGATCTTGAGATTTGTCAAGCTTGATTTCATTCTTTTGCACTCACGAGCAAGATATCGCCGTTTAAAAAAACAAGAGGTCGGTGCAAAATACGAAAGATTGAAATTTATTTCATTGCATGCGGCTCTGTCGGTAGTTTCATAATGGAAAAATAGGTACATCGCGCGCACAATTGACTGTGTTCGGTTTCGCAGTTACTACGGCGAATAACCAAAGCGGCAATAACCAAAATTTATTTCATTGCATGCGGCTCTGTCGGTAGTTTCATAATGGAAAAATAGGTACATCTGCGCACAATTGACTGTGTTCGGTTTCGCAGTTACTACGGCGAATAACCAAAGAAAACCCAACATGACACCAAATTTTTGATTTACAATGTCTATGAAAGCGTTTTTAATCTGACGTGAGTCTGCTGAAACAAAACTTATAGTGTTATCTCCCATTTTAAGCTTTAGTTTTAATATTTTAGAATGCCGCTTTTCAATCGAGAAATTTGAGTTGCGGATTTACTTTTTTATTATTTATTATTTTTAGCATTTCGTGTCCGATGACTATAGTATGGTAACATGTTTTTCACATTGAACTCATAATTCCCCACGAGAACAAAAAAACAATACTCGTCGTCATTGTGGAACAATACATGTACGGTATATATCGAGGGAAATTTTTGATTTAGGGAGAACAAACACCGCCATGCTGACGAAAACAATCGGCGATCGTAACAAAATGCAATCGAGTACATTATTAGCGGCCTTTTTAAGTCTTTAAAAAATGTTTAAAGGGAAAAGATCCGACCCCTAATTTATTAATATGTTTGTCAAGTGTCAAATTTACAGCTTTAGTATATATACTTTATCTTTTACATTTAGATTTATTTATGACTTGTTTTAACCCTACTAAAAGAGGTTAAGCATTTAAAACAAGTACAGTACTTTTAACTTACTCAGGAATATTATTTGGAAAGTAACAATTTTAACATATATTTTGGGGCTCCATGAATAATAGTCAACTTTTTCAAGGGCTCCGCAACACAAAAAGTTTGAGAACCCCTGCCTTAGCACATTTAAAAAATGCTGAATACAAAGTAAAAACCAATGCAAAGTCAATGTAAATAAACTTTTTCCATTTACAAAAAACTGTTGGATGAATGAAAATAAACCTTTTTATTAAAAATCAGAATTACTACAGTAGTACAGTTAGTGGATCTCGTGTAGTTTTGTACCTCAAGTACTCCTAGTGGGTGTAGTATAACGACTGACTACGACATTTAAAAATAATGTCACAATCGTGTCATAGAAGTTGCCAAAGTATACCTACGATCGCCTGAAATGGCATTTGCGCCGACGATAAAGAATTCACTAATGGCAGCGATCTCTCACATATTGGGATCGTTGCGATGGGAAAACAGGTGATTGTTTACGCGTCTTTAATAACAGTTCGAATAGCATTAAGGGCCTTATTATGTCAATGTGATGTTGTAGTGACCTAACTTTTGGACGACGCGGTGAAGTGGGGTTAGGATGAACATATGCAAAAATTGTTATGCTACGCCCACTAGAAGTAATTGAGATACTAAACTAAACTAGACCCCAGTTAGTTTCCGCATGACATTTACTTCTGCTTATGCGAATTGAAATCAGGTCATCTCTTGAATAAATCAGTATGTTTCTAACATCACTGCATCATGATTTTTTTACCTCATTTTATTAAATTTCAAACCCACACTATTCCCTACAACTTTTTTTTCTTTGTAAAGATACTTTAAAAGACATCAGGTATTTCTGTATTCAATGTTCAAAATTTAGTGCTAATATAGAAAATGAACTAAATTTCGAGTAGGGGCCTAATCTGATTTTCAAGTAGAAGGGGAAATATATGATGATACATAATGCATTGGAAAAATTTATGAAAAAAAATTCTTACGAATTTAAATGAATCCTCTTTTCAGTATATTTTCCATGTCCATAAACCTCGTCATAGTGTGGCTCATTGCAAACTACTTCTACTCCTTCACCAGCTTCACTTTGTTCATCACTATGCCGATTTATCATATATTGTTGACCACGTTGGTACTGCAGATAATGAAAAAGATCAAAACATTTTGGAACTGATGTCTGACAGTACGGCACACAATTTACCCTCCATTTGGTTCAATGAAACAAACACTCCATGTGTCTCACAAACGAGGAGTGTCCGACATGACGGCAGATGAGTCATATCGCGCCATGCTTGTCTCAATAATAATCTAAAGTAGTAATCATGGCCATCACATGACCAAAATTGCCGTTGTTTCCTAAAAACTCTCGGAGGCCATGGTAAAAAAAAATTTCCTTTGGTAAATTGGATAATTTTTTCCTGAGGAATTCAACGTTTTTAGATTGCGCTTCTTTGTAGTATTTTGCGCAATTTCATTATACTGTATTTTTACCTCCCAAAAAGAGGGGTGTCCGATCGTAGGTAAAATGTGTTTCTCTGAAATGAGGCAATGTCGCTCGATCTGTATAGTGTGCCGCACTGTCTGAATATTACATAAAAAATACAGTAATATGCTTTCAGCTTCATAATGAATAAATCAGTCAGTCAGCCAGTAGTTTATTTTTCACAAAAATGAACATACACTTGATGCAAACAAAAACTAAGAAAAAATATAAAAAAGGGAATTGTTTGCTTTCTCACCTCTTCCGTGGTCAATGGCATGCATATTCGATACTCCTTCAATAACATGACCCCACATGTACCATACGTTCGTTATCGACAAATAAAACTATTGCTATACTGCTATAAGAAAGCTTAACCAATCTGTTGAAATAATCCGCTGCAATCGTCAGATCGTAGTTGTGCACTCGAATGAAAATCTGAGGTCAACATTCGCAAGTTTATTAATAACGAGAGAAGCTACAATAGCGTGAAAAAAAATATTAAAACGTGACGTTCAGACGAAAATAAATACGAGAGAACATAAACCCTCCGAACGAACTTACTACCTAGCGCCCCCTTCCGTTGTTGTTTATGACAGCCTTGAGTAAGTTTTAATTTCATTCATTGCTTCATAGCAAATTTATTAGGGCGTTTTTAGTAGTGTAATACAATATTGTGGATTGAAGCGGATCAGTACTCACTTTTTTTTATCAAACCACTTACCTGTGTCCGCCTGATCCTTACTCGCAAATTGCATATAAAAATAATTTTTACACCAACAGCACCCAATTATGCAGTATCTGATGAGTATATATTGTTCTTTTTTGTTTCATTTTTGACACAGATCATGCTAGCTTTACAACAGTGTATTAAATTTAGTATACTCAGCTCATTGGTATACTACACGATAAGAGATTAAATGGCAATTACCAGACCGAAACAATTCGTTTTTTGCTCATGCCACAAACTTGCAAATCAAATTGGCGCACATCAGCTAATACTGAGACTCGTTTTCTATGAACCGGATTTGCATAATATGAATGTCATATTCATTCACACAAATATCAAGTGGATAGGTTTGGTGAAAATTTAAACAAAGCCAACCACAATGTACTTCCAGATAGAATCTGATAGTTGAATAATTTGACAGATATAAACACTCAACCACTGGTCATCAAAATAATAAAACCAAATTTGCACAGAACCCAAGATCACCCACACGTGACATCACGTGAGGATCGGGGTTTCCCCAAACGATAGTTTGCTTTTGACTCTCGAGCCACGCACCGTTTCTCGTTTATTCATTTATTGAATTTGTCTAATTTTCAGTCAAAAGACGACTAACTTTCGATTGGGAAGTATGAAGAAATTAGGATAAATGAGTTCTGGAATCCGTGTGTCAAATCAGAAAGAAATTTTATTGCCAGTTTTGTTGACACCAAAGCGATGAAAACAAGGTATACCATAGGATAGGATAGGATTTACATATTTATCCCGGGGGAGAGGAAAGCCGATAAGACGGCTTATCCATATGGCGAACCACGGCCTCTCGTCCGGTTACCATTCCAAGTCTGGTATGGGATTAGTTTTACTGTATTGTTTGTTTTCGGAAGCATGGACTTGGTGGTGGAGGAAGCCGTAACCGACCAGCGGTTACGTGAACCACCCAACGACGGCGAGGAGTCCAGCAATCCTCTCGCACATAACCATCCCTGCATGGGATTCGAACCTGCGAACCCACGCAGAGTAATTAGAGGTGCGGTGGCGAGCGTATTCCTAACGCTTAGCCCGTTGAGCCACACCGCCGCGCCGTATACCGTACTGGTATACCTATTTGTATCTAATAATATATTCAGGGAAATCTGCGACAGGGAAGTAAAAATTATAACAAAAAACCCACAATAGACATATCTGAATACTACGTAGTATTTTGATGTCATTATAGGTTGGCATGATATGGCGGTATTGTTACTTAGATTGGTAATTGAACTACTGAACTATGCTTCAAAATTTGTGCCGAAAATAAAATAAGGCTTGAATAGAAAAAATTTGATTGTAGTGTTTCATGTTGAAGTTATTCAATCGTATAGGCTTCTTCCATAACCCAAAGTCATGAAACTGACCCTTTTTAAATGTAGCTAAAAATCAATCTGAACTTTTAATTTCTCAAATATGACCATATATTCAATTTTCATTTTAAACTTCAATAATAATGTTTCGGAGTCATTCATACATTAATAGACCTACTTGTTAAATAATTCAATATTTTTCAAGATCTGTACGTTGTCTGGTAAAAGTTCTCTCTTTTGAAGCACTATGTAGAGTTACCAGGAGAAGTTGTGCGAGACTAACTTCCAATCCTTCTCTAAACCGCATGATTGTTCTTTTTTTGTCGTAGTTGTAATTTGCAAACTGCTTGTCTGGGGAAGTCTGATTTCGGTCAGACGAAATGTTGCAGAAACACATTTGTGTTAGTTTGCAGCAAGACACTTGAATTGCATAGTATATATATAGTGTTGTAAAAATTCTCATATACCTGTATTTGGTGACCTATTGCTCCTGTCTCTTTCCTGACTGCTGTTTTTTAAATTGTCTTGTTTATTTATTTGTCTTAGAATATATTAGATTTATAACAAAGCTTCTAACCACCATGGAAGAGATAATTAATGAAGTTATTGCAACACAAGATATTATGAAATTTGAAAGAAAATACAAAAAAGAAGAAGCTATTGGAAAAGTAGAAGCAACAACTCAGTTTGAATACGCCTGGTGTCTTGTACGTAGTCAATATAAAAATGACTGGAAAAAGGGAGTTGTATTATTGGAAGAACTTTATCATACTGGAGATAATCACGCTAAAAGAGATTATATATTTTACATTTCTATTGCACATTACAAGCTAAAAAACTATGAGCAAGCTCTCAAGTTCTGTAAAGCCATATTACATGTTGAACCACAGAATCACCAAGCAAAACAACTTGAAGAATTGATAAAGAAAACAGAAAAGAAAGAAGCTATGGCTGGAATGGCTATTGTAGGTGGTGCAGGTCTTGTTGTTGGAGTGGGTGTAGCTGCTCTAGGTGTTTTGGCCGCTGTTCTTGCATCAAGGTCGAAATAATGTGTTTTGTGACTGTCAATGATTTAATTACTTCAGATCTTATTATGATATACATTTGTAAGCTTATGAGTGGTTACTGTACCTCACTGTGGCCATTTAAATATACAATTACTAGGTATGATTCACAAAAGTATGTATTTTTGGTTTCACTAACCAGAATCTTGCCTCCCAAAATACAAATAGTGAGAAGCAATTAAAGTATTGTATGTTTAATCTACTATTGCAAACTATTATTCGTCAAATCTATATGTACAGTTCTGTGTAAAAATTATGGAAATCCTGCTAGACTGATTTTGTGTTTTTTAATAGTTTCAGTGGTAGAAGCCATGCAGGGCAATATTTGCCCTATCAGGACTACAAAAATCATACAGTCTTATTATCTGTACCTTATTTACAACCAGGGCCAGTTTGAATCAAGTTTCATTTTTTTTTATATATACGAGCATTATTAATATGAACCCAAATACTGTTTTAAGGCACTTTACCACAATTTTTTTCGAGGACCAACGAGAAAATTCTGGTAGCTCCCATCTATTATGGTACTAAGTTTGGCCCCAGCTACCAAGCCTTACTCTTTGCCTCCAACAGCATACCCTTACAATATAAACAACAAGGTAATAAAATTGTCTATTGTTTAATGGAAAAATTAAGCGACGATCGCTTCACACTGACCATTATTATTATAATAACAATACAAAATTGGAATTTAATTCAAACTAATGAAGGCCGTTTCGACATTCTTTATATAGTCAGAGAATTTGTCACTGGATGGAAATTCGCTCAATATCAAAGCACCAGGCGTCAAATCATCAATCATATAACATACGAGTATAGGCTTTTGTGAGCGTTTAACAGGAATGATTGCCAATGAACGTCTGAATGACAATTCAACCCAGTACTGCACCTATACCAACAGCAACTTTATCTTTTTCAAAATTGTAAGTGCCAGTTAAGTTCAAAGTAAGTGGGAGTGGCAGTAGTTTCTTTTCTAGTGAGCTTCCAATGGTCCATTGTGAGGTCAGAACTCCTGTAGATGAAAGTGGAATATTGAGTTAAAGCTGGATAGATCAGGTAATGGTAAAATGAGAAACATAACATGAAACAGAATATTAAATAATGATCTTGGTGTTCCCAGAACAGATTTGACAAATATTATGTTGGCCCTCATAGCGAGTTTGCACTGACATGATTAGTATGATTTGAATCACATATACAGGGTGACCAAAAAAAGACCCCATAAATATCCTCAATGAAAATGAAGAATTTATTTAACACTTGAACTTCCTGTTTGTGTAAGATTGTACGAAAAAGTTTCAGTAATCTAGGACGCTTTGCATAAAAGTTATATTCTCTCTAGAATATGTTTCAAATTAAATGGATTCTTGTTTTTTGGGGTCACCATGTACATGTCTGTTTAAAAATTTATTAATAGTCAATTATGCAACATGGATTCTATATATTAATTTTAAACAAAAAACAATACCTTTGAATAACAAATTCATTTTCGGGACATCAACTTGATAAACCATGCTTGTTACACTATCCATTGTTCGTAATGATGCTTCCAATTCAACTCCAACTTGCACATTTTCGTTGGCTTTTCTGAAGAAGCTTGTGTGCAATCCTCCTGCACCTAATGTTGCCGCTAATGTCCAGTCTTTAGCTGTTATGAGAAAGGGTGTATTACTAAGATAAAATGATTTGGCAACAGTTGAAAATGTATATTCAAATTGTATTAATTTCTGATCGCTTTCTTATCGGACCTACTTTGATATCTTCCTGCAAAGGTGACAATTGCTTGCTGCTTCCCAGCACCTTTCTGATATAAAATTTCAGATCCTAATGAGAGGTTTGGAGTGATGGCTTGAAGGTAATGTACTATAAGCATACCTGTCAAAAATTATAGATGCATTATTAATTAAATAGTTATACAAATATAAGAAAATAGTGTGTTTTTTGACACTAAACAAACCATACCATTTCTGTTCAAAAGGTCGGGGTCAGCACCGACTACAGAAATTGTGGAATCTTTCAATGTTATATCTGTACCTATTTGTAAGGACTGCAACTTAGATGCTTGCGTCTGAAAATGACATACATAGGTTAGTTATTAACTGAACCAAACACATAACAATATAAATAATTCTTATCAAAGAGCTTACTTGTGCAATACATTTTACTTTCATTCTTTTAGCTATTTGATGAATGAATTGCGCTTGTAAATTTCCGTCATTGTCCATTTCTCCGACCATGACTGGGAAAACCTAGAAGACAAAAGTTCAAAGATTGATTTTAATTTTTTATGTAATAAAATACCTTCAATTTGCGACTTACCTCAGATGGACTTAACTGTTTGGTTCCAACATATGTTGAACCAAATCTATATGAAGATTTTTCATTGTTCAAATGAAAAGTGTGCTGGACCTGAAAATGACAAACATATTACAATCCGAGATATTCCGTAAATGACACATTAATTTGATCGCAACATACCTGAAAATGTGAACTCAACCCTTTATTTGCCATAAACCTGATACCTTCAAAAGGTTGCATCGCAATATCTAAAAATAGGTAACACTTATTCAGGGTTGTCCAAAACGAATCGAATATCAAGGTATTCGAATACCTTTTCGGCTCATTTCCGAATAATTACGAATAGTAGTCACTTTTCGCCGTAAACACGGTGTTTCGTTTTACCGGAATCTTCAAACGACTTTTTACGCTTTCTCACGTATTGTAATGACGATGAAATAGAGTCGGCATTTTGATTGTTTATATTCAGCGCGAATGTACGTCGCATAGTGTTGCGACACATTTGCACGTTTGCGTTGGTGGACATTGCCGACATTCGTCTTTTAATTCACAAAATCATTTCCATTAGTCGAAAAATCGACAATCACCGTATTTCCCGGCTAATAAGTCGCTTTTCTAGACCCAATTTTGGCTTGATTTTTTGGGGGGAGGGGCGCCTTATTGAGAAAGTATGTTTATTTTATTTCTATGTGGCCTGCTTATTTTTCGCATTAGTCTTCTCAAGCATAATTTGTGTTAAACCTTATATTTGGTTCTTATGGGTCTGCCAATCATGATATTTAATCGTAGGCCGGTTATCGTTACTTAAAAGAGAAAACACGGCCACCGCCACCGAGATAAAGTAAGTGATTTATCGCCCTTTGGTTTTGCCGATTCAGCAGAAAACGACAGGGACATGAAACACGGCTGTGAAATAACCCGTGGAAGTACCGTGTGGTACTTATCACATTCCAAAATTATTTCAACATTCGGGTTGATAGGTTGTCCAAAATGATTGCCGCTTTATAATTTTAAATTTACCGCTTCGTTGTTGAGAATAGTTAATTCCGTGAGTATGGTTCTACCAAACAAACATGATCTGGTTCTGTTCTGACCCTATAAAATTATAGATTGTTCAAAATGATTGTGATTTTTAACTTAAAATTACCGCTTTATTGTTAAAAATAGTTAATTCTGTGAGTATGATTCTACTAAACAAACGTGATCTGGTTCTAAACATTATTATTAGCGCATATTAGCATACCTGAACAACAGGGAATAATTTTTCTACCCGTCTTCTTGGAGGCCTATATGGAAAACCCCCTTTTTTGAGTGCTAAAAATATACATCGTCCTATTTGCCATGTAGACTTATTAGCCGGGAAATACGGTATTTATAGCCGTAATTGTTACGATATCCAATAAATTGTCACAAGTTGGGAAACAAGTTGATTTATTGGAAAAATACTTTCTGGAAAATAATTTTGATAATGATGGTCAAAGGTATCGATTTTGAAAGTATTAATACCAAATACCACGGGTATTTGTGGGCATGAAATGTGTGGTAAACTGCCCAATTATAATTAATTTCGGATTCGTATTTACAAAATATTAAAACTATTATAACTCAAAAATACAACGGCGATTTGTGGACTTGAATGTGTAATAAAGTACAAATTATTTTTCCGATTTTGAACCCTATTTTCGTATTTATAAAATAATAAAAGTATTCTTACACAAACATACAACGGCGATCTGCGAACTTAAAATGTGTGGTAAAGTTCCCGAATATATTTACTTTTTGATTCGTATTTTTGTACTCACGAAAAAATTGTCACAAGTCTGAAAAGAACTCATACTTTATCCCGCTTTTTGACAAATAATTTGGATAATGGTTGGTATTTAAAAGTATGGGCGTTTTACTAGGATGATTTTGCGTTGCGCAAGCATTCAAATCCATCACCGATACCACTATTTAAAATGCCTTGTCGTATTATTTTAATTCTGTTAATTAACACAACTCATGTTATATAAAATATATATCGCAATAATCTGCAAACATGAAATGCCTGGTAATATAGCCAGGTTGTAGATAGAAGTTATTCCATTGTTTATTGTATGAAAATTCCTTCATACACTTAGATTCTATTACTGGATTTTATTTTCGAAGTATTCGAAATTTCATATTCGAAAATAATAATTTCGAATGTATTCGAAATAGTGAACTATTCGGTTTTGGCCATCCCTGCACTTATTACCGGTAAATACATTCAATTTAAATAAAATGCGTCTAAGATTTCAGCTAGTTATACAGTCAGGAATGTTTAAAGTGAGATGAATAGTCCAACCATTTAATATTAAGTTAAGAACAAGAAAGCATTCACTGAATTTCCGGGAAAAATATGAAACCAATACTGCATTTTCAATATCAATGTTTGTGTCCTTTGCTCAAATTAATATATTTGACATTCCATATAATTTTCAGTATGCATGGAGATATGGCTTAAAATGATAAAGTAGTCGATGTTCAAATATCAAACCTTTGCATAATTTGTGTAACTCTTCAAATGTTCCAGGATTTGTTGACTGTGATGTTGATGATTGCTCTGCTGGTTTTTCTTCAGTTACTTGGATTGGTGTGGGGGCTAAATCAGAAAATGCATTCATACTATAAAAATGTTCAATAAGAGATCAAAAGATCAAGGCAGTACAATTACGCATCAAACAACAATTAAAATATGTAGATCATCTTCACATGAGATATGTCAGAAACTACATGGAAATGCTATTCATTTTACCAGATTCTCAGTCTGAAATTGACAGCATGGGAGAATCTACAGAAAGTTCTAACGATCACAAAGAAGCAACCGATTAAAATTATCCCCTCACTATAGGGTTTGTGACACTGAGTATTTACTTACAAAATTCTTACCTGGAGCTATAGGTGGAGTAGGTGCGGCTGATGCCATTACATTCCCCATGACTACTGATCTTTGAATATGTGCATAAAAAGGTTTTGATCAGCACTACAAAATCTAAGCTATTTGATAAAAAGAAAAGAAAAATAAGGAACATTATAAAGGCAGCAATTGATGGGAGAGTTCAGTATGCACGGTCAATCAAAATATATGACGCTAATAAGGAAAATGGCATGAAAAATTCATATGTTCTATTTGTAGACAAAAATTCATGGACCATACAAAATACTAAACTAAGCAAAGGTTCATGTTTATTCATCCATCTTCATACGCTTCGCTGCATTCTCCTCAGCTTTAAGCAGAGGAACGCTTATCTGTGCGATTGTGGGGGAAACTAATTTCATAACAATTCTTTGTCTTTGTATATTTGATTTGTCATGCGAAATTTCAACAGTGACTGCGTCAAATACTTGCATGATTCTTCCTCGTATTGCAATTTTGCATTCATCCTCTGTATAAGTCATTTGATCAGCTGGAACCACTGTCCCATCTATTGTACGATCCAGGAAAACAGTCCCTTCTAAACCATATTTGGGTATCAATACTTGAACGGCATTCTTTTTTACGGCAATAATGAATCCTTCCTCATTGACAACTTTCTCTCTGAAGAACAACTGAGTATGCAAAGCAACAGAAGCACGTTGAGCATATTGTGCCATTCTATGTCTGAAATTCAAGTTGTCACAAACCCTTTGTTGCTCGTGTTTATCCAAAAGGGCTGGAAAAGTCATGTCATCTCCAATTGCTGCGGCCAATAACCTATGCGCCAATATGTCAGAATATCTTCTAATAGGAGAAGTAAAATGAGTATAAATTGGTGCTGCGAGTCCGTAATGAAGATAATCAGAGTCCATTCCACTGCAGAAATACACTGCTTGAAGCATACATCTAGTAGCAATGATTCTCAATAAGGTCTGAATATATGGATTACCTGGAATATGAGCATCATCCAAAGAACGAGCAAGGTCAAGTGATGTATCAGTTTCAATGTTAACACCTCTAGACTTGGCCGCATTAATTAGCATATCATAATTGGACTGTGGTGGTGTAGGATGTTTTCTTAAAATAGCACAATCAGGAAATTCAGATTCGGTGTACTTGGCGACAGAACAATTTGCCAGAAGCATGAATTCCTCCACCATAGAGTTGGTGTCTTTAAGTTCTTTTGTTTGTAGATCTATAGGATCATGAGTCTCACTATCAATGTGAAATCTAACTTCAGGAGATGCGAGACTCAAAGCACCATTGTCGATTCTACGCTTTTTCAAGATTTTTGCAAGCATATTCAGGCCTCGTAAACCAATTGTGACATCATCATTCATTGATTTATCATCTATCATCATCTGGGCTTCTGCATAAGTAAGCGATTTTCTAGAGCGAATAATTGATTTGCAAAAAGAAGTTTCCACAATTTCTGCATTTTTGTTCAATTTCCAGATACAAGAAAAGGCCAACCGGTCACCATCATCACGTAAAGAGCATAAATTGGACGATAAAACATCAGGCACCATATCAATTCTTTTATCACACAAATACACTGTTGTTCCTCTGGCTTTTGATTCCTCATCCAAAGCAGTTCCAGGTCGAATAAAATAACTAACGTCTGCAATATGTACACCAACTTCACACAAATCGGGCTCATTTTCTAATTCTCTGTAATGTAAGCAATCATCAATATCAGTACAGCCAGGAGGATCTACACTGCAGATTGGTAAGTAACGTAGATCTTTACGTTTCTTTATTTCAGTCTCAGGAATTGACCAATCAGGTTGGGGCAAACATTTAAGAACAGCTTTTGAGAAAGGCTCATGTGGAATATCATGTTCTAATAATAAAACTTCATTTTCCGTATCTTTTTCTCCAACTCCACCCAAAGCACGAACGAAGTGTCCTTGAGGATATTTTGAAAATCTTCCCCAACTATCGATTGCGACAATGATTCTTTGTCCCACTAGCTTTGCCGCTTGTCTTGTTTCTACACGTACTCTTGGTATCCTTCTATCGGCGGGAGAAAACAGATGTCTGGTCATATCTTTATTTCCAGAATCTTCTAAAATACCACAATATGGTCTCCAGTTTCGTTTTATAATGCCAATAACTTTTCCAGTTCGTTTTTTAGTTGCTTGATTTTCATTTGTATTATTTACATTCTTTTCTCTTGCATCAGTATCTGCACCTGGCTGCATTTCAATATCAAGCACCACATCACTTGGCATTGACCATTCTTTTTCGGGCAATATTTCAACAGCGACAATGTCCTGATGCACAGCACGGTTCAAATTTATTCTCCCTTGTATAAGTATACTAGTTTCATCATCCCCGGACATTTGTATGTGACCCTCCAGATAGTTATCTCGACTGATGTTAATTTTTCCTTGGCGATATTTTCCATGTTTTATCCCCATTTGTAACTTGGATAATGGCAAATGCTGGGGGTATGAAATTGATTTATCAACTTCAATGCTCTCGTCTGCTTCCTTTGCTAACTTATCAATAAGTTCAGGAAATCCAACAATATTTTTAACATACTCTTCCATAGTGAAAGATAACAATCCACCCTTAATTGCAAGATCTTTATTAGCTCGATCATTTGTAACAAGAACCGCTTTCTGTTTACGTTCCTCCAAGCATTTATCATAAAAAGATGTTGCGGTTCGAATTAGTCGATCATTCCAATCGTTACTAGACTCTCCGCGCTCTCTTTCAACCCAAGTATCAATGGAATGTTCGTTTGTAAAAACAAAAAACTTTTTATCCGGATTTTCAATCAATGTCCTCAATTTTTTGTATACCGGTGAAGATCTACGTCTCACCTCTCGTAATACAGTTTGCAAAACAATAACATTTTTGATAGCGGGATGATGTAATACATCGATTTGCTTTAGGACAACATTGGTATCAACAACTAGAATATGTTCCACATTGACGAGGTTATTGACGAGAGAAGGATGTTCATCCATCGACTTTTCATCTTTTAATTCAAGACCATTTTTAATATCATCTCTTAAATAATGTTCCCTTATTATTTTCAGAATCTTTCCAGATCTTGTTTTTACCATCAACACTTTAGATGTTAACATTTTGCTTGCATTCAAACATAGAAATTTATTTCAAAATTGTCAATAAATTCATTCGCCATTCATCTAAATATGCTGGAATAACAACAGGAAAGCATATTGGTCTGGTTCTTAGCACGCCCACTCTCAAATCACAGGTTACAAAACTTGGATTTGAGCATGTTTGCCACCCTAATCTAAGTGTAAAAATTTGTTAAAATTTACATACTTATATAATATTACACTCTGCTGCACTTAGTCAACCTAATATTGAGTAATTCATCATAAATGGACTCTGGTTGCTAATAGGTTCTACTATATATATATATATATGATGCAAATATTGTAATAAAAATCTTGGTTAATATATCAGTAGGGCACGGATCTCACATTCAAAATATCCCAATATTTAGATCCATGAAACAAATGCTTTATTTGTTCCAGAAACGAGGGCGACCAACACAGCAAGAAATGTGTATGATCATGCAATGTTTTTCGCAATAATAATACTTTGTGCATATTCCAAACAAGGCTCTTGGCAAGCAGTACTGGTACTCTACAAAATGCTGAAATGAGCTATTTTTGAAAATTTTACAAGGGGATCATATTATTATGACATTTTTGTACCAACCGTTCCAACTCAACATAGCTTAATATTATTTATTATAATATGTTAATTAAGCGATAACCTATACTCTGATTTAAATTCAGAAGTTGGCTTTAAAGCTGAACCATTCCAGCACATAAAGCGCTTGGTAGAGTGTAGGAATTTCATTGCATTTACTTCACCGCATGCATCAGAAACAAAATAACTGGCTTAGTAATACCACACTCGGCATGTAAGTAATGGTTCTAAGTTCAGAAGTTAGTACACGAATATCTGAATATGCCCAACTAATGTTTAACGGTACAGGTATGGCATTAAATCAATACAGAAATCATTCTTATACACGTCCTTTATTTAATCGGCATCTATTTACCCTTCGATTCGTCAGCGTAGTCCCGCGACCAAATTATCTGTAAATATCCATTGATATCTGGCGTAAAACACGAAATCCTAAGAGAACATAGAGCTGAGATATAGACATGTGTAAAATGCATGCTTGCCAATATAACTGAGGACGGAATACGAATAAGGCAAATTTGCATTTTGAATATTTTTTGTCTCAATTAAAATTGAACTAAAAATATTTTAAAATCAAAAATATGAATTTATCGTTAACATATTTGCTCAATTTTAAACGTGCGACTGAATACAACAATCATAATTATGTAAATTGTGATGGAGAAATCTGGCATCAGTATTGAGGTTGAAAGGTGACAACAGTGGCTCTGCCTCGATAATCGTAAGAGCTACAATAATTTTCATTTCTTTTATTACAAAAGGTTTCTAAAAAAGGATTGCTGAACTTACGGGGAAAGTGATGTAATCGCGGGTTATTTATGTATGTCTTCTCAAATTATGATCACGAGTTGAAAGTTGCATATTACGGCGATGGCAAACTGTGGTACGGTAACAGTGACGCAACGACGATAACAAGTAAGTGTGTACATTCATGTCAGTATACCCTCAACTTAGTGAGTCGCTGCTGTGTTTGATGGGAAGAGAACTCATTTCATTTTCATCATTGCATGACACCATAACATGCTGCAGTATCATAATCCTCATCACTAAGCTATTGTTCGATAACCTGGCTTTTTTTGGTAAAACTGTCACCTTCATAATTACACATTTATCTCAGTTAGCTCTGGGTCAGTCAGTCCGTATTTGCTCTCTTAAAGTGTACTACAGCTGTATGATTGATTTTATTACAATAAAGCAAAAATAAAGTAAAAATTAATGAAACTCTACCCCGTATCATGTGAACGATACATGCTTTCAGGATCAGTATCTTGTACCAAAAATCTCACGACATTGAATTAAATGTACACCATTAGAAGATAAACAAAATTTTTATACAGTTTTCTCGAAAATTGGTCATGATCACATCGCTAACAAGAACTAACCGATATAACTTTCCAAATACTTAGTAACAAACTAATTTAAACAAGACGATTATTGTCATAAAATGCGAAATGATGGGATGGTCAAAACAGCTAACTACACCTTCAGATGAAAAAAAGAGATTTGATAGAAATTCTACACAAGTAGAAACGGAATCTCCATGTTTTTGTGATCTTTTCAGCAATCCTAATGTAACTATTCAGAATCATTGTTATCTTGAAATCAAGGAATCCAATTTTTACAAAAGTAAAAAAAGCAATATTGAACTTTCCAGAAAACTATTGCAGCCCTTTCACGAAGCAAAAGAAAACACCTAATTGGACAGAATAGCAGTGCATAATCACAAGCTAAATAAAATTGCAGATGAACAAGAATTGATTAAACCACTGTTCCATTTATATGTTCATCCAATATTTTGACTTTATCTTTCAATAGCAACACTCCTTTTTCGAAGAGACCACAAGCAACATCCAGCTGAAAAGGAAAACGTTTGTAAGGAAAATATGTGTTGCACTTTTCTTAAAATTTAGGCTTTTTAATGAATTGCTCAGATCAAAACGAATTATCTTACACTAACAATAAGGCTGAACCAATGTAAAACAATATCTACTATAAAAAAGCAAATCATATAGCAGAAACCCATTAATTAAAGAATATCATATTTGTGTTGATTAAAAAACGATAACAAGAAATCAATGCCTAGTTATCGGTGATGTGTAGTTGTTGAGACGTTCAACTGGAGTTTGAGTCATATTTTCAAACTCCATGGAGTCGTTCAATGGTGATGACAAAATCAAAATTTTCTGCAGAAATTCGAAAAGCATACGCCAATGTTTTTGGTATCAAATTTTCTTGGAGTACAGAACTGGAGTAAGGGAGTCAAAAATTGATTTTTTTCCAACTCAAGAAACTGGTTTCTATTGCAAATATACCAAGAATCCCCAGCCTGGCTAAATATGATAATTGAAAATTACCAACCTTCTCATCATTAGTTTGAAGTGGAAAACTGTTAACTGCTTTATACTCAGGATACGAATTTATTAAAAACTGTATGACAGGCACACATGCTTCAGTGATTGCAAAATACTTTTGTTCCTCAGTGTGATAGGTCCTGATCAAAAGAATTCAGAGTTGAATATGGCAAAAAATCATAGGACTCCCAAACACGGAATCAAATTCGATACTATTAGGTGACAAACGAAATTCTAAATTTGATGATGTGAAGAGCAGACCAATAGAAAGGAAATTAAACTCTCAACATTGGCAAGAAAAATCAAGATAGTGTCACTAGCTAATGCTATTTCAGTTTGAACGTGACAAATTTCAAGATATAGTATACATACTATACTACATACATACTACAGTATGTGAAAAAAAACGATTTCATCTGGATATCTCAGCACAATGTACTTGCATGTTAGTTATATCAGTAGTGGGATGAACTTTGTATAACTTGCACTTAATGGAAAATTGATTCAAATGATGAATGCAATCCGAAAAAGTCGAAATTTTATCGCATAACTCCCGATTTCGATGTCATTCAAATTAAATTCTTAATAGCCTCGACAGCTGACAAATTGTGCCAACCACTAAAAACATGGCGCGCCTAAGCATTCAAATTGAATAACTGATTGAATATTTCAATGCCTCTGACTTGAGGATGTGATTTGCCAAGCTCCAGTTTCCTCTAACCGAAATAAATATGAAAAATACAATACCAAACAATGTATACCTCGGATTCTGCATAGAGTGATATACAAAATAAGTTGAATCATCTTTTCCCGCCTCTTCTTTATCTTTAACAAGTCGTACTGCATTTTTCCTAATCACCCGTACTTTTGAATTAAGATCAATATCACACTCGCACGAACCCGGCTGACCTAAACTTTTTAATCGAACTGTTGCAGCAAGAACTGTACGAGATCGTTCATCTGAAATATAGTAAAATAGTGATTAATATGATAGCAGGTTAATTGAGTGTTCATTGACAAGTTGACGACAAATAACTTAGTTTAAGCATCAAGAGACTATATCCCAATGAAACGGCCAACATGAACCTACCAAAACAGCAAATCTGTTTTTGTATAGTCAGAAAATGATTTCCATTAATTAATAGTAAAGTACAAAACAAGAAAGACAGATTCTGTTATCACAAACAAAGTTAACATTAGGATATATTTGAGTCAAAGCAGAAATTTGACAGTAATTGTTTGGTCATTGTTTTGTGTGCAAGTATGCAAGACTCATAATGCTATCAATGCTCCTGGCACATGCATGTATGGTGCACATAAATTTGAGATTTTTTGTTTCAAGTAGCCTATATTTTAGAGTAAAAGACACACAGATTGTAACATTGTTTTTAGTCGAAGTCCGCCTTCAGCATCAAAGATCTTACACAAATCAGTTCAACTGAAATTAAAAATTATGCAATAATAGTAGAAAAAGACAGAATAATGGCCCAGTCGTCAAAGTGTTACCTTTGGTTCAATTCCAGTGCCCACCGCCTCACCACAATGTATGATGCCCAAGAAAGATTCATTTTCTCCCAAAGACAGTAGATCCTCACATATCAGTGGCTGCCTGTACAGTGCACAGTAAAAGGTGGGAATGAGCACCCTAAAATAATTGCAGTGCTATCATGAAGCTGCATGACTTACTAACCTTGAGTTAATGCTGGTGGTAGACAGTCATGAAGAAAACTTTTAGCTCTTTCATCTGCATTTTCATCACAATCAGCATAATCTGCTAATTGAGCAAAAAATTGTGACAATTTTGATAAAATCTCTTTTCTTCGTTCTGGTTTCTGTGATGTAGATGATATAAAGATCAAATTAGGTATGCTAACTCCTGTAAATGAGGAAAATAGTTTTTAAACCAAATTTGAAAGTAGTACTCAACCGCTGATTGTATATTTTGATGTCCAAAGCAAGATAAGTAATCTCTTGGAAGTCCTTTTCGAAATTCTATGTTTTCTTCAACGGCTTTCTGAAGAGCTTTTGGCACCAACTGAAATAATACCAAATGAAACACAGATGAAAATTCAAGCAGTGAATTAAAACATTTATGTATTTAATAATGTAATGCGTATAAAATGTATTTCTGAAAACCGGAATTTATCGAAGTTCGATCCGTTGCTTTGGTGGATTGTTTCAATATGTCAATTATGTGTTAAATATGAAAGTACAACGACCAGTATTAGTTTGTAAACTAGCCGAACCATGTACGCATTACATTAAAAATGAATATATTTTTTCCATCTAGTGATAAATACATGCTCAACACTGTATGTCAAACATGATAAAATATTTTATTAAAATTATCTCCAATATTCAATTCCCCCACTTATTCAGATAAATGTTCATTGTGAAAGTGTAAAACAACTTTAATTAGAATCTAAGTGATTCAAGAGTTCTGCTGTACTATAACTCAAATATATTTTTATAATGAATCTTCAGACCAAAGACAGTCTTCCTCAGACAAAGACTCATTTCAACTTGACAAGAAAAGTTAATGCATACGTTTATAAACAATGAGTGTCACACAGCCTGGTACCAGGGAGCATGTCCATTATTAATTATTTTTTATATTGATTCGATTAAATACTTACATCTTCTAAAACATCAGCCCATGTATTCCTTTGATATGTTGATATTGTAATATGTAATGAATGAGCATCTGGTACTGCTTGAGCTTGATGTAAATAACCTCGAGGAAAATATAACAAATCTCCAGGTTCTAAAACAGCATCAAATATCTGCTCTCCAATATCTTCATTTGTAAAATTACCTAAAAATGAAAAGTCAAGTAATAATAGGCAAGGAAAATGGGATTTTGGATATTGTGATCATCTTGGATATATTAGTTAATGCTAATCTAATGTAAATTATCATCAGTTGTTAAAACAATTAAATACAAGTTCAATCTCAATTTACAATTAAACAAATCCCAGGCCATCTCGCCCGAGGGTATAGTTAATTGAATAGGCAAGGGATTCCAGCTATTCCAAAATGAAATAACCCCATTACCATGGGAACAGCTGGTCGTAAAGTGGCTCGTTCGGAAAGGCGTACAAAAAGCATTGTAAAAAAGGCTTAAAACACATTTAGATACGAAAGTTGAAAGTTACTTGCTATTTTTAATTCGTTAGCACATTTTTAAATTTTAGTTTATATGCTATCACATGTGATACTCACCACTTGAATATCTTGGTAGTGTTTCAGCATCAGATTTAGGATTATATAAATGCCAATGTTTCTTTCCTTCTAATTGTAAAACAAATGCTTCTATGTCATCATAATGTGGAGCAAATCCTTGTGTACCAGAAGGTGTCAAATAACTGAAAAAATAGTTGGAAATAATTGAAGCGTAAGATCTATAGATAAATATCGACATTGCAAAGATCTCAAACAACTACTTTCTACAATAAACATAGGCAAACTACAGCCAAGGTTCCAAATCTAGCTTAATTTATTTAATCTAATCTGTGCTTCAACCAATTATATATCTACGATTGCTATGTTGTTAGTGATCTGTATTTGAAATGTTTTGTGAGTTCACTTATGCTCAATGATCAGAAACAGAACTGCAACTTCTAGTTAGTTTCCTGTTTGTTACAGCACTCGAAAATGCGCAAGTTCGCAAATTTCATACAATTTGTTAACATTAACTTTAACAATTGTTACGAGTGACCATTTATGGGTTACAAACGCTGGTCCATAGAAGGCAGAGCTGAAACAAACCAAGCTGAGAAAACCCTTGAAAGCAAAAAGTTGGAACTTTGCCTGGCCTTGTCCTACAATTCAGCTTTCGAAACTATGGTTTATATTTGACAAACATATCTCAATTAGGTTTTTATTTTCGAATGGAAAAACTTACATATTAGATCCGACCATGTTTTTAAAATATTCCTGAAGGGTAGCACATAATTTCCAAACAGGTTTTGAAAATGCTTGAGGATTTTTTATTCTCAATGAACATCCATTCTGAAAGACAATGTTTACTTCGTTCAGTTGGGAAAACGAATGAATATTGAATAAAAATGTTATTCATATACACTAGAATAAATGCTGTCTTTCATATCCAAGTTCAACCAAATATTTCGTGTTCTATTCTGTAGTCTCATTCAGTAATCTACATGAAATACAGTGATATGTATTTTGGAGTATTAAACTAACATAAAATTCTTCATCTAGACGTTTCAATTTAAAATATTCTAGACCTAGCAGTTGAGCGTTAAATTTAACCGAGTTGGCATCAAAGGTTAAACTTTTTGAATTCAAGTGCCAAGCCAAACACTTCACTTTGAGTGTAATAAAAATAGGTTTTCCATTTTAAGATAATAGCTCCTAAGATATCGTTAGATATAAGTGGTTGACTGTGCAGCTAAATTAAGCATGGCATAAAAAAATGACGCAGAATTGTATGTCAAGTTCACAAAATAATACACAATATAATAAACATTACAGTTCTACTGCAATGTTTTCAACATCACAATTTCGAAAAAAAAAATCAAGTTGAACAAGATAATCAAAATTATCAAAAGTAAAATTTTACTTTATAGTTATCCCAAGCAACAACAGGAAAAACTTTTCCTTCTAAATTATGAGTTTCCCTGACTCCATCTGTGTATGAAGTAACATCAAGATTGACACCATATTGCACATTGCATTCATGAAGGATTCGATTAAATTCTTCCATGCTAAAAAGTCCGCTGACATAAGTTGGAATGCGTCGCCGAATCAAAGCTGGTTTCTTCTCCCATATTGTACTGTAAAAAAATGTTTCACAATATTTTTTTTTTTAATATATATTTTATGCAGTGAAATTGGAAATATATGGTGCTTTTTTGGTATATACATCAATATTGAAAATGTTAAATAAATAAACTTTACAGAATAAATGATTCCCGTTCCTTGACCCAAAAAAAAAATTTTCCTATACTTTATCATGGTAAGATTTTTTGAAGCATATTTGAAGATTTTGCTTACAGTACAAACCAAGATAGAAGCCATGCAAAAATTTTACCAGAATACAAAATTAGAATCAAGCAGTCGTCCATGATTCAAAGCAGTCTGAGCTCAAGTCATTTTAGTAATTTCATTGAAAATTAATCACCAAGGATGCATGAAAAGCAAAACCCGTACAAGTTTACCAAAATTTCGTCAAAGCAGAAGTTCTAACAATACTTACTTCATAAAATGTTTATCTGACATTGGATGAATCAACCACTTAAATAACATTTTTCCATCTTCTTCACTGTTACCAGCAGGAAAAGGCATCTTCAATATTTTGCTATTTGCTTTTTGAACTGACATTGTAGCATTGGTAGTGTTCTATAAACAAAATAAGATACTGATTTAATAGGGTAAGATGCCACCATGTTAAGGATATATAGAGCATATCTTGTGTTTACATCCCCGATATACTAATTTAATTTTACAGATCTATTTCAACAACTCAGTCTTGATAAAATGGATTATTATAAGCCTACACGACAGACGAAGAAATGTCCTGAATCCAATATTCGAAATTCATTATATTTGATATAGTAAATCTTTAAATTTAGGAATAATTTAGAATATTGTTATTAAAAAAATCAGGGACAAGAGGATGAGAACATACAAACAATACTTAGCATGTACTAAACAACACAGAGTAAACAATGACCTTTATATTCATGTTGCTACAGATATGATCAACATGAGGAAATAGTGATTTATGCAATTTTCCAACTTTCCCCCAATTTAGAATGTACTCAATATTCCATATTCTAAAATCTTCAACAGAATTTATTCAGAATAGTAAAATATTCAGTTTTGGCCATCCCAGCCACACCACATTCTGGTTTAATAGTACTGAATCAAACACATACTAGATAATGCTATTTAACATCTCAGTCAGAAAATAAAATCTCACCACAGCATGTACTGGTGAACTGCGACGTGAAGATGATTTGTCTGTACTACAATGATAAGTTTCAATACTTTGATCTGGAAAGCAAATTAATGGGTGAGCATGAAGTTCAAACCCAAGATCTTAAACTCATACTGCCGTTAATAAATTAAGTCTTACACTCAATTCAAACCACTGAACCCCTTCACCCACATACCCCCCTCCCCCGAAAAATAAACAGTATTTATATTTAGACAACTTCATATCCATAATGGCCAATTTCATTAAGAATGATTATATTCAGTAATAGCTACTGGACCAGTATAAACCCGCATTTCAATTTCAAACTATCGGAAATTACAGTTAGAATAAAACAATCTCTCACTTATTACAGAATAATTAGTTTATTCTTCAAAATTCACAGTTTACTGAACCGAACATTCCATATTCTCTTACCTTCATCTTCAGTATCCACTCTAGCTTTCTTCTGAATTGGTGATGTACTTTCATTCAAAATATTCGCACAAAATTCCATTTGTTCATGGGATTTGACTTTTAAATTATTGGAGTTCGGATCAAGATTTTCATTGGGTGTCATCAATCTGAACAACAAAAGTTCATTGGAAAAGAAAATATACACCTACAACATTATTAAGTCCTTAAAGTTACAACCATGACTGCGGAGATGATAAAATGTACACCAGACTCCGACTACAAACTACGAGGCATTTTTAAAAATGACTCTGGATCCAGGTTGAGAAAACTGAATTTGATAAAAAAATCTTTTGCATATGCATACTTTCTTTAGTTGTCTGCTGGGAATGCTTCAAGATAAATCTCTTTGAGTTTTAATGGAAAATTTTGACCTCATTTAACACCATCAAAATTGTGAAATCAGAACTCTATAAAGAATTAAAAATTCAACTCCAATATCAATATGAAATCTGACTCCTAGATTCGACGCAACTTTACCACATTTTCATGTTTTCAGTCAAATAAGTATGCGAGACAGTTGATGCCGCACTCATGGATTGCCTGACAAGAAATTGGGACATTTTCAGACACTCTCCAATATTATACGTACTAAGCTACAACTAACCCAATGTTGGAAGATTCCTCTGTATCATTGTCTTCATATCCAGTCAAACTCTGACTCGTTGAAAGTTCTATACTTTTATCTGTGAAAAGATATTCTCAATAATTGAATTCATATTTATGTAGCAAATCGTATGATGCAGATGCATGTGTTTATTAGTTTGAAATCATTCACAGCAGAGTATTTTAAAATGAGCTCTCTGCTCTATATAATTCAATTCTCGATTTGCTTTGAATATCCCTGGTCCTATTTCTCTTTCATTCAATTTATCACCATTGTGAGAGGTGGTGAGCATGAACAATAAGTGTTACTTTAACTTTTGGAATGGTGTTCAACAAACAACCCAAGGTGAGGTGGTAGACATGAACAGAGAAAGGGAAATAGCAAAGGCATTAAAGAATTCCTACAATCCATTTCTAAATGACTCAAGAAAAATTATTGAAAAACATTACAAACCATCTTTGTAGACCCGTTTGGGAGGATGCTTTATCGGTATTTGGCATTCTTCAAATTCACGAAATGTTACTCCTGCTTTATGATTTTCATATATCCTAGGGCCCGTCGTCTGCTTGTTCAATTTTTTATCCAGATACATACTCGCTCGAAATCTTCTAAACATCATAAACACCACAATAAATAATCTAACTATGTTAACAGATCGAGAGGCTGAGGTTTGCCATATAATTAGTCTTATTGACTTTCCTCTCCCTAAGGATAATATTTAAAATTCTATCATATCTTAATGTATGTTACTCAGCTGAACTAAGTCTGAACAAAAATTCAGGGAACACTCACTCATATTATGGAAAAACAGATTCTGATGTTTATACTTAAGAACCCCTTCTCATCTAATTTACCCGAAAGGAAACACAGACGGCTTTTCCATGCTTTCTGAAGAAACGAGTGGGCTGATTTTCGATGCTTCGTTTGGCATGTTTGATCGCTTCCATTCTTCTTCCGTTTGTGGCTCTGCTTAAAACAAAACCACATTCTTATATAGTATTTACAGTTTAAAAATTTGAAACCAAACTGCATCAGTGTTGATTTCAACTTGAGAGACTACCATACTACAGTTTGGGAAAATTGAGATAATGGAAATCTTCATTTTTATTTTGTCTGTCAATAATATTTTCATAGGAGTCGAATTTTCGGGCAAACTGCTCGGAAGTCAGAGTTTGAATTTCATACTTTCATAAATAAGGATAAAAGTCAATATTTGCCCCAGAAACTTAGAGGCATCAGGTACAACAGGCATTCCTAACAGCCTATTAAAAAGCGCCAATAAAATTATTTGTTAACAAAAGTAAATTTTCTCTGAGTTCGGGGCTAGAGACAAAATGTATCGACCTAGAGTCTGGAGCAGAGGCAAAAATTTTTTTAACCCAATGTGAGAAGTCTGAATCAACTTTTTCTAACAAGCAAATTGATTATCAGTTAAAAAGTGTATGACAATTTGTTATAAACTTCTATCGAGCTATATGTAAAAATATATAATTTTACCATTTCCTCTTTTCAATTTCTTTTTTCGTTTTCTCGAAGATCGTCGAAAAGGTAGAGCAGCTTTGTTAGAAATATGTTTTATGAACGCTGAAGATGTCTGAGGAATGGACTTGATTTCTTTAGAAGTCATCTGCATGTTAGATGAAGCAGCGTCGTCAACAAGATTATCCTATAGCAATGAAAATACTAAATTAAATACGACATGGCTTTCACTTTCTGTTTAATATTACTAAGGAGGCCATTTATGGAATTACGAATCAAACAAACATTGGATGTTAGTTTATCGCTTTTGTCAGCGCCCAATCCTTCGAAAGCGTTTATGCGCGACTCGCAATTACGCCAAATAATGGGCCAAATATCTTCAAAGAAAATGCAAATGGATTTTCACGATTGGCTTTTACCAAGCTGACGTCATTTTTACAAAGTCAGAGTCGTATACCCCAAGAACACTGCTGCGTTCAGAATGAAAAATATTTGAGATATATTTTGGGCGAACCATTACTGAATAAATTCATTGTGCACTGTTCGACTCAACTTGCTATACAGCAAGATGTTTGTGTGTCAGTATTCTATTACAGTATTATCAGTTTTTCCCCTGCTAGATTTGGGCATGTTACTGTGTTATGCTGTGACTTTCGGACTTTGAAGACTGTTCGGGTCTAGTATAGTACCATAGGTAGGCTACTTCCAGTGGAAATAGCATAACGAATTTTGTATGTGTTATGGGTCTCATGTAGTTTTGTACCTAACATACTTCTAGTGGGCGTAGCATGACAATTTTTCCATGTATCAATCCTAACCCCCACCTGACTACACCATTCAAAAACTCAGTCAACAAGAAGTCACAGTGACGTAATAGAGCCCTTCAAACTATACGAATTACCATCCAAGACGCGCAAACGAGCACCCAAAATCGTTATTTCTCACGTTTTCTCGTCGCAACGATTCCAATACTGCAACAGGAGAGAGATCGATAACGTCAGTCAGTTCTTTATCGTCGGCGCCAATGCCATTTCGGGCGATTGTACGTATATTTGGCAAGCTCCATGACATGATTGTGATGTCGTAGTGGCGTAATTTTTGGATGGTGTAGTCAGATGAGGGTTAGGATTAACATATTAAAAAATTGTTATGCTAGGCCCACTAGAAGTACGTTAGGTACGAAACTACACGAGACCCTATGTTATTCCCAACCCCCATCTGTCTACTATCTACTATGCTATTTAAAAAGTACGTCACTACGACGTCACAATCACATTCTAAAGCTTGCCTAAGTATAGCTAAGATCGCCCGAAATGGCATCTGCGCCACCATTAACGAACTCTCTTACACCGGCGATCTCATATTGTGATCGTTGCAATGAGAAAACGAAAGAAAATTTTCTCGATTTCTGCCAATCTTCTGCATGTTTTGGACGTTGGCAACGTCAGGTGGGAGTTAGGAATGCAGGAATGACATACAGACATATGCAAAAATTGTTGAGCCAGGTCAACTAGACATACTGCAGTACTGGAACAGTAGAAGTGCATGTGGTATGGTACTAAACCATATCAGACCCGACCGCTCATTTAAGAAAAAAAAATTAAAAAGCTTAATGGATTCAGGTTCAGAAAGACTCAATTAAAATAATTGTATCTATAAATCATTGAGTGGCAACCTACAGACCTAATGACAAAGTGCTAATTACAAAAACAACTTCTTAAATTTAGTTTTTTTTTACTATCACTCACTTTTAACAATCAAAACCTGTGGTCAATCATATAATTCTGTAATTGCTGAATTGACAGATTGACATGCCAAATGACAGAATGACGACTTTAATTAGTTTCTGTGTTGTATCAACTTGTATGCATACTAAAACTTACTGATTTTATTGATGTCACAGATCTGTATACTGAGAAGGCTGAAGCTTGAGGTAAATTTTCGGAAGTTGCCCTTTGATTGCACAGCTTGTATGTTTTTACCATGTTGAAGACCTAAGTCAGAAGTTCAGCTGAAACAGAATGAAAGATTTGCAAAAATGAGTATACAGCTCGGCGACAACGCCGCAAGAGGCGCAGTTGTTACCACTTCATGCTCATGGCAGCTCCTGCCACGAACGAACCTCGGCGTCTCTTGCCATGGTTTTATGGTGCTATTCCAGGGGTGGGCAACTTTTCTAGTCGGCGGGCCAGATGTGGGAAAATGAAGTCCTCGGTGGGCCGGATTATTACAAAAAAATACTCCGGTATCCAATCTTTGTCAAATGCTCGACACTCTCTGTCAACTTTACGTTTCTTGGGATATTCCATGGTTAATAAAACTTACTATAAAATCTAATTTCTAAAATCTATTTATATTTAGAATATAAATATAACTGATACCAGTAGTGGGGAATGTTTACAACGCTCTCTGCTTTGACCTTATATTGTTTGTTTAACAAGTGTGCTAACGCAATTGTTTGTTCACTAAGGCAATTGTTCATTTCACCAGCTCGCACTGACAGTACGGTGAGAGTAGAGCAATCGACAACTTTCAGGAATGAAGCGTCGGACCACATTACAGAGTATGGTTGGATACAGTCAGCGGGCCGGTCAAAATCTCATCGCGGGCCGTATGTTGCTCACCCCTGTGCTATTCAGTATTCAGTATTACCGGTGTATTCACAAATTCATGTACCAGATTTTAATTGATCATGCGGAATTATATCTACTCAAACCCTAACCCTAAATCCACCCAAACTGTATCCATAAAAAATACGTTCCAAATTACCCAATATTTGTCACCATCAGGGCAGCCCTGCTATTACAGCCGACATGCCGTGGTTACGGGTTACGACAGCAAAATTGGTGGTACTCGATTTGCTGCCGTTTCTACGGCAGCTTGCTATTGGTTTGTGGCAGCAATGACATTAAACAACATGATAGGCAACTCTGACGTCACTCCATAAGACTACAGGCGAAAGATTGTATTTCATGATACGCTCCAATGCACATATTTCTCGTCGCCTTTCGCGTCCGTTTTCCGCTCGCTTTTGCTACTCGGCGTCTTTTTTACGTGTAGTACCTGCCTTTTTGCGCCTGTAACGAAACAAAATAATCTCTATATCTGAGAAGTTTTGCTCACTTGGAAAGCTGGAATGGCAGGCAAGCTGTAAAGAGCAATTCTGGACATCATAGACGTTTTTTTATCAGAGAAGATTACAAACGCGATAGCGGAAAGATTTGTCTGGAACATTTTGCAGATAATGACAAAGTTCAAAGTTTGTAATTTTAATGTTTGCGCTTAATCATTGAAATTTCATTTAAAGAGGGTGTCATACAAAACTGTGCTGTGATACAATTCCATAACACAAAGTTTGCACCTATCGAACTTGCTTTTGTAGGTGAATTTATTAGACATATTACATATTCAGTTAATCGTAGGTAACATTGCTGGTACATAATGCATCGTAGATAGGTTTGTTTAAATTTAGGAATTTAGCTCATAGCCCACTAATTAATATTATCTTCTATGCGGGAGGTTGCAGGGCTGAATTCAACTTGCAGCCTTACCGACCACCTGGCGATGCTCATTTAGATTGGCTCGAGCAAGTCTTCTTGAAATGCTTGTGTGGATGGAAACTACCTATATTTTTTGCCTTCCTCCGATTTTAGACAAATTTATTCTGAGGGATTTCGCATATAATTCTCATTGATTGTTGGCTGTTTATAATTCCTATTGATTGTAAATTCTGATTATAACAAAGAGTTAAAAAATTTTTTATCTAATTTACTGGCACCTTTTTCTTGTCAATACTCCAAGCTGAGGTAATAAACAAGACAATACATTTATGTCATCTGGAAGCAAAATATGCACATTAATTAATAGTTTGACACATTGAGATAATACATCATGACAGAAAATACGAGTTAAAGATATGTATGACCATCACATGGTAATTAAAATTAAAAAAAAACTAATAGGGGCTGTGGAGTATGAAAAGTTCAAGACAAAGAAAAGAACAAATGTTCATAGCTCATGAACTCTCAATTTTGCCTCCATTGCTTTGTGAAGGCCAATATATTTCGAGTGGCTGAATTGGTTTACCTTTATGATAGCAACGATTTTGTATTTAATATAGCGAGATTATTCCAATTAATTGAAGTGATATTATTTTCCAAAGCAATGCTTGAATCGTCTAGAATAGATCAGTGGTGTCAAACTTATGGGTTTTCGAGAGCCGCATTGCATTTTGGAAATTGTAAAAAGAGCCGCAAACAGTTTTTGATAATGTATATATAAAAGATATTTTTAAGATAGTTTTAGTTTGTGACATATATTGTGATGCAACTAAACAGTTGGATTAAGTTTTATTATTTTCTTCAATTTCAAATGCAATTACATATTAATATTTGCATTCCACTATTATTGCAACATTTGCAAGTTACTGTATTTATTATAAAAAATGACTGAAATGATTTTATAGTACCAACTCTAACTAACGAGGCCACATGATCATGGGTTAATCTGGATGTTTGCGAATGTTTAATTAATTCCAGTAACGCAAAAAAAGTTACTTTTATCATTTCATGTATAGATCAGTAAAAAAACAAATGACAGATTTTTTCGACAAGACATTTCGCACCACATTGCGTGACATAGGATTGCTTGAATTATTATTGATATTGATTTTTAGTAACTAAATCGTTGTATAATTATATTAATATACAAACACATGAAAATTTTCTGTTCGAAGTTGGTCTTCGAATTTGTCATATTGACTGCTGAGCTTATTGTGTTTTTTCATTGTATTGATGGAAATATGACAAATTAAACAATGTGCTTCAGAATTTTGTGAAAAGCAGAAATGTTACAAATCCCATTTTCTTCGAAAATGCCACCTTCTTCATGTACTTTACGTTTAATTTAATCACTCAAGTGTTTTATTCAAGTATTCCTTTGCAAGCTTGATGTGTATTCCTAATTGGGTCAAAATGTGGACAAAAAAAATTAATATTCCAAAACTACTTTCAGTAAATTGTTTTCTGTGTGAATAATCAATTTCACTTTAGAAGGTTTGAAAAATCTATTATATTTAGATAAAAAAAACTTCCAAAATACTATTACAATTATTGTTAAGCGTTCGAGGGCCGCACTGGAAGTTCTCTGGGGCCGCGAGTTTGAGATCCCTGGTCTAGATTGAAGTTGTCCAAAAAATATATGATAGTATTTTATCATGAATGATGATTATACCCCTTCCGGAATTTCTTCTATGTACTACCAAAAGTTGATGAACCAAATATAACACAGGTGCAGTGTGTTACCCGTAATCCTCATTTTCCAAAGCTGTTTTAAGTATGTCTGGCGTGTTTTGTGCCTTTTTACAAATAAGACCGAGTATGCAATTTTACGCTTTGGAATTTTTAGTTATTTTCCTCAAGCCCTGCAGGATGTGGGGGCCATACACAACTCTACCGGAGGGTCAAATGTCTTTGCATGCCTCCATAGGTTGTTTTTCTATTGCAGAGTACTCTAATTATATTTCTTGGAATCACACTGTCACTGATATGTCGCCAGACTTCTGATATCTCCCCTTCTGCTATAGTTGTCCTGTGAATAAATAATAGGAAATTGAGATTAGACGAATAGTTGAAAGTTTTGCTTTATGTCGGCTTAATTTCTTGATTGATATACTTACTATTTCTGCTATTGCCTCTTGTGCTGCAGGAGTCTCACAATGCTTAGATAGGTTTGTCCACAACTTTCACATCTGAAGAAAGAGAGGAGATTTATTAATTTTCGTTAAGAATAAATAAAGCAGTCTATATGATTTAGAATGGAAAAGCTAATAAATCCAATATCTCATGTTTTATGTAAAAAATATTTTACTGAACTTGGTATATAAACCAACTAATAAAAGGGTTTAGTCAGAAAATTACAAGCATTCGTGGCTCCAAATACTTGAGAGATCAGACTATACAATATAGACCGGTATGAGTGAAATGTTAGGTGAACTTGTTAACACTTTGATTCAATACGCAAATAAAAGTGAAGGCGCAATAGTATGTTACAATGAGCAGCAATCAACAATGAGTATATATCCTCACTGATTAAAAAAATCTAACTGGAGGTGCATGAACTATTTGAAACCATAAGGGGTAAGTAAATATGTAATTTCGGCAAATGGGCAACTACGTACCGTACTGAATTAATAACTTCGTAGTATTTGAGAAAGGCTGTCTTTCCCACCATGTACTTAACAGTGCGATGCCCGAGTGTGATATACAACAATAGTATTTACCTTACCTTTTTCCGATTTCTTTTTACCTTAACTTTCCAAAATATCATTAAAATCGACAACAACTGTCAAAGCAGGCACGAACACCATTCGTGCTACGCCTTGAAAGCAGCACACATCCGCTCGTTTTCGTCTCGTCAAGTATGTGCATTGGAGCGTGCTATCGAATACGATCTTCGGACAAAAATGCTGGAGTTGCGCATCATGTTGTTTAATGTCATTGGTGGCAGCTAAAGAGTCAGTCGCCGTGGGTTTGGTCCACAATACATCTCAATGGTTTGGTCATAGCGGCCATGGTTTGGAAATCCCGCCATGGTTTTTCGGCAGCACTAGACGCCACAAAATACTTAAAACTGCACTTGCGCCGCAACATAAGTCGCCAACTGGAGCATTCTTCGTCACAACACAGGTTTTACGGCGATAGAGAAAAGGCGTTTATAGAGAATAGTCACTAACGGTAAAAATGGCAGGTCGGCCGACAAATGGATAGTAGCCTATTGTAGGGGAAATTACAACATGCCATTTTATATTAATATATTACTAGGTTTTATTAGTATAGGCTACTTATTATGTAGCAAAATTATCCAAAAATATTTAACAAGGTTTGGTATAAATTCAATGTAATGCTTCAATCTACAATTATAAAGTAATTATGACAAGTAAAAATTACTTTCCGATGTTTATTTCAGACAATAATGTGTTAATTTAAAAAGACATAACAAAGGATATAAACATGCATTGCCTCTGTTCAGAGTGACAAAATAACCTGAATGCAGTTTGAAGCGTAGCTTTA